GAAACGCACCACACTTATCCTACGCCGTCCCGACACTTTCAGTTCTCGGTAGTATAGTGGTTAGTATACCCGCCTGTCACGCGGGTGACCCGGGTTCAATTCCCGGCCGGGAAGGTTTTCGGGCCGGCTCGGCGACGCCAGCGGAACATCACGGCGCGATCAGCTTTGCAAGTCCGTGTGGCTCAATGGAAGAGCATCTGACTACGGATCAGAGGGTTGCAGGTTCGAATCCTGTCACGGATGGTTTTCGCGAAAGAACCGCCGAGCCACCCAGAACCGCCGGAAACGATGCGCGGAGCCAGTGGCTGCTTAGCTCAATGGCAGAGCGCCGTCCTAGTAAGACGGAGGTCACGGGTTCGATCCCCGTAGCGGCCTTCACTCTTTTCTCTTTTTGGAACCGCACAGGCAAGCGGCGGCAAGGACTGTCTTCGGAACAACCTTCTGTAGCTCAATTGGTAGAGCATGTGACTGTAGAGCTAGCAGGTATCACAGGGTCGCTGGTTCGATTCCGGCCGGAAGGACACACTTTTTTCCCACCGCCGAAAAAGGAGACGACGGCGCGGCGCAAAGAAGCGAGAGAAACAGAGAGGGGAAAAGAGAGGACGAAGGTGAAGTTTGCACCGCGAATCCACCTGCTTGGCGTGGCGAAACCCTTCCACGTTGGGCGTTGCATTTATCGCAGCGTACAACAGCGCTTATTGCATGGTTTGTTGGGGGGAGTGTTGTTCCAGTGCGGGCGTGAACAGAAAAAATGAAAGAACTCATGTCAGCGGAAAAGCTCTCACATCTTCACTTCGTCTTCTTCCTCTTGATCACCGGCTTCATGGTGGGCTTCGTTGTCGCGAGCGCCGCACTCTCCGCTGCGTCGCCGTCGTGCGAGTACTGCTGAAAGTGCTCGGGGTTCGTGCGAAAGCAGTCGGCGCCGTACGGACACTTCGGCTTCTCCGACACCGCCTCCACCGCAACCTCGTACTCGTCGGTGGCCTCAGAGTCCACGTCGTCATCGACTTGCGCTTTCTTGCGCGGCGCACGTGCACGTTTCTCGCCAGGCGATGCGGACGCGCTGCCGCCGTCCTCGCGGTCGTCACTCTTCTTGGTCTTTGCCTTCCCCTTGCTGGCCGCTGCGGCTCCGCCCTTGCCCGTCAACTCGCTCGCCAGACGCGAGTGTGCAACGTCGCCGATGCGGCCAATGATCGTCGTGGCGCCGACCAGCTTGCCCTCCCGCATTTCCTGCACCAGCGCCTTGTCGGCTGGGGCGAGGTCGTCTTCGCCCTGGATGTTGTCGATGTCGCCGGTGCCACGCGCGTTTCCCAGCTGCCGCTCCGTGAAGCAGCACAGGTGGCGCCACTTCCACGTCTCCACGCCATCGTCGCTGTACGGCAGAATCACCTCCGTGCCGATGCGCAGCTCGTTCTTCTCGATCTTCTTGCCGCACGAGGTCAGCGAGCACTTTGCACGCCCTGATTTGGAGTACTCCACGCACAGCTTTGGCATGGGTTGCGAGCGTGGCAGCAAAGCGGATATATATATCGAGAGAGAGAGAGAGTTGTGTGCTGACAGGGGCAAAAACAAATGAAGAAAGAATAATAGTAATAATGATAATAACGCTGCTTCTGAAGAAAAGGAAAAGGAAAGGGAGGTAGAAGGAGACGCGAATACGATGCCGATGAGGAGAAGTTAACACCGAAGCAGAGTGAAGGAAACGGAAGACATCGAACTCAATAAAGCATACACGGAGAGAGAGAGGAAGGTCGTGCAACAGCGTTTCTCCTTCCCAGTCCTCCCGCAGAGAGTTTAGAGACAGCATGTCGACGAAACAGCGGCGGCGTCGCGCGTCTCAACAGGTGAAGATGGCTCCCCACGGCGGAAGAAAGGACTGGTTTACTTTACACAGGTTCAAACAGAGAGATTTATTATCAGATATGAGAATCGCATTAAGGGAAAACCCAACAGAATTTAACCAACACGAACCGAACAACAACAAAAAGAAGGATATGCACCGACGTCACCGAGACGCCACAACGTCAACAAAAAAAAAAGGCTCTCTACGCTTCACACTGGTCAAATACGGGCAGCTTCCTCACAAGAAAAAAGAAAGCCCCAGATTAACACGCGCAGCGACTCCGTTCTTCCCCCGTTAGGCACTCACGGCGTCAACAATCTCATCCACGACAGCCTGCACACGGGCATCCGTCGTGGACTTCGCTGTGGCGTACAAGCCCGCTTTGAACGCCGCGACGAGCTCCTTCGTCTTGCTGTACTGCAGCCGGTGAAGATGCCGCAGCGCACGCGCCACAAGCAACGGCTTCTCGGCCACCGTGTAAAACTCCACGGCGAGGACGTGCGTGCTCGTCTCCGCCTCGCGGTGCTTCAGCAAGAACTCCATGTAGCGGTTTGCCTTGAGAAGCGGTGCTGACAGGTCAATGTCCGTCAGGCAGTAATCCGTCTGCTGCTGCTTGATCCGCTTCACCTCGTCGGCGCTGACGTTGTCCAGCCGCAGCTCCGGCCTCGGCACGTGCGCCGCCCGCACCGCCTCCTCGCCCTGTGCGTGGATCTGCATGTACGTGCGCACCAGCGCCGGGCAGAACTTCAAGAAGAACTTGTTGCGGTCCATCTTCTCGTCGCACTCCAGCACATCAAACCACGACCGCATCGTATTGCGGCGAAAGACGTAGTTGTGGAAGTCGCTCAGCTCGCAGTGGTTCTGCTCGTGGTGGCGCTCAAACATGAGGAGGTTCTGCAGGGCAGAGATGTAGTCGCCTTTGCGGTAGTAGGCCTCGCCCACCTCGCGCTCGTACCAGTAGCATTGCGACTCGAGCGCCGTCAAGTAGGTGTCTCCCTCCACCACAGAAACCTTGTAAAACAGCTGCATCGTGCTCTCGCCTTTCTCAATTTGGTTGTCGCGGAAGTAGTACTTGGCCGCCTTGCTATTCAAATACTTGTCCTGCAGGTCCAGTTCACGTGCGAAGTCCGCCTGCTGCGCCGCCTCGGCCGTCTTGCCCTCGCGCGCGAGTATCTTTGCCTTTTCCAGGTACAACAGTTCCAGCGTCGGGGTGTGGGCGATGGCCTTGTCGATGAACTCGTGTGCCTTGCCGTAGTCGCCCATGCGACGGTGATGCGACGCGAGGAAGGTGTGCACCCACAGGATGAAGCACGGATTCGCCTCCCCGCCAAACCGCCCAAAGTCCTTCGCCTCCAGTTCCCGCTCCATTGCCGTGAAGACATCGCCGATCTGCGCCGCACGGGCCGGGTCAACGTAGAGGGACTTGAGCACGCTGAAAAGCGACGGGATCATGCGCTGAATGTACGGCGTGGCAAAGGCGGCCAGACGCTCGCGGAAGTGTTCCAGTGGCATGCAGTCGAGGGCGTGGCGCCTCGCGTAGTCGCACTTCGGGTAAGCCGCCAGCACCCGGTCCAAAATCTCCATGTACTTCTCCGTGTGCCCCGGCAGCGGGCGGAGGTAGCGGTCCAGCGGGATCTTCTGCAACTGGGCGAGCGCGGCGATGCTGTCCGCCTCCGACACCCCGCTGCCGATCACCTCCATGTAGCGCTTCTCGGCCTCGCCGTGCCGGCCGAGCTGTGCGTGCGCCTTCGCCCGCAGCAGCAGTTTCGTCTCTGCGTCAATGATGTCGGCGTCGTGCTGCTTCAGCAGCTCCAGGGCACGCTGGGGGGCGCCGCTCTCCAGCTCCAGCTCTACGCGGTAGAGATTTGCCTCGCTCACCTCGACCGGGGTGTCACCGGCGTCCATGATCGACGTCATCACGTCCATCACGGCGGCCGCCAGTTTGCTGTGGCCGAGGAGGCGGTGTCCGCACGAGACGGCGATCCAGTTCGCACGCACGCTCGACTTCGCCGTCACCATCTTCTCCCGCATGTCGAGAAACTGCGCCCAGTCGCGCACCTGAATGCAGGCAGAGGCGACGTCGCGCAGCACCTCCGTGTTCGTCGCGTCAAAGCTCAGCGCCCGCTTGAAGGCCTTCAGCGCCTCGGCGTACTTCTTGTCGAGACGCTGACACATGCCCAGCGAGTGCCACGCCACCATGGAGCGGGGGTTGAAGAGGATGGCCTGCTTGATGGTGTCGTAGCCCTCCTCGATGCGCTCCAAGTTGTACAGAATGAGTCCGCGCACGGCGAGGGTGTCGACGTGCTCTGGGGCAATGCTGAGAATGCCGTCCGAGGTGCGCAGGGCCTTGGTGTACTCGCGGTTAGAGTACTCGCGATTCATCTTGTCGAAGAGGCGCTGCTGCGCCTGCGGCAACATTTGAGAGGCGGACGACATGTCTGAGTTTGATGGCTCGTTTCTTTCTTTCTGTTTTTTGTGTGTAGTTGATGTGGCCAAGCACGTCTGCGTTGTCGGGGAATTACGGAAAAAGAGAAGTGAAGAATACCACGAGAGATGCGAGGTGTGAAGAGCGAGGAAGACTGCACACGCACACCCACACTCACCGTGATTTCAAAAGAAGAAAGACAAGAACAAGACGGAGGTGTTGTTCTGCGTACGTGAACTCGATTCGCCACCACGATTGACGGGAATTGAGAAGGTACTCCAGAAGCCTTGCTCGCTCTTGCTGTCTTGGTTGAGAAAACCCTGTGTGTGAGCGGCACATTACGGGAATGTGGGAGAAAAGAAAAAGTTGACGAAGTAGAGGATAAATGTGTGATGGCACGCTGGGAATATACTAACGTTCGATTGCAGGACATCGAGCAGCTTTAGCGATTCCCACAGTCTGGTTTCATGACTCTAGAGAGAGAGGTCAAAGGAGACGGCGACCTCGCCTTCACACGAGGTGCGCTTCAACAGTCATGCAAATTGTTAGGTGCAGTCATTGAGTTTTTTGGGGCATTTTTATGTGCCGGTTAATTCACGTTTACGTAGGCGCAGAGGCAATAGAAGTAGCGAAGAGCCAGGCCCCCCACGCACATACATACGCGCACATATTGCGACCTTCACTGTATCTGTAAAGAAGAAAATAAGTTTCATTCGCTGGCGCCTTCACACCAATGCGGAGATGGTGCGGTCCACAAGAACCAGCTTGCGCTGCTCGTCGACTGCCTTGATGTGATACACGGAGTGCGGGACCGCTGGAACAGGGAGAAGAAACTCGGTCACGCCCTTGTCGAAGGTCAGCGTGGACGACACTTCCTCTTGCGCGCCGCCCGCCGCCGTCTTGGTTGCTGTCGTGGTGACCTGCACCACCACGTGCGACACCGACCCCGCGTGAATGCCGTCCAGTTTCACGGTGCACCCTGTCGCGCTTCGCTCCACAACGAGCGAGATGGCGGCCTGCTCCTTCAGCGCCGTATTGTCGACCAGGTACAGAGAGTGCGCCGCAAAGATAATGGCAGCTGCCAGCAGCCGCGGGAAGAGTTGAATCATGAAGAAGATCCACACCAGATGCCACAAATAGCGTGACTGCATGCGGGACTTGTTGTGGCGGCTCACGATGAAAATCAGCATCACCGTCATGGCCATAAAGAGCATGACTGCTTCACCGAGCAGCCGCATCTGCGACCGTCGTCGTGCCTCATCGGAGTAGGTGAAACCGCCGGCGAAGTCGCTCGAGGCACTGCCGTTGCTTCCGTCTGCAGAGCCATTTCCGTTGCCGTTGGGCCGCCCATTACTACCTTCCTTCAATGTGGTGCTGATCGCATCATACGCCTCCTTGATGTTGTGGAAGGCTTCCGCGTCGGTGACCGCCGCGGTGTTCTCCGATGCGGCGCCGGCTGCGGTGCCCGTGGCCGTGTCGGGGTGGAAGTGTTTCGCCAGCACGTAGTAGTGACGCTTTAGGCGTGCCTCGGTGATCGCGTCTCCACCACGAAAGCCGAGGCGCTCCTCGTACTGCGGTGACTTCCAGTCCGCCGCCGCAATGATCTCCGCATCAGTGAGCGCGGCTGCAGACGAAAAGTCTGCCTCCGACGCCGTGCTTGCGGTCGCGGCGGTGCGCCGGGACGTCAACAAGGAGGGACGTGCCACCGTGGAGGGGTGGAGCGACAAGATGAGCGATGACGTCCATATCGGGTGATGGTTGTAAGCAGTCAACCAACGGCAGCTGGCAAGCGTGGAGGCCACCGCTGCAGAGCGCCTGCTCGTCGAGCAGACAACGGTTCGAAGCATTATATAAATAAAAAAGGGGTTGAATCTACCTAGCAAAAGAAAATCAGTGCGTAGGCTCAGCTTCGATGTTCGCGTGCTCTTCTCTGAGGGTAGAATAAGAAAAGGGATCAAGAGAGTGTTTGGAGGGTCGAAATGTCTCCGACAGCAGACTTTGGTTCACTGTATCCAAGCAATCACGGAGGGATGGAGTATTTCTCAAAATCTACCCCGTCGTCATTAGAGCCTCGAACGCAACGGGCTTTCATCAACTTAGCGTCTGGAGTGACAAAGCACCGCTTAGAGAAAAACATGTGTAGTGTTTCTTTGACTGCTTGTTGGCAAAGTGCTTTAGTGGTTCGAAGAGCATGCGGTGATGACGGGCGATACGCTTCATATAGACGCCGGCACTTATGTCGTAAATGAATTGGGCGTCTGCTCGCCTACAGCAAAAAAGGGGTAGTCGTGCATTGTGCACCTACAGTCCATAGCGCGCGCGTATGTCAGAAAGAATGGTGGCTGCGTCTTCGTAGACGGCGCTGTCCACTGATGCGCTCGACTCGGAACGAGCGCCTGAGGCGGCGGACGCGCGATTACGAGGCGGCTCTTCCGTCACGCTAAGGCGGCTCTTCGGAGGCATCTGGGAAGCACGCGCAGCGTCATCAGGAACGCAAGTTTCCTCTGCAGCGGGGGCTGGGGAATGATGAGACGCGCGAGACGGCAATAACGCTGATTTCTTCTCTGCGCCTGTGGGCACACTGTGCGTCGTGGAAGAAGGCGCAACGTGTGTATCACTGCTGACGCTGCTACCGCCGTCGCCACGGTCTTCGGCATCGCTTAATTCTCTCCCGCTGTAGTACGCTTCACTTTCCGTGGATCGCCTGAGCTGCACCACCTGCGTCGCCAGCGATCGGAGCACCGCTGTCACGGCCGGGCTGAGTTCGTCGAACGGATCTGTGCTGCGATTTCCACCACGACCCGCAGCGGCCGAAAGGTGCGACGGCAATCGATCAAACTCTGCGAGTACGTAGCGGTCGACCTCCGCGGCGGAGATCGGTGCAGCGGTGGCAAACGTAGGTTGAGAGCGCAGATGAATGACTTCGTGGTGCTTGGGGACACCCCCTCGTTGCTCCTCGACATTGCGTCGCAGCTTCTGCTGGTACAAACGCATTATGTGGGCCTTCTCCTGCTGCATCGATTCGTTTTCTCGGTTCAGCTGATCCAGCATCGCATCCTGCTCCGTGACCACTTCTTCAAGCGAGCAAATTTGGTCTTGCAGATGCCCTGCGTGCCGTCTCTCGTCAACAATCTGGCGGCTGATCTGCGTCACCACGTGCTGCAGCTCGCTCAGCAACGCCACAGCAGAATCATTCAGCGCCTCATTCGGCCACGCTGTGCTGGTATTTACCGGGCGCGACGCTTCCCTTGTTGTGCTGTCCTTCTGACGCGCCGGAGGGAACTGCGAAGTCGACAGATGCGCATCCCCCGGAGAGGAGCTCTGCGTTGCCGGCGCAGCGACAGAGTGCACGAATAGCGGCGACCTGTTCAACGCATGAGGATCACCCGGACGCCGCGGGGAAGTCCTCTGGCCTGGTGTTTTTGCCGTGCGTGGTGTAGAGGACCGCAGCGACGAGGAAAAGAATGTACCATTGTGCAACGGCGTGGAATGGCGAGAACGCCGCTGTCTCGCCTCGACGGCCAGGCCGTATTCCGACTTGGGACGCGGATTACTTCCTGGAGCAGCCACCAGCGCCGCATAGGAGCTGGGGTGAAAGCGAGATGCTCCCGACTGCATCGAGATGTGTGTATATGTGTGCTTTTCTAACGTGTGCGTGTATGCACAGATAAACTCTATGTAGCTCTATAGAGGTGTGCTTGTATGGCGATGGGGTTTCAACGTTACAATGAACGGGCAGGAGCGACCAAGTGTGGGTTGATCGTCGACGCTGTATGCAAGGAGAGAAGAACCGGGAAGCAGTTAAAAAAAAAAGGGACGATAAATAGGAGAGTGAACGTAGCGAGACCGCAGCAGTCTCGAAGGGAAAAATGACCTTTCTAGCGAGTGAGCCATAGCAACGTTCGACGCACGTTCGTTTGCCCGCCACGCAGTCGACTTCACTGCCAAAACAACGGAAAGCAATGGTAAAACTATTATTGCTATTCTTGTTGAGAGCAAAAGATTCTAGGTGTGCAGTAAGAAAACGACGATGTGTGCGTGTTCACGGAGACGAAGCGGAGCCCATCAACTTCTGCTTCTCCGCCAGGAGGCGCTGAAATTCGCCATCTGCCTTGGCGAGGGCATCTCGGTGGGCCCAAATTTCCTCCTCCTTGCGCCGCAGGAGTTTGTCCAGCTCTGCCCCACGGCGACGCCGCTCCTCCTCCTCCTCACGCTTCGCCTCTCGCTCCAGGCGCGCTCGCTCGCTGCGCACCGACGACAGCCGCTGCGACAGGCGCTCCTCCTCGCGGCGCTGCTCCGCCAGCTGACTGCGCACCGGCGACCGAGAGGCCACCCGTTGTGCTTCGGACAGGGTAGAGGCGCCGAAGTCGGCGGGTGCACGCTGGGCGTTTGCACTACCGTGTAGGTCGACCGATGGAGGGATTCCACCGTACGACTGGCCCACGCTGAGGGCAGGCTCGTTATCCACGTAGGACGAAACGGGGATGGGGAGGGCAGCGCCGCCGGCACCAGCAACCGATGCTGCGCGACCCTGCACGGGCGGCCGTGGGGGCGGCAGGTCCTGCTGCGTGTCGCGGTGTCGCTGCGTTTGTGGTTGGAAGACGTACAGCTGGTCGTACTCGTGGAGCTGCGTGATGGACTTCAGTTTCGTCCAGTGCAGCAGCACGTCATCGTAGAGGAAGACGTTTGCGATTTGGAACGTGGGCGCGGAGGCGGCGTAGCCTTGACGGGCGAGCATCGCGACCTCTTCCCTGGCAAAGACGGGCGTTAGGGAGGCGGCGAGGTCTTGCAAGGAAACGGGAGGACTCTCGAGAGTGACTTCCAGGTTGACCTTCTCTCCGCGCAGGTCCGCGCAGCAGAGGAGAGTGAACATCTGCTCACAACAACAACAACAAAAATAACGAGATATTAGGAAGAAGAAGTGCTGGTCTATGAAAAACGAAAACAAAATAGTGAGGCAGCCGCACACCAATCGACAGGAAAAGCAAAGAGTGCGCGTAGCGCCCCCCGGCAGTGTCAGCTCGATAGTAGGGAAGAGAGAAGAAAAAAAAAAGGCACGAGAAGTTCTGCAGTGAATCACAGCACGCAGTGAATGAAACGGCGGCACCTTGAATTGCCGGACCGGACAAGTTATCCCGTCGGTGTTAGCGTGTATTGGTGTGCGTTTGGATCCGCGCTCGGGCTGGCGCTGCTTGCCTGTGAACAACAACAACAACAACAACAAAGCAGAGCGGCATGGTTGTTGCGTGTTGAGAGGGAGCGAGAGAGAAGCAAATGGGACGATAAGAGAGACGAAAGGAGGGTGTAAGATCTGGCAACGGCCCGAAACAACACGTGACTTTTTGATTCCCTATTATGTGAAGGGAGGAGTTGGAGGTGGTTACAGAGGAAAGACAGTCACTTCACTTGCTCCACGGAGACTGCGTGCGCTTCGGTGTCGTTACTGGGGTAGTTTTGAACTGTGACTGTCCATACGATTTACGCCAAAAGAAGGCAAACGTCACCCGACACGGCGACAACAAAGAGATGATGCAAGGGTGTGAACCCAACTCGCAGAACGTAGAAAGGAAGGCAGGGGTGAAGCGCGTTCAAAAGGAAAACGCACGAGGCCTACAGAGGAATAAAGAGATCTTGGTTTTGCCGGAAGAGACGCGCAAGCACGACGACGATGCTGTACAACGCCAGCACATCCTCCCGTGCAATTTCGTTTAAGGAGGCGTACGCTGCTTTCGCGCCTTTCTTTCTTGACGGAAACTCCTTCAACAGCGCGTTGCGCATACTGCCCCGCACGCCTTTCCACCCACCCAGCGTACGAAGGTGACGACAACACGTTCGGAAGAGGTCGTGCGCGAGTCTTGCCGTGTCGGGGTCAAGCGGCGTGTCCAGCGTCGTAAAAGAAGCGTAGAGCCACACACCCAGCCCGGTCGAGATGCGGCCTGTTGGCGCTGCACCCTCCTCTGCCGCCGCCGCCACCTCTTCCTCGCTCGTAGGCATCAAATAACGCAGGAAAGCGAGAACCGATTTCTCCTCGGCAGTCAGATTTGCTTGAAATTGAATGGGAGCGTTTGCCAGCCAGAGACACGCCTCCGTCTTCTGGGGTGCGTTGTCGTTAGCTGACTCGGAGTCGACTGCGGTGTTATCGAAGAACCGCGGGCGGGCTTCACCGTCTTCTGAAGCGGTCTCCTCTGCTCGCTGGTCATGAAGTGACGCCTTCCTGAAGTTGATGCTGTTGTTCGTCGCCTCCAACGCACGCGCTCCGCGCAAGAGCCGCTGCGTGACGACGGAAAACATCGCCGTCACGCTCGCCACGCTGAGCCACAATACATCCGAGAGATGCGGCACGTAACCGGCTTCAGGGCCGCGGGCGTCCAAGACGTCGTGCCAGCCTCTTACATTGTACTCCAGTGGCACACACAGACGCCGGCGGCGATGCACCACGTTACGGATGGCGGCGGCCACCTCGGCTGAAGTGGACGGAACCTCATCGGCAAACTCAGACAATGCCTCCTTGAAAGAATCGACGCCTCTCACCTTGACCAGCTTTGTAATCGACTTTCCAGAAAGCTGCCAGTAGTGCCGCTTCCGTGCATCCTGGACATCATCTTCCCCATTAGTGTTGTGCTCTGTTCCTCTCCACAGCTTCCCCTGCGTGTCTCGCGTCTCCTCAAGCAGTGTCTCAACATCTTCGATGCCATACCGCAACGCCAAGACGTAGTCGCGCGCCTTGTTTATTCGCTCCACGGTGGCCTCCACAAACTCCGGTCCGGGAGCCACAGCGGCCTCCAGTTTGCCTTCTTGTAGGGAAGCAGGGAACCACTTGGACAGCAGACTAATGCGCTGCGCGACTCCCTCCACCTGCGGGACGGGGGAGGACGGGGAGACCACTTTAGCCAGCTCCAGCTCCTCCACCGCTTCCGGCGGTGCCTCCGGCGTCGCAGCACCTTTCTGTTCCCCACTTCCCTCGTCTGCGTTGGCCGTTGATCCCTTCTCATTTTCATTTTGGGACGACGACACAGGAGTGTGGCTCTCCTGTCGCACCGCCACCGGATCGCCGCTGTCGCTGTCGCTGTCGCCGCGCTGGCGTTTTGTGGGCTTCTTTTTCATGGGCAGCTGCCGCGTCTCGCGGTGTTCGTCATCGATGTTCACCACAACAACGCTGTGGCTCGCTGCCATTGCTGCATCGCTGCCGTCAGTGACAGTACCGTCCTCGCGAGCCACCCCGGCGCGACCAAACTTTTTCGATTGAATCTTCTTCCCGAGGCGCAAGTACGCCTCCGCGTCGCTCATTTTGAGAAACTGGGGAGGAGAGAGAGAATTAGTACTATATATATAGAGAGAGAGAGAAAGAGACGGAGAGGGAGATGCGTTCGAAAGGTATTCCACCACGAGCAGGTCTTTTTCTCGCCTCTTTGTTTCTGGAAAGGCTCTCCAAAAAAAAAAACCCCACAGTCGCTGCGCACGGACATCGTTCACATGAGAGTGGTGCAATTAAATTAGTGCGTAAAGGAAAGCGGAGGAGGAGACGGAGAGAAAAGAACTCTGTTTAAAGAACGGAAACGAAAGACGGGGCAATGCCTGGTCAACGAAGGGGTTACGCAATGCAATCCATCCATCGCTAATCTTCAACGCACAAACACATATGTGGAAACAGAAGCACTTCCTTAAGCACGCGCATTGCGAGTGAAGTATAAGTTAGCGCCAGCCGCCGTCACTGTCTTCTTTCTACGGATATCGGGTAGAAATGCTCATAATTACACTTTTCACGTTTTATTTTGTGAAGGAAACAAGAAAGACGGGCTGGAAAAGCTATTTGCCGTACAATCCCACATAACGAGAGAAGAGAAAATGAGGTACAATAGAGGAGTAGCAGTGTACATCATAAGCTGAAACAACAACTATAATAATAATAATAAACATAATGAGTTTAGGCTAGGCCCACAACAGCGCTCGTTAACAATGCGCTTCTACACCCTGCGTCGGAGGTAAGCCGATGCAGCACGGAAGAACAAGAGAGTTTATCCGCGCGCTAGCAAGTAGGGACTTGTACGCGTGATGAGAGAGCTAGGCAGTCTGCTAAAGAGCACCACGTACGAGAGAGAGAGAGAGAAAATGCGTTCTTACGTTCTCGCCTTCGTTGTGCTGAGGCGGTTCGCCGACTCCGCGACCTGGGCATGGGTGATGGTCCCGGTGCGGATCTCTGTCGGCACGATGTATAAGTCGTGCAGGCGCTTTGCCGTTTTCTTCTTCGCCTCCAATCGGTCATTGTACATGTGCTGCACAAACACATCCAGTGGTACCTTCTTTGCTGGATCGGCAGGGTGAAACAGAAACTGTGCCTTCAGCTGCTCCATGTTCGCCTGTTTGCGCTGCAGCGACTGCGTGTATAGACGCGTCACGACCATCTCCTCCTCCTCGGGGGAGAGCTTCACAACCTCACCGGCGGCGTTCCTCGCACCGCCTTTGTTGTTGCCATACATCGCTTTCTCCGCCTCTGCCACCGAGGCCGCCTTCCGCTGTAAACTCTGCGTGTAGAGCCGGTCAGTCATCTTGGCTAGCTCTTCAGACTCAATGTGCCTGGTGGGGCAAACCTCGAAGGGATCACGAATCTCTGTTGGGGGGCGTGGTGCGGTGAGCCGTGCGATGTGCCGCTCCATTTCCTCCGGGGTGAGTCGCTTCTCACGCGGCATGTTATCGTAGTCGGTGGTCATTGCGTTGCTCTGTTGATTATATATAGATATTTCTAAATCAGTGACTGTGCGAGTGAATGCTGTGCGTAAAGCTGACCACACACGAGAAGATCACGTGCGGAAATTAGCTTGGGGAAAAAACCACGTATATCCAGCGAAGCCGTCCCGCGGTCGTGAGATTCAGAGTTGCACAGAACGGCTACTCGTGAAAAGACAAATGAGAAAAGAGACGAGAGGCGCACTTCTTTAGCGCGGTCTTCTCAAGTCGAAAGAAACCAGAGAAATAATGCAAAAATATGTATATAGAAGACGAGGGTACCAAAAGAGTACGAAGAGATGTGGAGCGCGATGTGTATGTTCGGACGCTACTGCCAACTATCGGTTATCACCGTCGACTTAATCACGTGACATTGTCGGCATCCTTCCTTGACCGTGTCAGAGAAACCGCTTCAAAGATAATCTGATCTGTCATTCGTCTTCAATACGACAGTTGAGACGAGTGCTGGAGAAAAAAAACTACACAGAAAAACGTCGTTGCGTCGATCGACGCTCTGCTTAGAAATCCCACTGGCAACCGACGCACTTCGCTTTCGTGGGTGTTTACAGGTGTTTCAAATTGCTTTCAACCGTGGCTGTAAAAAAATATATACGTTTTTTTCTTTCTTTCTTACCTCCACACTTGGCTTGATCATCGATTTCATAGAAGAGCACGAGGAGGGCTGGGTTCTTTGCGAGCCGAGAGGGCCCATTTATTTGTTGTTTCCCTCCACGTCATTTGGAAAGGCGAGATGCGTTTACGATCGAATGGCACATCTAAGCGGGAAGCCGTTCAGAGACGAAGAAATGAAAAAAAAAAACAGAGAAATATGTTTTGCAGGTCGAAACGAGTCTTGATCGGAAAAATGAGATGAGAAAAACAATCAAAATAAACTAAAAATAGAATGAAAGTAGAAAAAAAAAAGAACATACTTTCACACGGAGTATTTTGTAGCTTCGCTCGCAATCACACGACAACAACACGGCTTCAAACAAACAAATGAAAAGAAGACTCCCGAGAGGAAGAAGATAGCAGTCATCTGACCTTCGTGAGGCCGCTACATCCCCCGAAGTATCACTGACTTTCGCAACGGACGTGTTTTCACTTCTCAGCTCGTTGTTGACATATTTCGGTAATGGCGGAGAAAAAAAAATTGAGAAAAAAAAGAAAGCAACAAACTTTTTTTTACAGCGTGAGAGTTGTCTTGTAGCCATGAAGAAGAGTGTCATGCGGTGCGAATGGCAACGGTGGAGAAGGACAGACCTCTCATACAGGGTATACAAAACGAAAGAGCTGCTCTCTCTGTGTGTTTCCCTCCAGCACAGCCACAACGCCTCCTCTGACTCAATCTTCAGTTACGTGTGTGTGTATTTCATTTACAAAATATAACCTTTTTTTGAGTGTGTGCGCACGTTCACGTGTGCGTGCGCGTATGCGTGCCAGTGAGTTCGATTTCGTCCAGGAGGACGGAAACAGCTTGCCTGCCACAAAGGAGAACACCTCTGCCCCTCCCCCTACACACACAACACACCCACTTCTACCCCAATCATCCAGGACTAACGAAAACATAGAGCATCGGAGGTGCACGAGCTCGCGCGTACTTTTGCACACAAAAAAAGCTGTGTCCACTACGGCGAGCACCAAAGCTGGGGCAAACGGCTCCACGAACAGCTCCTTTGTCGGATCCGACACACCGTTCCCGACCCCTCCGTGCGGGTCACTACGCTTCTCCTCTGATTCATCTGTGAGTAGAATCAACACGTTAGTAGGTGTTGCCCTTCACGTACAGCGAGCCGGAGGAAGAGTCGTCATCGGAGCGCTTGTACTTGCCGAGCTGCGCGAGCGAGTTCATCTTCGCGCGGTGCATGAAGGCGCGGCGGCCAGCGGCAACGCCGGAGTCCTTGCCGCCCCACGCCTTCAGCGCCGACGACTGCAGCGCGCGCGCGTACGAGAAGCTCAGGTTGAAGGGGCGCGGCAGCTTGCAGTTGTTCATCGCGTTCAGGTACTCCGTCGCCTGCACCTCGCTCAGGCCGCCGGACAGGAACGTCACGCCGGGCAGCATCGCCGGCATCGTGCGCGCGAGCGTCGTCACGGTGTACTGCGCCACCTGCTCCGGCGTCGCCTTCTTGCCGGACTCCGCGCCGGGCACCACCATGTTCGGCTTCAGCAGGCAGCCCTCCCAGATAACGCCGTGGCGCTGCAGCGCCGCGACCACCTCGCGCCACACGTGCTCCGACACGCGCTGGCACGTGTCAATGTCGTGCGTGCCGTCGATCATCACCTCCGGCTCCACGATCGGCACGAGGCCGCTCATCTGCGACAGGATCGCGTAGCGCGCCAGCGTCTCCGCGTTGAAGCGCACAAGCGGCTCCGACACGGTGCCGTTCTGGATCTTGTACACGTTGCGCCACTTGCAGAAGCGGCAGCCCTTCTTGTAGTAGGCAGACGCGCGCTTCACGTAGCCGTCGAGGCCCTCCGTCATCTGCTCGCCAGGCGCACCCTCCAGCAGGGGGTGCAGACCCATGTCGGTCTTGATGCCGGGCACCACACCGCGTGCCGTCAGATACTCCGGGAAGGTCTGGCCGTTGCTCGCCTTCTGGCCCACCGTCTCGTCGTGCAGGATGACGCCGCTGATGTACTGCTCGAAGCCCTCGGCCTCCAGCATCAGCGCGCGGTACTGGCGGCGGTGCTCCTCGGTGTTGCTCAGACCGATGGGGTCGAAGCGCTTGGTGCAGGAGCCGATGGACTCGTCGGCGGCGAGCAGGCCCTTGCCGGGCGCCGTCATCTTCTTCACCGTCGCGATCAGCTCCGCCTCGTACGGCGTCTTGATGCGGTTGTACGCCGGCAGCTGGCTCTGGTAGATCTGGACACGGGAGGACATGTTGACAGAGTTACGCAGGCGGTTATGGAGAAGAGCGAGAAAAAATAGATGACGGGGTAGAATGAGGAGAGGAGGAGACTACGAGTTGGTTCCGTTTTCAAGTGTGTGCGCGATGTACGCAAGCAAATTACCGCCATTCATGGGGGGCGTGGGAAAGAAGGAGAGGGGCGAAAAGTGCGAAAGATGGAGGGGGAAGATACTTTGTAGTTTGTTCTGTGTGTGTCTGTGTGGGGGGTCTCTAGTTGTCATGGAAAAATGACCGCTGCTCCCTCCGCAGCACGTCGCATTTATTAGGGCAGCCGTAGTCCGTCCGTCCAAGGCAATCGATTCGAGTGTGGGGTAGACGATAAACAGGTATACCCAGGCACCAGCAGACGAAATCTCGTCGCCCGAAGATCTGCTGCACAACAAGTGGCGTCGTGGAAACAATTTGTCGATAACGTAATGGGTGTGTTCCGCGATCCAGACCAAGAAAACAAGAGCATTGCCGCTCACAGCAATCACGAAAAGGGAGCACGTCAGGGAAATACTCGATGCATTCAGGAGCGTTACGGAAGGCAAGCAAGTAACCCGATGTGAAGCATGATAGAAGACACTGTCGTGATCGTTGGCAGCAGATGAGACAAGGTAAAAGTAATTTGTAAGAACATAAATTCAAAAGAAGAAGGAAGAGAGGAAGAAAGAAACTCATCGTTTTTGAGAAGTGGGAAAATATATATATAAAAGAAGAGTGAGGCGTTGTACTCCTATTGTGATGGTCTTTGTCTTGGTTGCTGCTGTTGCCAAAGCGTGCCTTTTCAAAGACAAAAACATAGTTCGGGAAAAACAAAATGATGAGCACAGGTCTCATCATCCCAGAAACGAAAAAAGGGTTGGATGACAACGTTGCCTGGCATGAGGGTTGTGGTACGGTTCAGACGAAGACCTCGTGTGCTCTCTGTTCGGCCCTCTGATATTGTAAGTGAAAAGAAAAAGCCAAAGGAAAAACAATAACGTCCACACCTGCAGGTGGAAAGGAGAATGAAACAAGCAAGAAGTAGTGTTTGCAGAAGACCGCAACCAATCTCGAACCAGCAAAAGGCTCTCTTGGAGGAGGGAAAGCTTAACACGACTATTGTCGCTATGTTTCGCGGCAGGAAAAAAAATGTTGGCGTCGTGGTACGAAAGCGAAGGCAGCAACAGACGGAGGCCTCCGCTAGCTTTTTTGCTATTGCATTACTTTGCCGGAGCTACACGTAAATAATAGAGAGCACGGGAAACAGACATCGGTTGTCCTACCTACCTCACCATCCTTTCCGTCTGCACTGTACTGCACTTCCGATGACGGACCGGAGAAGCGCAGAGTACGTGGCCGTGTTGGTGCTACCCTAACTACGACGGCTTCCACCTTCAACAGCGCGAACTGCTTCACTTCGCGGGCTTGCGAGCACGGCCGTACGCGTCGGCCACGCGTATCGCGTTGGCCACCGCCACAGGCGTGATGACGCCTCGCTCGTTCGCCATCGTTTCGTTCTCAGCGCAGGAGAGCTCCGCCACGTTCATCAGCTGCTCCGGTGAGATCGACTTGATGCCGATGTCCGCCAGCGTTGTGGGCAGGCCAACGTCCTCACAGAACTGGTACACCCGGTTCACCACCTCCGGCGGGCGGTCCACCAAGAACATGGAGGCCAACACGCCAATCGCGACCTTCTCTCCGTGCCAGAAGTGATGGCACTCTTCAATGATAGACAGGCCGTTGTGGATGGCGTGGCAGGCCGCGAGGCCGCCGCTTTCAAATCCAAGACCAGAGAGCAGGGTGTTCGCCTCAATGATGCGCTCCAGAGCTGGGCACGTCGTCTTCGCCTCACACGCGCGCTTAGCCATCACGCCGTACTCCAACAGGGTATCATAGCACATGCGAGCCAGACCCATCGCGGTGTAGGCGCCCATGTAGCCCGTCATGTTCCCGCTGTGCGTCGCGAAGGCAGACTCCGCCTCGAAGTACGTGGCCAGCGCATCGCCCATGCCGGAAACGAGAAAGCGCACCGGCGCCTTGCAGATGATGTCGCTGTCCATCAACACAAGATCAGGGTTTTTGGGCAGGAACAGGTAGCGATCAAACTCTCCGGTGCGGGTGTAGATAACGGAGAGAGCGCTGCAGGGAGCGTCGGAAGATGCAATCGTGGGCACGACGGCGATGGGGACCTTGAGCGTGTGCGCCACCGCCTTGCACGTGTCCATCGTCTTGCCACCGCCAATGCCGGCCACCACATCGACTCCCTTGTTGTCCGCCAAACGGTGGATCTCGTGATCACAGCACTCGCGCGAGAAAACCTCCAGCTTCACATCCACCTTGCCGTTGAGCGACTTCAGGATCTTGTCCTTCATGGTCTCCGCAACAAAGGGGTCAGCGAGAATCAGCGCCTGCTTGCCGAAACGGGAGAGCTCGTCACCCAGCAGGTCTATCGCACCTGGACCCTGCACGTAGCGGCCAGGGAAGATGGCGGTGCGGATGGCGGGATGCTTGGCACCGCGGAGGGTGAACGTACGGAGCATTTCTGTGCAAATACGCCGAGAGACGATGTGTTGTTGGTGTCGCTGAAGTTAGTAACGATAGAGAAAAAAATGGCGTAAAACCGGGTACTTAATTTTGATGGGCCTTTCACAGCAAAAGCAAACCTTGGCCGAGCTACTGTTCTTGACGCACACAGCGATGTGTCGATCGAGCCTTTAACGTGCAAAGGAGCACGCTCGGGGAGCGTGGCGGGAGAGAGAAAACGCAGAGGAAAAGACGCCGCCAAGAGAGACACAACAACGTGAGATGCAATTAGTAAGAGTGCGTGCGCCATTGCAGGACCTGCGGCGTCACCACTAGGAGCCCGTTTCGCGAGTGCCAAGGGAAAGACCACTTAAAGACACCACCAAACGAAAGACTCGGTGCGCCTCACAGACTGGGCAGTGGGCTTCGACCCGTCGTGCAGAGCACCACAGTAGTGTGCCCAGCACCAGCGCGACTGTTTCCCGAAGAGACACCGTACTCGCCGGGAACGCTGCAATCGGCCAAAACGGCCACACGGTAGACCCCACCGCGGCCAACACAGACAGCAGGTGTCAAGCATCATGCATGGCGACTTCTTCTAACGAGGCAACAATGATACAGCTAACACGCTCAACGCGTGTCCCTGAAAACAGGATGAAAGCAACACAAAAACGCCTCTTGTTCATATCATCATTAGTTAGACAGCGGCACACACATGCGAGAACCCACTACAATACCACGGCGCTCCCACATGCACACCTTGAGGGGAATTTAAAAAGAAAAAGAAAAAGAAGTGGATATTTAAACATCGAAACACAGAACACTCTTACGAGCGCCATTACAGAAGAAAGAGAACCAGTTAAACTTTTGAAATGCATTCTGGAGCTCGTCTCCGTCACTGGACAACACACCGCATGCTGTGAGAAACGCGCTGTGGGGAGCACAGAGGTCGAGACAAGACACCAAACGGAAAATAATAAGGGCGGGGTCGCTGACGGAGAATGGTCGCCGCCCGTCCTGCTGCTCTCGCGCTGTGGACGAGAAGGATGCTATATAGCCAGCGTTCTCGTCTCACACGCGCACACACGAGAAGGACAAGCACCCTAGTAGGTGTTGCCCTTCACGTACAGCGAGCCGGAGGAAGAGTCGTCATCGGAGCGCTTGTACTTGCCGAGCTGCGCGAGCGAGTTCATCTTCGCGCGGTGCATGAAGGCGCGGCGGCCAGCGGCAACGCCGGAGTCCTTGCCGCCCCACGCCTTCAGCGCCGACGACTGCAGCGCGCGCGCGTACGAGAAGCTCAGGTTGAAGGGGCGCGGCAGCTTGCAGTTGTTCATCGCGTTCAGGTACTCCGTCGCCTGCACCTCGCTCAGGCCGCCGGACAGGAACGTCACGCCGGGCAGCATCGCCGGCATCGTGCGCGCGAGCGTCGTCACGGTGTACTGCGCCACCTGCTCCGGCGTCGCCTTCTTGCCGGACTCCGCGCCGGGCACCACCATGTTCGGCTTCAGCAGGCAGCCCTCCCAGATAACGCCGTGGCGCTGCAGCGCCGCGACCACCTCGCGCCACACGTGCTCCGACACGCGCTGGCACGTGTCAATGTCGTGCGTGCCGTCGATCATCACCTCCGGCTCCACGATCGGCACGAGGCCGCTCATCTGCGACAGGATCGCGTAGCGCGCCAGCGTCTCCGCGTTGAAGCGCACAAGCGGCTCCGACACGGTGCCGTTCTGGATCTTGTACACGTTGCGCCACTTGCAGAAGCGGCAGCCCTTCTTGTAGTAGGCAGACGCGCGCTTCACGTAGCCGTCGAGGCCCTCCGTCATCTGCTCGCCAGGCGCACCCTCCAGCAGGGGGTGCAGACCCATGTCGGTCTTGATGCCGGGCACCACACCGCGTGCCGTCAGATACTCCGGGAAGGTCTGGCCGTTGCTCGCCTTCTGGCCCACCGTCTCGTCGTGCAGGATGACGCCGCTGATGTACTGCTCGAAGCCCTCGGCCTCCAGCATCAGCGCGCGGTACTGGCGGCGGTGCTCCTCGGTGTTGCTCAGACCGATGGGGTCGAAGCGCTTGGTGCAGGAGCCGATGGACTCGTCGGCGGCGAGCAGGCCCTTGCCGGGCGCCGTCATCTTCTTCACCGTCGCGATCAGCTCCGCCTCGTACGGCGTCTTGATGCGGTTGTACGCCGGCAGCTGGCTCTGGTAGATCTGGACACGGGGAGGACATGTTGACAGAGTTACGCAGGCGGTTATGGAGATGAAGGTAGAAGGTGATAAAGACTTGTAGGGAGATTACTGTGAGCGGCGTAGAGGGAGTTAACTGTGTCGTGAACAGGGGACAGTGGTGCAGAGAAGAGGTGGTGTTAGCGGTTAAAGAAGAACAGACAATGAAGCAAATGTATTGTGTGGGAGGCGTTAAATTCGGTGGGGACAGACAGATATGGAAGGGGAGGAAATAGAGATACCGTGGGAGGGAAGTATGCCAGTTGTGTCCCGGAGGTGCAAGTGAGAAGTGAAAACTCAAGAAAGAGAGACCTGTAATTGATTGCGTTTAGCTGGCGTGGAGCTAGAGATCACTCGAAGCACCGTAGGTGATTCCTAACAAAAAACAGGCGAGGGGCAGGTTTTTATCTCCTCATCAACCGCAAGATGGAGAACACCCACATGAATTCCGCCGTAGTTGGAACAAAAAAAGCAACGAAAGGTGCTTTCGTTTGTATGAACATAGAAGCCTACTTGTTTGTCTTTTGCAGGAAAATGAAATGTAAAAAATCAATAAAAGAACAGGATTGTTGCGAGGAATGTCGGAGGTCGCAGGCAGGACGGCAGCTTCAATACAACAACGCAAACCCATGAAACAGCTGAGGGACGAGTAAACGTTACTCAGAGAAGAAAACTGCTCGGGGCCTTGCCACTGAATATCCGTCGCCTCTCGCCGCTGCGTTAACACGTACCCACCCCACACGTATATCCACACGTGCGAAAGACTTACTCCTCGTCGGCACCGCCAGCGGCGTGGCGCTTCGCGGCCTTGGCACGCACGCGCTTGACGCGGCCGGCGCGACCGTTGCCGAAGGGCGACGCATCAGCAAACGCGATGTGGCGCTCGCTGTTCACGCGCACAATGAAGGAGGGGATCGTCACGATCTGCTTCGCGACGGCGATGTGGCGCTGCTGGATGAGCACGCGCGCGTGGTGCACCGACTTGGCGAGACCGGCCTTGAAGACGATCGTCTGCAGGCGGCGCTCGAGAATGTCGGGCACGGTGAGCGACAGCACGTAATCGAGCTTGTCCTTCTCCTCGTCGAGGAAGCCGTACTCGTGGCAGCGGCGCATAATCGCGGAGCCCTCGAGCATGCGGCGGGGGTGGGTCTCCGGCAGCGTCAGCAGCAGACGGGCCGTGCGGCGCATCTTCGACAGCGTCATGTTCACGCGCCAGATCTCACGCTTGCAGCGCAGACCGTACTGGCCGCAAAGCTTCATCTCGCGGTCGAGACGCTCCTTCTCGAACGGGCGGCGCGGGGCCTTCCACACGCGGTTGAAGTTGTTGTAGTTACGCATGACTCTACGTTATCCGACAGGGAACTGCATGCGGTGGGGCAGTGGAGACGAGGATGATCGGTCAAAAAAAAAAGAGAGAGGGGGAGGGAAAGACGCGAAAGAAGATAGTGGTTTGCGAGAATTATAGCCGTCACTCAAACGAGGTTAGAGAGCGCGGTGGCGTACGTTTTTCTTTTCATCGCAGAAGCTTCACTTCTTCATTCGTCACCGTTTCATTCTCGGCAAAGTACGTACGGGACACACCGCTTCATCGTGAAAAGCTGCTCTTTCCAAAAAAAAAAAGCTCGGTATTCAGTTTACCTTTCTCGTTACGAAATGAAGAAAAGAAAAGGTGCTCGCATGCCTCATCGATTTTGCAGTTTTCCTTGCCGTTGCCGCGGTGTAGCGAAAACGCAGCACGCACCCTCCAGGGAAAGAACAAGAAGAGAAGCGAGATGTCGGTACAAATTACGAAGGAAGAGAAAGCCGTCGCGTTTGAGGGGGAGGGGGGGGCGTAACTTCTGAGGAAAGTTGAAGCGCAGTTCAACAAGCAGAGTTGGGGAGAGAAAGAAAAAATAATAATGAATGAAAGAACGGCAAAGATGCAACGACGCTGATTGGGAATAAAAAAAAAACAGAGCATCGGCACCACAGCTGACTCGTTCTCTTAGCGTCACCACTCTTGTTCCCCTCCGCCTCAAGCCTCACGGCAAATACTGCTTTTGCAGTTCATCCACCGCAGACGTCCATGTCCACTTGCATTGCAGTGCCGCAAACTTCACCAGCGCCGCGAACACCGCCTTGTGGGCGGGGAAGGCGTCATCACAGGCGACGTTGCGGCAAATGTGGCAGATCCAACGCTCCAGCGTATCTTGGTCGAAGCCGTTCAGCACCACCATTTCGCGTACATACCGTCCGACAGCGGCGTTGAACGGCCGGCGAAACATCACGGCATCTTTGATCTCCGCTGCCAGATCGCTGCCACCACCGCTCGTAGCCGCAGCCTCCACAACGGCAGACGCATCTCCTCCTAGATCCGTGTTGCCACTACGTGACACGGCGGTTGACGTTGGCCACTGCCCGTCACACCAGAGCGTGACTCGCGCAAGCATCGGTGCGTTTTTCTCCAGGAATGCGCCAAGCAGATGCGAGTCTTCAAGAAACGTCTTGATCATATTTCGCTCGCTTGGCGAAAACTCGTGAAAGCGGTGCCGGAAGTGCGCCGGCAGCTCGCCGCCTGACTCCTGCAACATCGTCCACGGACACGGAGAGGACACACAGGACTGAAGAAAGTCCGCGGTGGGGCTGGCGGCAGCGTCGAAGAGCAGCTCGTGTCCGCGCGACGAGACAGTCACGCCCGCCTTCGTTTCGCGCACCACGCGGGGGTGCAGAAGCAGCTGCACCTCGCCCAGCTGCAGCGGCATCGCTGGCAGTGGCACGGCGCAGTTGAGAGTGTCCATGAACGACAAATTGAGTTCCACCGCGGGTCGCCCATCGGAGGGGCGATGAAGAAGAAGAGTGGGGGCGTGCGAGACGGCTTCCCCTTGCTGTGTGGAGAAGGTTTTGGAGGACTGCAGGAACGCGTCGAGGTGGACACCCGCCGCCTCTGTTGATTGCAGAAGGCGGTCCAAGGTCTGATCGTACCACCGCGCAGTGCTCTCCTTGTCTCGACCCCACGTCCACTCCTCGACGGGGATTGCCGTAAACTGTGCTGCGATGGATTCGTCTTGTTCAAACAGTTCATGCAGAACTAGATACGGAGACGGCAGCTGAGACACGGGAGTTGCCTCGTTGCTCTTCTCCGCGTCTGTATACGCCTTCACTGCCCGCCGGCGCCACACCTCCGAGGCTGCCATGACGCTCATCAACAACATCTTTGCCGTCAAGAGAACTTCGCTCGAGATGCGCAGCGCAACCGCCTCGCTGGACGACTGTGGAACTGCCCTTTCCTTCGCTGTGGGCCGCGAACGCTCAAGCTCGCGGTACTGCACGTCGTGCAAGGCCTCGTTGAGGGATGAGAGGAGCACCGTGGCAAGTGATCGACGACACGCCAGGAGATCGTTCATGCCTTCTACAGCCAGAGGCACAGGGTCCACCTCGGGCACCATCATGCCGGCCAGGACTGCTGCTCCCGGTGCAACACTCGAGTTGGCCAGATGGGCAGGGTCCAGCGTCAGCTCTGACACGGAAGACTTCGTGGGTGAGTGCACGTCAGCGAGCGGCACGGGCAATCCGCTGCGAGACTCCACGAGAAAGCTACTCGGAGGATCGGTGGAGGGCAGAAGACATTGTGCAGGCTCTGCTACCTCTTCTCCACCGAAGCCGTCATCGCCGTTACGTGCGTCCTGCGCCGGCGGGCTTTTCCAACCACGCGACAACGAAACAGCCGCTTGAGGAGAATTGGAAGGGCTGACCGCACGCGTCGCTGAGTAACTGCTTTGCCACGCACGCGGCGTGGTCGACTCCGCGCGGCGTAGCGCCAGCAGCGCACGGGGAAGGGCCTCCGCCACAAAGCAGTCCGGATAGAGAAGCTCGATCAGGGTGAAAAGATCACGCGCCTCGCACTCGGACCGGTGCTGGTGCGGTGCGCCGTGCACCTTCTCGACGGTGGACGACAGAGGTGACATGTTGAAGAAGCCGTCTGCCAACAGTGTCGCTAGTGTGCTGATACATTTTGAGGAAGGGAGGAGCAACACATGACCGTACTCTCCTTCGCCCGTTATGGTCTGCGGCTGTGACTGACTGGCTGTCAATTTGGTTTGCTGTGCAGAAGGCGTGGCCACGGCAGCGTAGGGTGTTTCGGAGGTCGCGGTGCGGAAGGGGAGGACAAAAGGCACCACTACCCCGCCCGTCATGGCATCCCGCGCCAGGGGCTCCGCCGACTGCTTCTTCACACGCGCATAGGTGAAGACTTGAAACAACGCACGGTACTGCAGCAAGTTGGAGCTTTGGGTGGCGGATGGAGAGACAGGTACGGAGAATGCACCGCTCATCGTTTCTTTATTATTATTACCTTTCCTGATCTTTGAGTTTGAAGGTTCTTTAAGGGTGTTGCTGAAGATAACGCGCCTCCACAGGCGTTTTGTTTTTCTCTTTGCTCTGCCTCTGTGATGCTGTTGTCGTTGATGCACGAAGCGCGCACCGATAAATGATTTCCAGCGAGTAACGCGGTAAATGAAGAGAAATAAATTAGACCGAATGCGGAGAGGTGGCTCATCCAGCTCACCGTAGTAAAAAAGTGGGTTTGAAGAATGCACGTTTTCCCTTTTCCTTGTTGAGGCGTTGAAGCCGTGGGACATTAAAGGCAATGTGAAAAAGAAAGGACATCAATGGATAAGGGAGTTTCGACAAGCGCAGCACATTGTAGAAGGAGAGAAGGAGTACAAGGACTTCTTTATCGTTCAGCAAAATCTGAGCTTGTGCATTTCACGGGACACACGTGTTTTCAAGCACGAGACCCTCTTCAGGTTACGACTTTCACTTCGGTGGTGCAACTACACTGGAGGCGATGTTGCCTTTTATGAAGCGAAAAGGATTTCGCAAGAGCGTCCGATTCCCATCGAATGGCTGAAAAGTTCGAAGGAGCGACCGGCTTCATGAGAGTTGGGGTGCGTGAAAAGAGGTTACCTTTTTGGAGGGTTGTTTCTCTCATCAATGTGAACGGGAGACGGAAGGGGGAAAAAAGCCGCTTAAGGCTTCTTTCGACGTGCTCGTTTCGAGACCCAATAGAGACCCGGCTTGATGTCTTCTTCCCTTTTACTGAAGAAACCCCTCAGTTCTGTGCGACTCCACCTCGCTTCACTCTGGTCTTGAGTCGCTTCGCTAATGTCCGAAAGACGTCATCCAGCTGCGGGTCCATCGGATCGGTCGCCTTTTGCAGCGCGTCCTCCGCAAAGAAGCTCGCCTCTTCCTCCATGACCTGCTGCAGCACACCGCACTCTTTGCCGTAAAAAGGGAGAAGTGATAGACGGTGCCGCAGCGGGAGCAGGTCCCGCACACGTCGCCACCGCTCACGGATCAACGTCGCCAAGGTCACGCCGCAGCGAGCGCAGTCTAGCTCCAGGGCGTGCTGCAGCTCGGGGAACTGCAGACAGGCGCCGACGTAGAGCGGCCCGGGTTCGATCGACTCCACAAACGTGGGGTACTCCGGGCCGCTCGCTGCCGCACCGCCGTCCTCCGGCTTCGTCGCCACGGCCACCATCACCTGCAACGAATGCTCCGACCCGAATCGGACGGCGAAGTCGCACAGCGAGGCGGCCATCGCCTCCACCGGCAACCCCGCGGAGAGACCCCGCCCAACAAGCTTCGCCAACTCGTCCATGCTGCTGTCCTCCTGGTGTCGCGTCTCAAATACGGCGTGGTTGCACAGCACCAGCGCATCTCCCTCCAACATTCGCCACGTCTTGACGGTGGGCAGCGCGATCATCTTCTGCTGCACCGGCGACCGCTGTGCGTTGTTCTTCATGGACCAGTGACCAAAGCTGCGGGACACGTTCATAAACGGGTTGCCGTCGATGACGTCGCCGACCGCGGAGTCGACTTGACCGCCGGCTTGAATGATGCGACGGTACTCGGCGGTACGCAGGGGGTTGTGGTCGACACTGAGTGGGACGGTGCGTTCACGCGACGGGTCCAGCAGACTGCGACTGCCCTCCGTCAAAGGGTTTCGCGCCACCCCGAAGGCGCGCGAGTTACCCACGGCCCCCACCGTCACGTCCAGGCAGTAGGGTGCTTGTGCCAAAAGCAGCTGCACCTGTCGTTCCTCTGCCGCCTCTGCGGACAGCAACGTTTTCTGTGGAGGAGGGGCCAGCTGCTGGCGTTGTTCGGCGAGGACGCGGCGTTGCTGCACTTCCACAGACATTGGCACCACTGTGGCGTTGAACCACACGCCGCGGCAGCCCGTCTCTTCGGCGGGAATCGACGCGTGCTCTTGATCACCGCTGTTGTCTCCTCCTCCTCTCCCTTCTAGTGTGTCCCTTCTGGCTGAACTCGTGAAGTGCGCTTTCTCCTCTTGATGTGCGTCCGAAGCACGCCGATGGACGTGGCACGCATTGAAGAAGGCTGAGTCCGCGTACATGGCGTACTGCTGGAAGTCCCACTCGGACATCACGCTCGTGAAGTCCGCCACGCCCATGCCGCTGCGCCGCCGCAGGCCGGCCATCATGAGGTCCAGCAACGGGTTTGCCGGATCCTCCTTGCGCAGCGCGCGCAGCTCGGCCGGGATGACGGTGTGCATGCTGAGCGCACGGGAGAGGTAGTTGCTGATGAAGGTAGACGCGTCGCGGCCGGCGTAACTGTCCAGTAAGCCGCCGCCCACCATCTCGCCAAAAAAACTTGGTGCCAGCGCACCTGCAGACGCCGAGCTTGACGACGCGGTGTTGCGTTGCTTGTCGTAAAATGTCACATTTTTGCGATTGAAGACGTTAAAGGAATCCATGTTGTAGCTTGTGGCGAGGTTCATGATCTCGCAGGTACCGACGTGCATGTACGGCATCGTCAGACGCTGCACTTTTTTGTGCTGGAGGGGAAAAGACTTCATGATCGTATGTGCGCTGCTGCCGTGCGTAGTCGTCCCTCCACGCAGCCTGCTCCTTTCCGTTTTTCCGTGTCACTTCACGGAGACGCAGAGAAACGAAGAGGAGCGCAACTATCAGTTTCCGTACAAAACAAAAAGAAGAAAGAACATCAGGGGCAGAAATGGAGAGCAAGCGTCACACAGCCATGCGTAGAATAACGTGACACAGATGCTCACCGTTCTCTGCGAAAAAAAAAAAAGCTCTTCCATGAACGAGTCAAGTTGTAAGGGTCCCGTCACGCCTTCATTCTACAGACGATGCAGCGGCGCAGCGTGGATCAGGTTTGAGAAGAAGTGTTTCATCAAGTGTACGAGCCCCCTCAAAAGCCGGCTCTTCGTTTCTCCGTTGTGACTGATGCGCCAAAGACGACGGCTTCGTACGGTTTTCTCTTTTTTATTATAGTTTTCTTTTGGTTCTAGTGCTTCATAACATACACATTAGGTTATTGAAGGAGCCTACGGTGAAGCCCCGTTAATCGTTAAGTTAGTGTTCGCATTCCAAAACAGAAGTAGAATATATATATATATGTAAAACCGCCAGACAAGCGGAATAAGAAAAAATGAGAGAGTGCAAGCGGTGTGAAAAGCAAAAGCGGGGTAGCAAAAACGGAAGGAATAAAAACAACTGGTTCCATCAATACAGACAGACACACACGCACATGCACTATAAAAAGAAAGAAAGGGGAATGACTGACTCATTCAGACCCGTTACCACCCAGTGAAGAGAGAAAAGGAGAGCTAACTGAACTGAATGAGAAGCACCAACAACAAAAAGAACCAGTTTCGCGTCACGCACGTCATACGTACATCGACGAGGGAGGCGAGAAGAAAAAGGAACAACCACATTAAAGAAAAAACGGGGGGAAGCTCATTGGCACACGTACCAAAACAAAACAAAACAGAACACGGGTGCAGAGACCTAACGAAAAACACCGGAGAGGTACATGCTTCCATCAACCGGAGGCATAATGGCGAATAGCTGAGATAAGAGGGACGGAGAACATATATATATATCAAAATGAAAAAGATGTTCTTTTGAGACGCACTCCATTCACGTCATGCAGCGACGTATACGAAGAATAAAACACCAGAAAACGGGGGAATTCAGTTACGAGTGGAGCGACGGTTAAGCCACGACAAAAAAAAAGACCTCGAGACTCCAACGAGTTAAGGTGATGAAAAGAAAGAAACGAAAAAGACAGGAACAAAGATGGTTAAGAGGAGAGGGTTTCATGTATGCGAGAGATGCGGTGAATGCTTACGGTGCAGAGCAAAGGCATGAAAAAAAAAAAGAGAGAAAAGCACGAACAACGACAACGGAAAACTTTCAACGAACCGCTCGCCAACCCCGAAAAAGATGTACAACAAGGAAACAGAGCAGGCGGCGCAGAAGCCCATGGCAAATACTCCCTTCTTACTGTTATATTCCATTAGTTGTGTTTAAGCTGCATACCTTCCCAAGAAAATAGTCAACGCCTATCCGTCAGTTGAACACATATATATATATATATATATAAAGAGCATGATAACAAAATGAAAGGTGAGTGTTTATATGGAACCGGAAAAAAGAAAGAAAAACGAATTGATGTTTTGGAAGTAATAAAAACGAAGCCCTTAAGAAAACCAGAAAACACAAAACAACTAATATTACAGCTCTTGGCAAGCCAGAAGGAAAAGAAGAAGACAAGGGGGAAAAAGAAGAGAGCGGACAATGCAAGAGAGACACAAATGCAGTTGACGAGTTGTCAGGAAAAAAGGAAAATATATAGTTTTTTTAAGTAGTCAATCGAAATAAAAACACCAACCAAAATGAAAAAAAAAGCAATGGCAACAAAACAATAATGTAGTAGAATCGTCTCCTTAAAAGTCAGAGAACTTCTGAGAGGCAACGTCTTGCCTCCACGCATTGTTCTGCAAAGGCGTCCGAAGCTTCAGCTCGCGTTGACGGCGGCTTTCGGACGACACGTCCGCATTTTTTGTGCTGTCCAGCGGCAGCTGCGGCGCAGAAAGTTGGAGCTCCGCGGACAGCCGAGGAGATGCCAGCCGAGGCAGTGGCGGTGCAGGGCCGGGCGACGAGGCAGTAAAGGAAGGAAGATCGTAGGTCTTTCGTCGTGCCTCCGATGCTGTGTCGGACGCTCGCCGCTTCGAGGACAGCATGCCTACAAGGGTTCGCTCTCCATTCGCGAACGGCATCGGAAACTGCGGCAGAGTGGGCGGCGAATGCTGTTTTTCACGGAGTTCGTGCCTCTCATCTGCCGAGCGCACGCAAGAACCCCTGGGACTGTGCTGCTGCTCCTTTTCCTCCGCATCCAGCTGCCGCAGAGGACTACCTCCCGCGTATTGGGTGTTCCGTAGCTGTACGGCGCGGTCCTTGCTGCCTTTCAAGACGACCCCCGGCTTTTGAAGACTGCGCAGCTTCTTCAACTCCGCGGCCTCGGCGTACTCGATCGTGGCTCTTGCCTTCTCCTCCGCTAAAAGCGGCAACTCCACATGCGGATGCAGACGGGACTCGAAGGCGCCGGTGGTGGAGACGGCCGGAATGGCGATGGTCGCGTCGGTGGATTGAAACGCCGGCGACGCAACCTCCGCACCCATCAAAAAATCGCGGCTCGGCTGCGGCGTCTCATCATTGTCGTCGTCGTCGATGGCGGAGATTGTCGTGCGGAACGACCGCGCCGCTCGTCCGGGTGCCGTCTCAGCGCTGGGAGACATGGCCGATGAGAGCCGCCGCGCCCCGTCTGCGTCTCGTGGAGGGGACACGACGTGGGGCGAGCGCGTGCTGCGCGTCGGCTCAGCGTGGACAGCCGGCACCGTCTCATTGTTGTGTGACGGCGACGGGCTCAACGACGGTGGCGGTGGGGCGTGCCGCGCCTCGGTGCCGGTGGCGGTAGGTATCGCGGCGGCGTTCTGCACGGGCGGGTCGCGCTCGTAGGAGTTGGTGGACACCGGCATCGACCCGGCCGATAACTGAGCCACCGACAGAAGGGGACAGGACATGCTTTGTCGCGAAATTCCGAGAGAGGAGATGGACATGAAAGGTGTCACGATACCGCCGAAGTCCGTGTCGAACTGAATGGCGTGCACCGACGGCCCGGAGATGAGGCGGCGGGTGCTGAGAGACTTATCGGCCGACAAGTCATCGGGCACTTCGATCCCGAGCATTGTCCCATCCATTGACGAGGTCGCGGCGTTAAGATCCGGTGCGGCCTCGCGCGACTGAAAACGTTCTAACGCGGCACCGAACAAGCCCTGCGGGTGCCACGAGGCGGAGTGTTGCTTGTTGCTTTCATTGTGCTGCGACTCCATCGTTTGACTACCGTGGCCGAAGGCGGCAAACTTCACGGCGGGCTCGCCACGTCGGTGCGGCTGCATTTTGGTCCACAGCAGTGACGTGTCGTCCTGCACGGCGTCGCTGTCCATATCAGGCGAGGCCGGCGCTTTCGCTGACCCTCCCAGTACCTGCTGCAGCCCCGCAGACGGCGACACCTGGGAGAAGGTCAGATTTGAGTTATCAGCGGGGGCGTCCCACGAGTTGAAGGCTGAATTGTCTCCACCAGCGCGGTTGCTGGTGAGGGAGAAGTCGGCGCCGAGTATCTCTCGCGGCGACGGCGATGTGTTTTGGTGCTCCGACGTGGTCGCGTTGGCAGACGAGCTGGAGCTCGGCTGACTGAGGCGGCGGCCACGTATGCTGGACGGAGGCGCCGCAGTAGTCGCCAGTGGAACGCCTGGTGGCGCCGACGCTGGCGATACGCGGGAGTTCTCCATCACGCACGGTTGCGTGTGTGAACGTCTCTCTCTGTCGTCCTTTCAAAGACCGTGGAGCGGCCTTGCTGTTCAATCTCAAAGATTTCAGTCTCGTACCAAGAAGAGTGAAAACAAAAAACAAAGATGAAAGAATGAACGGAAAGTTGACGTTGTCAAACAAGCAAAAGAAAAGCACCTTTAGAGGAAACCCTCTTTGCGAGAGGCAGGAAGCGGTTCGGAAACGGAAGTTGAGTAGCATGAAGCCCGGAATGTGGGCATGCAAGGACGCGAGCGTTTTTTGTGTGAGTGGGCGCGGTGACAACAAGAACATCCGAAGAAAGAAAGAGAGCGAGTAGTGGTCCACAAAAAAAGGGGGCGCAGTAAATGACCGTGTCAGAAATATTGAGTGACAGAAAACAGGAAGAACTTCGCATAGGAGTGGATCCAATAAAGCTGACAGAGCAAACAGTGGTGGGCATCAACGCTAGACGACCAAGACAGCACTTTTCATTGATCTTCCTTTCAGCAACTGAAAAGAGTGTCAACGATTGCTTCGATACGTACGCGAACAACAGTCGTGGCGGCAGATTGCGGCAAACACGCAAATCAGCCCCTCAAATTCATTGCGTTGTTGCTTTACTAAATGTGTGGCAGACCCCCACCAACGAATGCTACGACACTGCAGATTCATTACCAGAACAATCCGAAGACGCGCTCATCGACACGCCTTTTGGTTTATTCCGGAAGCTGGACGAAAAAATATATATATTCTCATGTTACCACTGATTCAATGATGTGAACAAAGAGAGACTGCTGAAACTCGAAAAATACATCCCCATTGACAAGACAAGCTACGGTAATGAGCTCTCCCCTCCTCTTCCTTACCACAGACCAACGTGCATGTTGTAGTACTTCTGCACCGACTTCTGCGGCAGATAGCAGTCCATCACCGAGCCCAAAAGTGCCACGGCGACGCCGTCCGCGAAGGTGGGACAGCGGTGAATGAGCTTCGACGGGTAAATATTCGGTTTCTCCGCGCCGTGGGCCTTCAACAGCTCCTGCACCGACGCCCCGGCGCTGGGAGACGATACGGATGCCGCTTCAACTTCCACAGGAGAGGAAACAACAGAAGAAGAAGAGGGGGGCATTTTGTGCAGCTCCGACACCGCAGCGCTCTTCACCGCCAACGGCGAAATCTGCGTGCGCACCGTCACCGCCTCCCGCTTCATCGCCTCCAGCAGCGCCGCCGCCTTCGGATCGTCGTCGCTTTGCGCCTGCAGCATCGCGAACTCCATGTCGTCGTGGTAGAACTCGCGGCAGCGTCGACTCGCCAGGTAGCACTTCACGCACTTCATCGTCGATGTAGCAGCCAGTGCCAAGCAGCCGACCGTCAGCATCGGCTGCGTGCGAAGCCCGCGTAGAATGGTCCACGCGGAAAAGTGGCGGTTGCGCTGGCCGCGGCGCAGGCCAGCCAGGAAGTCTACCTCGCGCTGATCGGCCTTGAGCAGGCGGAACGTGTACCAGCACAGCGAAGTCGTGAAGAGGCAACCACCGAAGGCGCCGACGGAGGCGCCGCGGAAGTAATCTGGACCGAAGGCGCACACGACGTCGTCGTCCTCGGCCTTTTGGAAGAATTCTGCGAAGGCTGCGGCGATGCCGTCTGGCATGCGCTGACGAATTGACGAGCCAGACGCGGAGGAGGAAGCTGAAGACGCAGGAGTGGCCATCTTCACTTTGCCGGGTCTTTAATGAATACGCTATTCAATGAAAGAGGAAAGGGAAAAAAGGTAACTGCTTGTAGGCTTCCAATTCTTATTGCTATTCGAGGTGTGGCTGGTGGAAAGACGACAAAGCAAAAAAAAAAGGAGGAAAAGGTACGAAGAGGTCAACAGCGAAGCCAAACCAGCAGGGAAAAAGTGAAGTTTGCCCAGCGGTCTCGTTCATGTGTCTTTGTTTGGCGCTCCTTTCAACAACAGGCTTAAAGGACCACACGGTGTGGCCGCAGCGCAGCAGCACCAACACCTTCCTATGGACGCAGTAGGAGCTCGCTAGAAGATTTGTTTTTTGCTTTCTCCCCTCGTCGCCACCATGCAATCGCGCTTCCCGGGCGTTTGAAGCAGATACGTGCGTTAACACTGTAAGAAGTCTCAGCGCTCAGTGAAAACAAAACAAAACAAGAATAACCTACAGGAGGCGCTAAGCAGCGTCACGCACCCAGAGCTCAATGGTCCTGTCTTCGTTCGGCTCGAAGCTGTACGGGGCGTGTGCCACCACCTTGTCCAGGCGGTACCCCATGGGGACCAGCAACTCACCCTCCAGCTTCTTCGCCGCGTTGTGAAAGAGAATGAGTCCACCGGGCAGCGCAGGAGCCACGTCGGCCGGCATCAGGCGCTGCACTTCTCGCCACCACACCTCCTCGGAAAGCTTCCCGTCTTCCTTCCCCGCACGCATCGCGCTAAAAGTCAGAGGCGACCGCCTTCGCAAGTAGCGCCACAGTGCGTAGGACTTCGGCTGCTCCGTGAAGAGGCGGTCCTGTGTCACCTCACGTACCAGCGTCTGCGGGTCCAACTTCATGGGACAGTCCACCCACTCCAGCACATCCACTTTACCGTGCACGTGTGCGTAGCCAGGTGTGGCGTAGCAGTGCGTGAGCACCTCCAAATGGCGAAAGTGCCCTGGGGCATTGCGCAGCTCACGAAACATGGTCGGCCCACCACGGCGATAGCCGTAGAGCGCACAGAGCAGCAGAAACGCGCTGACAAACCAGAACGCGCTGAAGAGCCGCCGAGTGGTGGAGGCGCTGGGGACGCGAAGGCCGTACCAGTTCAGGCGAGGGGCCAACGGCGGCGGCATCGTCGTGCAGCCCATCGCCACCACCACACTCGAAAAAAGCAACACCAAAGGAAGCAACAGGTAAACAAAGCGCATCTCCTTGTGTGCGACGGCGCTGTGGCAGAGCAGCGTAAACGCCGCCACAATGGCCCAGCGGCGAATTTCGCGCCGCACGGGACGCGGACGAGCGAACGCGACCGACGATGTAGCAGCAGCAGCAGCAGCGGCAGCAGCGCCACCGCTGAGGAAAGTAGGTGCCCCACCGGTGCTGGGCCGACTCGCATTTTCACTCGGCAGTCGACTCCACGCACTCGGCCACCACAACAAAAAGATCGAAAACGGAGCCGTCAGGACGGGCAGGAGAGCCACGTACCAGTAAGCTGGCTGCACCCCGTAGTACCTGCTCACATCCATCAGTATGTTAAACCGGAGAAACCGCAGCGGGGTAATGACAACGCGTCTGTAGAACACAAAGTCCACAGCGCACACCGCGAGGCCAATCCCAAGTCCCATGCCGAAAGTGATGAGCAACAGGTAGAAGACGCCACGCGTGAGACCCTTCTGGCGACAGGTCTGGTAGGCGTGAAAGGCAAAGATAGGCAGCAGCGCGAAGGCCGCCGTCACACGCATCGCACACGCTACCCCGGCCCAGAACAGGAACCCTTTGTAGGTTTGGTGATAGAGCGCGAGGAGGAAAAAGAGTGACTCCGCCACGTTCGAGTAGCACCGCACACCGTCGTAGTTCAGAAACCACTCCACTACGAGAATTGCAAGGGTGACGGAGGCGATCGTCGGTGATCGCGATGCGACGGTGTGGGTCGTCTTGGCCACTGCAGAAGGATTTTTTTTGGCCTTGTGGACGAGGTAGTCGAGGCGCTGCGCCAACGCCAGCATAGCGCAGTCGTGCGCGAAGAAAAGCAGGGATTGCACGCAGCGGCTGGAAGCCCACACCGTCCACGCGGAGTCTATTCCCGTCCATTTCAACAGAAAGAGCGGAGCGGCGAAGAGTAAAGGAAAGACGTAGGACCGAATCCCCTCCTCCCACTCCCACGTCAGGTGCCCACGGCCAAACACCATGAAGTAGGCCACCTCTTCGCTCTGCCACCACTCGTCCGGCGACTCGGCGGTGCGCACGGTGAGACACAGCAGAAGGCGGTAGAGGAAGAGGGCGGTGAGCAGTTTCCACGACCATAGAGGCCGAGGAAAGTGACTAAACCAGCACAGAACGTCCATCAACGAACACAGCAACAAAAACTGGCTACACAAAAGAGAGGAGAAATATATTTATAAAAACCGTCTTGACGGAGCTTTTATTGTTCTAATCACCAAGAGGGCGAGATGCGTGGAGTAAGTATGAGGAGCCGAAATACACTTCAAAGGGTTCTCAGCATCTTTTCGCTTTAATTCTAAAAGAGAGACACTACAAATTGAAGAAGATTGTGAAGAAGAGAACGTGACCGCCAAAACACCGGAAAACCAAAAAAAAAGAGCTACTTCGTTTCTTGTGTGGTGATTGTTCAACAGGTGAGGGTGGCGACGACGGTCTCGATAAGGATGGCGATTCGATTGAAATGCGCTTTCTGCCAACCTCCAACGTCTATTTTAGTGGAAAACACCCGTTGATTGATAGGGCAATGCTGTTGACTGCGACAATGACAGCGAAGGAAGAAGAAAAGGGTAAATGGAATAAAAAGAAAAAGAAAGGTCGAGCACGCGCTCCATCACAATGCAGTCTTGGCAGATGAAAAGCAGAGGTGTTCTGTGCCACCGGGCATCTCTAGTGTTTGTGAAGATGCGTCTTTTATTCCGTAAATTATGATCAGAGTTTTCTCCCCTTTCATCCTTTGTTGGAGTCGCACGGCGTCTGTGAACCCTCGTTGAGATGAACTGATTTCTTGTCTTTTTCGTCTTTGAGAGCCAGGAGCGTGCGATCCCCAAGGAACATCGCCGTCGAGAAGACAAGGAACAGGAACGATGCTCCCACAGCAAAACAATAGGAACAAAAAAGCGAGCATACCCTGAGCGCCTCCTAAAATAGCGGAAAACATCCTATCGAATCTCAACTACAACGATTCGAAGACTAAACGGTCGTCTACTTTTTCACCTTTTTAAGGGATACTACGTTACAGGTAAAACAAGGAAACCAAGAAGGGATAATGATGATACAAAGCAGATACTACATAAAACAACACCACAAAACAGGCTTATCGCAGACTTGAACCAACTTGCCGAAGTTGTGTCGAGAACAGAATACAGGTTATGCAGGGGTGTGTTAATGAGGATGGACACGGCAAATATCAACCGCACCGCTGCCGTCTTCGACACCACGGCGCGTCAAGCTCTTCGCCTTCCAGATACGGTGGTAGTGATAGGCCATGTCATGCCCGTAGCCCTGCGGGTCGCTATACACCGCCATCATATCATTGGCCCACCGCTGAAACTCCGGCACGTACTCGTAGCTGCACTGCTGCGTCAGGTGACTCAGTTCATCCTTGCGGTTGCGTGGGTTGGGGTGCAGGAGCTTCTTGGTGCTCTCCGCCCGCTCCGCCTTGGACTCCTCCACGGTGCGGTTGGTGTAATGCTTCGTGATGCGGTTTTCTACAATACCCTTGGCAGCGATGATGGTGCGCACGGAGGCGAGGGCGGTGACTGGCTTGGCGTAGTGCGCCGCCACAGCGCAGGTGGCACGGCGCATGGCTAACTCTAAAAAATGATGTCTGAACGCAGTACGTAATACGACTCTGCAAGCAGAGAGAGAGAGAGAAGAAAAAAATGGAAGGGAGGGGAGAAGGGAAAACCGAGTTGCCGACTCAAAACCTAGTAAATACATAAAGTGTACCGTTCGACAGTGGAGTTGCGAGATCACGACACGAGAACAACACGTGAGGAGGACAGCGTTGGCGATCAGGTCCACAAATAGCGTAAGAGTCCGGAGAAGAAGGCGAGATAAAGAATGAAAAAAAAAAAACGAAAAAAGAAAGAGAAGTTTGAATCATTGTGTGGATGAACTCCTGTGAGGCAATGGCGTACAGAGGAGTTGCGAATGAAAAGACCACCGCAACACCAAAGAACCAGTCTTGGAACACTTCATCCTATGCAACGAGTCATTCCGTATTTGATGGTTGAAGTGTCACCGTGGCGGTCCACAGCGAGGTGTGTGTCCACTTTTTCCCTTTCTTTTGAAGTACACAGCAGTTTAATAAGAAATTCTGTCACGCGAGTATCGCAAGGCTTGTTTCACCGGGTGCTTTTCCAACGGATATACGTTGTGGAAGGCGCGCGAATCCCCTTTCCCTTTTCCCTGACCTTTAATTCAGAGGTAGTTCAAGTGGTAAGCACAGCAGATAACATCACTGAAAAGCACCACGTTATAAGCATTGCGTATGTTGCCCCTACCCTTTCTGGTCTCTCACGAATTCTGGCCCGCGTAGTTGCCGCCTTTTCTTTCCTCTTTCTTCTTACGGCTGCGCACTTTCGCTTGCCATGGTTGCTGCCGACGTCGACGCGTTCTTCACCGACCGGGGAACGTAATCCAACAGAAGCGCCCCAGCTCGCATGGCGTCTTGCAGCCCTTGCGGATCGACAATGCGCTGTTGCGTCGTCTTGTCCCGTGTGTAGAGCGGGCGCGATCCTGCCGAGACGAAAAAGGAGTCCGGTAGAACGGTCCAGCGACGGTCCGCAAAGGAGACGGCGTGGCTGCCGGCCGGGATGGCCACCGGCGAGGCGGTAGGGACGCCTTCCGGGAGAAAATCCTCTCTTGCGTGCTGCTCACACATGCGCATCGACTTCAGGCAGAGCGCGTCGCCTTCGTCGCGGGTGATCCAATAAAAGGTGGAGCAACGCGAAAGGGCCTCCCCGTCCTTGTCCCACATGGATTGGAGTTCGCCCATGACCGACATGAGGAAATCTCGACTTCGGTACACCTGTCTCTTCCGGGCGCAGCCAAAGTTATCATCCTCCCCCTCCTTCGTGACGGGCGTCAGTTCCACGTAGTTGAGGTCGGTGTTGACGAGTGGGAGGGCTGGTCTGCCGTCCGCGTAGAAGGAGCCGTAGGCAACTCCCTGCGGGTGCCCGACGACCACCAGCACTGTCGGCATGGGAGTACTTTTGTCCACCGCCGTCGTGCGGTCGTTCGTGTCCGAGAGGTGAGCGAGAGGCTCAATCACTTTCAAGTAATTCTCCACGGAAACACCGAGTGAGTTGCCGTCGCCGGTGACGGCCGATGGGTGCGGCAGGCAGCACACCGGGATGTACACACCCTTCACCTTCTGCTTGTTGTCCAAGACGAGAACGCGGCCGGCGCCACGCCCCGACGAGGAATGCCGCAGGAGGCGGTCATGTGGCATGAGAGACGTCGTCAGCGTTGCGTAGGCGTTTCCAGGGTTCATGTTGGCTTTGTACTTGACTTGGAAGTGTTTCATGTTGAAGTACGCTACAGCAGCGCGTGGAAAGTGGAGACGGGAGTGGGCAAACATCTTATGTCAGTGAGAGTGCGCGAACGCGCGGATTTGCGAATTAGATATATGTGCGTGTGTGTGTGTGTCGTGCTTGCGGAAGATACAAAGGTCCGCTGCGTTTCCTTCTCCCAAATGTACACGTCACCAATGGCCTTTCTATGGTTGCAAAATAAATAAATAAAGGGCAATTAATGATAACAGCAATCAGTTACAATAAGAAGAGTGCGGGATTTATGCGTGGGAGTTAGCTTCTTTAAAGCAAACAAAAAAAAGATCTAAGTGAATGCCGTGAAAGTGGACGAAATTGCGCAAGGCGTGCTGTCCACACGTGCTTTCACGGATTGCATGAGAGCGAAGAGTTTAGCAGGAGAGAGGAAAGAAGAAGAAAAAGAGGTAAACGAGAGGGCGTGTTACACAACTTCGTAAGTCTACTTGTCACTCAAAGTCATTCACGCGGCACGACCGGTAGAAAGGCCTATAACGGGTACGCTTTTTTTCCCCCAACCGAAATAGCTCAGCTTTTTACGCGTGTGGCACCGCAGTTGTGTGTGTGTGTGCGTGTGTGTGTCCTGCGGCTCTCGAGAATTCTTTAGTGAAGGTGTGTTCACCGTTTCCTTTTCATTTCCACTCACTTTACGGATGGATACAGACGGAGAAAAAAACAAATGCACCACAAAAAGTTTTGAACCTTATTAGAATTTAGGCGCCGAAAGTATCGTAATGCTGTCCTAAAAAAAAGGGGGAAAAATGGAAAACACTTCTGAAGAAGATGTACAAAGGTGTCAACTCCAAAAGAAAGAAACAAATTTGCTTACAGTGCTTTCACACACGCGCACACACGAAAATAATATCTTTTTGTTTTTTAAAACGCATCCGCGATTTACGAGGAAAACAACAAAAAAGCTGTTATGAGTCTGAAGTCCATCAATATGAATAAATAAATAAAGGGGAGCACGACTGTACCTTTTCTCTGATCTCTTATCTTATCCTACCTCCGCCGCAGCGATGAGGGCTCCATAGAAACAAAACAGATATATAAATAAATGAAAGTTACATGTGTTAGAGGGCGTTATCTCCTTTTTATCATGTCTGGTTAGATCTTTTTCTTAAAAGGCGGTCCCAATAGGACGCATGCCTGCCTAAAACCCCATTTGCCGCACCGCCCACACCATTAAGCGAGGAAGCGGGTCGCGAAAGTCTTGCGGCGCAGAACGGTGTGCAGAGCTCTGAAGGACAGCATGGAGTAGGCCACAAAGATTGCCGCCAACACAAAGAAGGGCGCCAGCGAGGTGTTCGGCGGGTCAGCGCCGGCATCAAAAGGCACCGGAACGTTCATCGCATAAAGCGTCTGCACCATCACGATGGGGTACATAATGTTCGACACCTCCGTGAGCAACAGCAGCATTCGCAGGGCGCGGTTGCCGCGGCGGAGGAGAAACCACTGGATGGCGACGTTGTGGTACCAGTTCGACACCGCCACCGTGTCGCGGCAGTCGCTGATCTCGCGCTGAAACTGCCACAGGTGCGCCTGCGCGTTTTCGAGCTCGCGCCGAATTGTCGGGTCCGCCACGAAGAACTGCTCGGCCGCCATGGGCTGCAACAGGGTGGCAAATACAACTTCGCGGCGCGCCGTCTCGGCGCCACACTCGCCGAAGCAGCGACGCACCGCCGTAATGCGCTTCACCACCTGGTCCTGGTCCCGCTGCTTTTCCTTCACCGCAAACACGGTATCACCCAACTCGTCCACGACTTGGGCAAGCGTGATGCTGTCGAGGTGGTGGCCCACGGCAATCTGCAAGAAGACACTCAGAATGTAGGGCGCGGTAAAGCGGCGCCGCATCGAGGGGGCGAGGAGAACGTTGCTGTGCAGCCGAGCCGCGGTGAGCTCCGGCGGGGCGCAGTGCAGCTGCACCATGCGCAGCAAGTCGTCCATCTCCGCAAACGGCTTGTCGTGAATGGTGAACATCCAATCCGCGAAGACGATGATGCCAACGGGCACCGCGTCCGGCACCGAGGAGCGTGGGGCTCCCACGCGGACCGCCTCAAACTGCATCTCCATCACGCTGCAGTTAGTAAGAGGGTGTCGGCGTGGCGCCGTTCCCTTCTTGTTCTTGTTCTTCGTCGTTTCTTTGTCTCTCGGGTGTGCACCGGCGAGGTGGCTTAAAAAGCCCTTCTTCTTCTCTGCGTTCTCGGACATCGCGTCCGCCTCGTCGGAATTCTCGATCACTGGGGTACACATCAGGTTCAAGAACACGTAACCGGACGTGGTGTCCGAGGCCTCCCCAGTCGCGGCGGAGTTGATGTCAACCGAGTCTGCCATAGACAGGTACAAGCAGTTGTCCTTGGTTTCCTGGGAAATCGGCAGCATATCCAGCAGCCGCGCCACCCGCTCCGCGCTGTGGGGTTGCGTGCGATCAACTTGCACATCCAGCCACTTCGCCAGTGGGAGCGGCGGGCCGGCGCTGGGCGACTTCTCCGCCGCCGCAGCAGCAGACACATCGTCGGGATGGTTGCCGTTGCGTGTGCCCGGCGCCGTTGTGGTCGCTTCGTCTTCCTGCTGTGCACGTCGGTCTTTGGTGGCGGCGGTGCGGCCGTCCCCTTCGTCCTCGTCGACGTCCTCCTCCTCCTCGTTGTCGTACAGCTCGCCGGTGGGGAGGTGCATGTCGTGCGAGTCCAGATAACGCGCCAGTCCCTCCGCGTGATGGAACTGACGCGCAAATGGGGCCGTGCTTTCGTCGTGCTGGCACATGAGCCACCAGTGCTCCGCGCTGTCCTCAATCCGCACCAGGTTCGAGGCGTCGTCGTGTCCGTGCACCGCCGACCCCGCCACCGAAGATGGAACTTTGGAAGGAGGAAAGGGGTCGTGCGTCGAGGCGACATCAGGACACGTCGCGTCGTCTGCGTGCTCCTGCACGCGCAGGTGCAGATACGACCCGCGCGACTCGGGCGGCGCCGCAGGGTAGGTCCCCTGAGCAAAGCTGCGGTTCTTCAGAAACGAGTTGACTCTCCCGCGGCTTTCCTTGCCCGGCCTGAAACCGCCAAAGTCGATCACATCGGTGCCGTCGGAGTGGACGTAGAGGTGACTCAACAGTGTGTAATCGAACGGGGACGGGTCGACCACTTCCTCCAGCGTTGCGTGACGGCGACTCGTTTTCATTTTCGATCTTATGCCGCCTCGCGGAGTAAAAGAAATACACGAATCGTTCGCGCGAGAACTCCGCAGGGTAGAGATGAAAAGCTGCTAATTGCTATGAATAAGCTTACTCATCTGAATGAACAACGAAGAAAGTAAGAGGAGAGACCTAGACGCCGAAAAGAAAAAAAAGAAAAGAAAAGTAGTGTATGCGTGTTGGCGAGTGTGTAAGTGTGTGTGAGTGTGACGAGAGCGGAAGCGAGGGCACAAGAAGAATGCACAATTGTGATTTTACATTCTTTGGCTCCACGATCTGCTTGTCATGCTCATTCTTTTCTGTTTGTTTCGTGAGGCAGCGTATTCGTATACGAGGAGAACAGAGATGAGTAGGAGGGGAAGGGGGGGGGGAGGGATAGAGGAGAAAGGAAGTTACGTATCAATACAAAGTGGCCGCCTCACCAGTGAGAAGGACACAGTACTTACCAGAAGAGCATCGAGATTCACCGTGACCGCTGAAGTAGTCGTTTTTCTTCTTAAGGAGCCCTTGTTGATAACTGGGAGAAAGCACTCAGCCCCACGTTTCTCCTACAGCTTCTATTCCAAATGGCAGTCGTGTTTTTATCTGCTTCCTCGTTTTCCTACCTGGTAGGGAGCGGTGATTGAGATTACCGCGCCTTATCTCTTCCCTTTTCGCGGCTGCAACTGAGGAAAAAGAGTTTCGGCACGTGAAAGGATGACCAGACGGACGCACAGAATGTTCTGTAGAAAAAAACAGAAAGCGAAACGCATGCCTTCTTTTTCTCTCTTATCACAAGTCTACGAATTCACGACAGGCATGATGGTAGGCGTACACAGACCCACCGAAAGGGTACAGAAATGGGGAAAGCAACGAAGAAGAAGCAGCGCCTCGTGATGAGGACGGTAAAGACAGAAAAAAAAAACAAACCTCCGCCACGTAGAGAGAGAGAGCATAAAAAGAAGAAAAGAATGATACGACGTGTATTCTCCATATTTGTCGTGACGTTGAAGCGGACGTGCATCTTCATCACGCACAGAACCCTTCATCCTTCAGAAAAAAGAGGGGAAAAATAGCTTAAACTGCTACACCAAAACGCTAACGGCTCCCGTCACTCCATAATGACAGCCGCGGCATAGCTCACAGAAGAGTCGTAAGCATCCTCGCACTTGTTGGACTGCGCGTAGTGCACGAACTTCACTTGTGCTTTGCTGTCCTTCGCTGCCCAGCGGTGCAGGCCTACACCGATGGGTGCGCGTCCGCAGATGGTGTTGTGCGTCATCTTCATATAGCTGTACCAGCCGTCCAAGTCGCGGTGCTCCAGCAAATCCATCGCGGCGTGGTCCATGGCGATAATGGAGTCCCCCACGTTCGGGTACTCGCTCCGCTTGTAGTGATAGGTGTAGGAGAAACGGTCGCCCCAGTGGCAGAAGTCGGAGCTGAAGACAAAGAAGTTCTTCGCGTCGTCCATGTAAGGCCTCAGTACCTCGTAGAAGGCCTTTTCGTCCTTCCGCTCCGTCCACCCAACGATGATGGGCACAATAGACACGCGTGCGGAAGCAGCAGCGACACCTGGCGGGGGGTAGTGCAGGACGTGCGCGAGGTACGGCGTCTCCATCTCAATCGAGTGCTCCCCTTCCTCGGTGCGGCGCGACGCCTTGTTTGCCTCCACGCCGGCTTTCCTGAGTGCTGCCATGACGCTGTTCACGGTGGACACGTCCACGCGAAGCGGCCCAAACGGGGTCTCGTACATGCTGGCCGCGGAGAGCTCGCAGCCCTCAAAGCCCTTCACGTGGCACGGACCGAGAAGAAACACCCGCTCCAGCTGGCTGCCGGCTGTGTCTTTCGCGTACAGGTAGTCGCGAAACACTGCAAACGCCTCCGCCGCGGTGCGGCCGGAGTAGGCCATACCGGCATGTGGAGCGATGAGGCCTGTGAGTCGACGCGCCCCGCCGTCCCCCTCGCCGAAGTGGTGTGTCGCCTGGGCGAAGTACCCGTCCAGCGTCGCCTTCAGACGCTCAGGGATCGCCTCGTACCACCCCCTCCCGTTTGGCGCCGCGTGCGAGGCAGGGCGGACGAAGCTCATTGTTATCTTCCGCGCAAGTGACGACGTGTGGATGGTTACGTGTGAAGAGTGGTGGTGGTGTAGTCGCTTGGCGGTGTGCGTGTGGCAGACTTCTTTAGACTCTTTGCGTTTCATCTGCACGGCAAGAGGGGCGGTGCGTGCGGCGGCCGTGGTGCCAGTTTTTTTTTTGAATGAAGACGTGGAGACAGCAAAAAGGAAAAGAAGAAGATATAAGGCGAGTGGTAATCAGACTTCGGCGCACACACAGGGCATCACAACCCACCCGATGGAAGGTCATCTGGTCGTATGAACTGAGAGAAAGAAAAAGAGAGATGTGCCGTTCAACTAATTCTGCTTACACTTACGGATGCCAGATGATTGTCTTTGTTTCGTACCATCCTACTATCTTCTCCTTCTTTCAACGCAGCTGGCGAGAAGCTCTGCGGTCCTTCGTTGCGTACGACAATGTGGAATCGTCCAAAAAAAAAACCCACGCGGCGGTCGCAGTACGGGAGCACCGGGAGATGAACAACAACAAAGAAAACGCAAACGGCTCATTTTTTTCTTCACGTGAAGAGTACGGGGGAGTAAGAGAGAGGGAGAGCGAGAGAGCAACAGAACAGAGGCGGAAGGTACATACCGCACGAATTCACCACCACAGCAAACAATAAAATATGCGGTTTCCGAAAGGAGACAGATGTTGATGGCAATCAATACCGCTCATCAAGCAAACGAAACAAAACAAACAGAGAAAAAAAAAGAAGAACGTGCGCGCGCGTGTGCGCCGGAGCGAACAACGATTGCGATCTCACTTGCCGTTTACGCAGCGTACGCGCGTGTGCCGACATCAAAGAGGGCGACGACGGGTCGGTGGTCGCTCGTGCGCACGTTCGGCACATCGGTGTAGAGGCGGATGGCTACGCGCCGTGCCGCGGAGCTGAGTTTCTTTTTGAATAACACGCGATCACAGTAGGCAGGCATTCGATCCTTCTTCCGCGAAAAGTTGTACTCGTCGAGTGTCACGCCGCCGTTGCTGGGGGACACCTCGTACTTGTAGGTTGGACGGAACAGGAGGTTGCCTTCGTGGTAGCCCTGGAACACCGCCCCACGTGCGCGCTCGAGACTCAGCTGATCGTTGTTGATGAGGATCGATCGGATGTTGCGGTGGTGCTGAATGACGTACTCAATCGCCTTTCGTGTGCCGTTGATACGGTAATTCAAGTCTCCTCCGAAGAAGGTGAGATCAAACTCCTCCGTGACGTCGCGGCGCGCTTTACCGCGATTCACAATAGCGGAGACGACGGGCAGGCTGAGCAGCACGATGTCCTCCTCCGACGAGTCGTCGTTCCACTGTGAGTCGTTGTCGTCGTCGCTAACCACTCCCTCCACGTCGCCCAGCACGCGTCGCTGCCGCAGCAAGCGCTTGAAGAACTTTCGGTGCGAACCTCGCCGGCCGACCCGTAAGCCGTGAACGATCTGGCGATAGTCCTTGTTGCGGTTCACCACCGCGCCCTGATGGGCGGCTAAGTGGGCGGTGATGAAGAGCAGCGACATGTAGTTTGGGGTGTCGCCGTCTGGCGTCCCGTCACTCAAGTCGTCGTCACAGCGCTGTTCCGCCTCGTTGTGATGCCGCGTATTACCGTTGTGGAGACCTCCATTTGCACGATTCTTCCGTCCAACGCGGTGGTGCACGTGACGCTTCTTCCGCCGCCCCCGCTGCCGCGAACGGGAAAGGTCAAAAGAGGCGTTGCGGTTGACCATCTCAGCGGGTGAGAATACCGCCTCATCCCCCAGCCCCGCTCCAACGCTGCTGTTGTCGTTGAAGTCCCCCGTCGTGTCGGCGGAGATCTCTGCCAGCATTAGTCGGTCGTACACATTTGCGTCATCGTCGTCGACGTCGTGCTGCATGACCACCGCGCTGAGCAGCGCCGGGGGCGGTGGACCCGACATCATACTCGGCGACAAGGGCACATCATCGTCCATGGCGTCGTTCTCTCCTCCTCGGTCGTCAGATCTTGACTCGGTGGTGGTGGCTGACGCCGCTGCCTGCTCAGCGCGGGGGACACTGGGGAAATGAACGCCGTCGTTGGCTGCGCTAACGATGGTCGGTCTGGCGTTGATGCTTCCGGCCGGCGCCCGCACCCGCTCGCCTCGTGGGGAGGGCGGGGCAGTCGTCACAGCCCGCTGCGTCGTCGCCCCGTGCGAGAGCTCGTTGAACTTCGGCGTCAGGGAAAGCACCAGCCCCACGGCAACGCCGCCCTTGTTGCCGCCCAACCCGTTCATCAGCCCCGTCTTTACATGCGATGCGTGCGGGCGCGACACGTACTTGGCCACGTCTCGCTTGCGCGCAAAGACCAGCATTTGGATCGCCCACATGTGATGCTTGCCGACGAGTTCGTACTGCCCGCCCAGACACACGTCGCCGATCGTCCGCGCCCATTTGTTTTGCAGTTTATTCGTTCCAATGTAGGGCCCGTTCTCCTGCGTGCCAACCACCACGAGATGTGCGTTGGGATGTATGCAGTGAGCGGAGACCTCGTCCATCCGCGGCTCTTTGTTCGCCATGTTCCACGTGACGTAGGCGATGCGCAGCGGCTTGCCTGGGCACCACAGCTTGTCTTCCCCACGTAGCAAGTCGTCCGGGCAGTAGCGGGGAACGGGAAAGGATTCGCGGGTGGGGAGATCGGGTAGCCGCAGGCCAGACGCCATCGCGGCGGCGTCTGCCGCAGCGTCGATGTCCGCGTAGCCGTTTCGTTGATACAACGGGGATGAGAGGTCGACCGGGGTGCGGGGGTTGGTGATCGGCGGCACCGACGGCGCCGTGGGTGTCGTCGGCGACGCAGCGTCGAAGGAGCGGGTCGTGTCGCTGCGACCCGGACCGGCGACGGCCCCGCCCCCGCCGGTGCACTTCACATCCGCCGAGAGAACACCGTGCGACTCGTGCACGGCGACCACCGCGGCGGCCGTCAGCACGGGGGAGTGCTGCAGCGGCGACGCGACGCTGCGTCGCACCATCTGACGGGGCGGCAAGTCTGGCGCCTCCCCAGAAGCCCTGTGCGGCACTGGGAAATCCAACAAGTCCTGCCCCTGCAGAGAGGACTGAGCTGGGCTCTCTCGCTGCGCTTTGCCAGAGCTGCTTTGAGGGGGCGAGACTTGACGGGAGGAAGGGGATGAAGGACCGCTGTGGTGCGGCTCCTCCAGCTTGTTGGGGGATTGGATCGCAGGGCTGTAGTTATTACTGAGCGGCGCGGAGAGGTGTTGCGTGTGCGGTGGGTGATGCCCCACCGTCGACGACGCTGAGAAGTGCAGGAGAAAGTCGTGCAGGTGCGGAAGTTCCTGCTCGTCTTGATTTGATGGCGGTCGCGATGCGGGCGCGGACAACGGCGAGGCGGACTGCAATGGTAGCTGGGATGGCTGCGCAACTGTTGTATTTGCGTTCGCGATGATGCGGGGTAGCGGGCCAGCAGGGAGAGAGAAGCTAGTGCTTGTCACGCTCGCCGTAGATTTGGCGCCGGCTACGGAAGTCGTTGTCGCCGCCCCGTTCTGCAGCGTTTCCGGCGTGTCAGGCAGTGGCCGGCGTGTGGCACTGTTCTTACGCGGGTTGCTCATGGAGCGTATTGGCGGCGGCGAGCGGCGGCCTTCCAGAGGAGAAGAACTCACGGCAAAGGCGGGTGTGGAGGAGGACACGCCCACCTTCGCACAGCCGTCCTCGAGTGTTTCCGGGAACGAAGGCAGCGGGGGGAGGTTCGACCTGACAAAGGCAGTGAAGTTCTCAACTGCCGCATCGTCCGTGCGCTCGATCATCGGGGTAGAGAAAAGCTAGACGGCCAGGTCAGCACGTTGCCACCGTAAAATAAAAACCACCTTAATATACAAACAGCAAACAGCAACAACACGCCATACGGATTCCCGAGAGAGCACCCTACTCCGTAACAACCGTGTCACAGTTGAGAGAGTGAACCGGAGTGGTAGAGTGGTAAAAAGAAGCCGAAGTGCCTTGGGCAGCAGAAAGAAGAACTGTACACATTCAACGGGCAGCAAGTTGTGAAACTATAAGGTAATAGTACAAAACAACAATTGTGTGCTAGTCTCTTTTCAAGCTCACCAAAACGCAGGTTTTTGGGGATGGAGTGGGGGTTGTTTTAAGAGAGGCGTCACGGAGCCTCTCAGAAACGAATCGTTGGCGCAAAGGAGAAAAAAAAAATAATAAGAATGGGCAGACGAACCCGACAACTAGAACAATTAGCGCGCAGGAAAGCGGTGTGTGCGCAGTATTCTCACACGGGAGTGATGGAAAGCGTCAAGTCTTGAAGAAGTGAACCAGCCTGTCGTTTCGCTTGTATTAACTCACGTTTCTCCAATGTTTCCCCTCTTTTGTGTGTGTGTTTGTGTCTGTGTTCCCAAAATAATGCACTACACAACAACCAGTGCAAAACACGCGAACTGCAGAAAAGTGGTCGACTGCAGAAGGAAAAAAAGAAATAGGAAGAATAAGGCAAATCAAAATTATTATGTACCCTTCGAAAAGCATGAAATTTCACCAAAGCAACAATGAAACTGAAGAAAACGGTTGAAAGAGGGAGGAAAAAAAGATAAAGCGAGTTCGAATCTGTAAATAAATATAAATACATATATACGCAATAAACGAATGTTTGTCTGTACCACGATGCGTCGTGTTGCTGCAAAGAACTGGTGTGTGTGTGTGTGTGTGCGGACTGTGTTGTCCGTGGCACGTCTACGTGAAGCTGTTGAAAAGGAAAATGAAACGATGAATTGAGAAACAACAACGAAATCCGAACGAGCCGCTGTACAGTCTACGCTACGCTTTCCTCCCTGCTCCGTGCATGATCGTGTATCCTTTTTTCTATACTACAACGTGGGAGAAGAGGAGAAGCCGCCCTCAGTTAAAGGAATAACCTTTAAAAAGTGTTGGAGAAACCATCGGGGGAAATAAAAAGGCGGAATTGCTCAACTCAAAGCACGTTGATTCTTCGTCATTGAGGCCTTTTTTCAAGGAGCATAAAGGGCGTGAATAGGCTTACAGCGCAGCACAGGAAAACCATCTGTGATGGGGCGGTGCGGTTCATTGAATGAGCGACACGTGACATCTGGAAGCTTAAAGCAGACTTTCGGGAGAGCTTAATAGCAGCAAAAACAAACAAGAAAACCGACAGAAACGACGGTTCCGTTTCAGAGGTTCCGCTGTAGACACTTCGATTCTTTAAAACCTTTTCTCGTACCACTGGGTGGGGAATCATGACGCTGATAGTTGAATGCACAGGGTAAATAATAACGAGACGACTGCGATGTGCAGCCGGTGGGCGGGTAAGCAAGAATGAAGAGAGCCGAAGAAGAAAGTACACAGAGAAAATATTATACGCTTGCAAGAGGCAGAAAAAAGAAAAGGAGGGAGGTGCGTGTGTCATGACGCACGGAACCTTTTTGTTCTTCTGCTGGAAAAGGAAAAAAAGAGAGAAGGATTTGTGAGGAACAGGCGCTAACATGCCAAACACTCAAAAAAAAAAAAGAAAGAAAGAAAGCAAAAAAGAAATGTTTATTGCGCTCTCTTAAAGTGTATACGGAAATCAACATGACATGGAAATGCTTACGAGACAAACCCTTTCATACGTTTCCGACCGCAACAAGGAACGTTTTCCCTTACAAAACGTCCACCTTGTGGTGGAGTTGTTGCTACCGAGGCACAGTGTGCACTCACCTGACGCACAAGACTTCGGTGACGAGTAAAAAGAAAAAGGGAGGCACACAGGGCTTCCCCTCGAAGGCCTCCTCCCCCCCCCCCCCCACGCTTGAACGCAAACGAGTTATTCGAAAGGATAGGGAAAGAGAACACAGCATGGAAGAGAACCTCCTGGGTTTGTTTCCTTCGCGCCGAAAACTATTCCACTCTGCGTCCGTTACTGTCGTATTTGTAGAAGCCCTCACCGGTCTTCTTACCGAGCTTGCCCGCTTGTACAGCATCGTCGATCAGCTTGGACGGCTTAAAGAGTGGCTCCTCCGGGAACTGCTTGTGCCACCCATCCACAATAAACTTCAGCACATCAATGCCCACGCTGTCACACAGCTCAAACGGTCCCATCGGATATCCGCAGCCGTACTTCATCGCGATGTCCACGTCCTGGAAGGTGGCCACGCCGCGCTCCACGAGGCGGCACGCCTCCAGTTGGTACGGCACCAGAAGCCGATTCACAATGAAGCCCTCCGTGTCCTTGGCGACAACGGGCGCTTTGCCGATAACCTTGCCAAACGACACAAGCTGCTCGATCACCTCCGGCTTCACGTCATCCGTCCGCACCACCTCCACCAGCTTCATCATCGACACGGGGGAGAAGAAGTGCGCACCGGCAAAGCGGTCTTTGCGGGTCGTCGCGGCCGCCAACTCCTTCACACTCAGCGACGACGTGTTGGAGCAGAACGCCGTCGATTTGGGGGCCATCTTGTCGATCCGGCTGAAGAGCTCCTTCTTGGCGTCGATGTTCTCTACGATCGCCTCAATGACCAGCTCCGCCCCCGCAGCGGCCAACGTCTCGTCGGTTGTGAAGGTGATGTGGGACACGACAATGTCGACAAACGACTTCATCTTTGCCTGATCGCCGTTGCATTGCTTCTTTGCCACGCGCAGGAGCGTGTTTTCGATAGCCTTGCGGGAGGCGTCCAGCCGGGCCTGCGAGACGTCCACCAACGTCACCGGGATGGAGGCCTGGGCCGTGACCTGGGCGATGCCGCTGCCCATCGTGCCACCACCCCACACCGCCACCGACTTGAAGAGCGCCGACGAGGTAAAGCGGAGCATGAGAAGGGGCAGTGATGAAAGCTACGATAGAGGAATATGTATGTATGTGCGAGAGGAGGCAGTCACTTTCCGCGAAGAGACGGAACTGAGAGAATTAAATACATATATATATTGTTTCAGATGAAGTGTATCAAGGTAAAGCTCTGAAGCACCGTGATCCTTCTGCACGAAGTGTGTGGTTCCTAGCCGCGTTGTTCGTGTGCAAACGTGTTCGTGTTTGTTTTTCACCTTGTCGTGGGGAGACGTCGTGTCGTGTCTTCATTGAAGCGAACATTGCCACAAAGTCGTCCCGCGGATGCGCCAACACACAAAAGAAACACAAGGGAGGCGGTGGAAAAAGGAGAGCGAAAGGAGCGAAGGGGGGGGGGGGGCAGTGGAGCGGGATTCACGAACAAAGATCGGAGTCCTTCGCATCTCGAGTAAACCAGGAAATCGAAGCGCACGCTGGTGCATCAGTGGGCTTCGCTCTGCATCGAGGGCGGGCTGCCAAAAAAAAAAAACCCCAAGCTGCACAGAAGTGTGTACCTCTCCATTGTCACTTCCGTCTATTGAATGGAAGATTCTCTTCGGTTGCGATCAACGAAGGAAGAAGAGCCCAAGTTCACCGCATGGCGTTCAACAACGCACATAAAGTTACGGTGTGAAGAGCGATCACACCCGTGAAGTGACACCACGCCCAGAGTGCGAAATCCAATACGCACACGGACACGAGAAGTTGAAAAGGAGTCCTGGTGCAAATACACATAAGCCCATCGAGAACAAACCATGCAGCAAAATTAAAAGGGCCAAAAGTCACCACTGGGCCAGCGTCACCGCAAATAGCATCACGGCAAATAGCGATCACACACGTCCTCGAACAAGGCTCTGCGTGCATTTATTTTTGCAGGAAAGAAAATGCAAATTCGTCCACGCTTGCGCTGCACTACAGATCGCCGTCGTCCTCGCTGTCGTGCACGACGGGGCTCGCAAGCTGCGGCACCATACGAGGGATAAACGCATGCCCACCCCGCACCTCCTCCTTGGCGAAGCGCGGGTCGTGTGATGTGACAAATTGCACGATGCTCTCCGCCGAAAACGACCCCACAAAGTTGTAGTACCGGGCAGGACGGGACAGCGAGATGAGCACGAGGTCGGGGAATCCATTCCGGCCTGCTTCAAAGTACTCTCGCACGGCATCGCTGCCCTCGCGCTCCACCACGACTAGAGCTACGCTACGCGCCTCCATCGCAAGCAGCTCCATGAGCTTCAGGGAGACGCTCGAGAGCACCTGCACGGCGTGCCGCTGCGCAGCAGGGTCTTGCGTGGAGTCGACGAACGCAGCGAGGCACTTGTGTCCCTTCGGCAACTGCAGACAGTGCTCCGCCCAGGCCGCCTGGTCGCGCGCGACGATCGGCTCCACCAGCAATGCCAACCGCTCCTCTTCCACCACGTCCTGTTGCCGCTCCACGAGCGCCGCGGCCATGTACTGACGCCGTGCCTCTGCGACCGCCAGCACTTTGGGGTCTTGCGTCGCCTCCGCCTTCGCGACTAGCGCCTCGATGGTATCGGGGAGTTGCCCGTCGAGAAAGGCCTTCACTCCGGCGTAGCTCCACGTCGACGAGCTGGTGCTGTTCATCCGCACGGCGTAGTCGGAGTCGCCGGCACCGTCGTCCTCGTCCGCGGACGCTTTGTGCAGCACCAACAACGCGGGAAGCTCCTCCACGCCCGTCACGCCGTAGCGGCGCGCAATGGCCGTTGCCTCATCCTTCACAAAAGCACCCGGCACCACGGCGAAGCCCGCATCGTGTGAGAAGTGCTGACTGATGGTGAGAAACCCTGCGTGAGTGTAGTTCTTCAAGGGAAAGAAGAGCACATGGGGGAGGGTTGGGTATCTTGGGAAGAGAGCCAAGAAACGCGCGAGGTCAGCGTCGTTGCGCACGCGCAGCACCACCGACGGCGAAACGCACGACAGTGCCCACTTCGCCAGACTCAGCAGATCAACCGCCCCTTGGTAAGCGAGGGGCACCTTCAATCCTTTTTCGCCGTTCACCGGGGTGTCGCCTACGCCCTGAAAGAAAAGGATAGCCGCGCCGCTGCCGATGGCCTGCTGCAGCTCCAGACCGACTTCAGAGGTGAGGTCGACGTCCGCCACGTTGATGCCAAACTTTTCCATCGCCTGCGAAAAGCGAGTTACCAGAGGCTGCCAGAGGTTGTGGACGGTCTGCGGGTCGTGGTCAAACAGAAATAACACCACAGGGTTCGAGCTGAAGGACAGGTGGCGCTGGTAGGAGTCCATCGAGTCAAATCTTGTGACGAGGGGGCCAAACAGAGGAGGGGGAGAGGCGGGCGACTCTCCTTTCTTCGCAGCTGTAGAGGCAGCAGCAGGGGCCTTCTGCGATAAGCGGGGGGCGCCATAGGCAACCCAAGAAGCTAGCAGAAGCACCCCCACCACGGCAACAACCCGCAGCCTCACCACGGTGGATCGATTCATCTTTGATATCGCAAGCGTGTTTTTTTTTAGTTATTTTTCCTGCATTAGTTCTTTTGATTGTGGGCAAAAACAAAAGAGAGAAGGAAGAACGTGAGTAAGAAGAATTTCCACTCGCACACACGTGAAGCGTCAACGACCCCTCAAGGAGGAGCAACGATGCGCCTTTCGCATTCAGCGTAGGATAGAAACAACAGAAAGACAGCCGCAGAGACCTTTCAAACTACAATTCTTCCTGCACATTGCGCTTTTTAAAAAAGGCGTGATTCTGTTGGTCCGTGCAACAGCGCTGCCTAAAACTGCCAGCACTCTCATTTCCACAGAAGAATCGTCTACATAGAGGAAACAGTCCTTTGGCGCATCGCACGCATGACTTCTTCCTTTTTTTTTTTTGTGTGTGTGGTGGGGGGTTCTTTCGTCAATAACGACGGGGGAAACTTTCCACGCTAAGCGACAGAAAAGGAAATAAAGAAAAGGGAAGGGCATTGCTGAAAACGAGGAAGAGAGGAGAGATGGTGTGTGCCGAGGGAAACGCACAACAGCAGCAACAACAAAGAAGCGTTAAGGGCCTCCAGTTCGCACCACCACGACATCGCCACCTTTTACCCTGCAAATCCTTCGCTACTACTCTACAAAGCGTGTACAGGAAGCACAAGGAGAAGAGAAAACCAAGAAACAGCAATCGCACCGACCACACAAACGCAGTCCTCCTGCTTCCTACACAGCCCACGCAACAAAAAAGCGCCCGCGCACCAGTTTGACCAGCGCACCACCACAACCCGAACTAAGGTGTCGACAGCGTCCGACAAGACAGTTTCTGCATTCAAATCCCATAGAGCTACGCTGCTTCCGGTGCCTCCGCATCAGCGAGCGCCTTCTCACGGGCATCGCGCCGTTTAATGTAGTTGATGTAGCCGAAGCGCGACTGGTTCATGTACCACACCTCATCCTGATTCGGAAACTCCTCAAGTGGACGCTGCCACCAGAAGTAGTCCGTCTCCCAATCCTTCGGCACACCGAACGGACGTATCATCGTGCGGCCCGGGTAGTACATGTTGCTCGACATAGCGCGCATCGCCGTCACCGACATGGCGTTGCGGGCGATGAGCCACAGGGTGCCGAAGAGCATAATGAAGAGCGGGATTTCGCGCCATCCAACGCGCATGTTGCTGTCACTCCACGAACGGAACCAGTTGTAGCGCTCCACCTCCGACACCAGACCCTCGTCTTCCATGCCGAAGTAGAACTCCTTCTTGCACTGTAGCTTCGGCATCTGGTAACCCGGCGGCGGCCAGTCGGGGTTCCACGACCGCGTGCGGATGGTCGGCTGTATCTCATCCCACTTGGTGATCGTGTCGGACCAGTGGTACCACGTCTGCCGGTTGAGCAGCTCCTTCGGCACGCTGCGAAAGCCAGGGCGGTTGCGCTGCCACGCCTCGCCGGGGTAGTAAAACTCCTCGGCGTCCCACTGATCCTTCACCGCGTAGCACGCCGCAACTTTCCTGTCAACCCCAGGCTTCGTGTACTCGTCAAAGTAATCGTACAAGCGGTAGTGGTGCGGGGTGTGCAGGCTACCGTGGTTCATCGTCGAGTTATCCTCTCGCTGGCCTTGGTAGAAGCCCTCGCGGCCTTCGTTGCTGCGAAACTCAGACTGAGAGTTGATGTTCTCGTCGACGCGGTGGTAGTCCCACTTCTCACGGGGGCGGTCTGTGAAGAAGCGCTGGTTCTCTAACTCCTCCTTCGTGACGCGGGTCGATTTGGCGTGGTAGGGTAGTGTCCAGCCATGGAAGCTGGCAAACTGAAAGCCGTGGTACTGGCGCTGCGAGGACGAGAGGGCGGCCACGGCGATCGATGGCGCGGCGCGACCTGCCTGCGAGGCAGAGGCGCGGCTAAGCATGTTGTACGTGAAGCCCAAGCTAAGTGAAAACGATAGACAGTTTTTCAAGGTTGCCTTGACAGTAAAAAAAAAAAGGAATGAAGGAGAGAAGACAACAGATTAAAGCAGTCTCACAGTGCAGGAACGGCAGCAAACGCAGCAAGAAGAAGAGCCGTTGAGCACGACAGAAGTGACTACGCAACCCGGTAATACGTTCTACTAGAGCAGTGCGTGGCGAGAGGAGATGCCTTCAAAAAGAAAAAAGGCGAATCCGCTGCGCACGAGGATGTCGACTACCGCTAACTACAAAAAGAAATTCTATACAATATAAACCTACGCAAAAAAAGGTGTTTTTGTTGCTATGTGTGTGTCGCTGTTTGGATGTCTGTCAGTATGTAGAGAGAAAAGACAGCAATGTACCACGAAAGAGATGACACACAACACCACTACCCGATAAGCTCTGTTGAATCCTCCAGAGGGGGGAGGGGGAGGTGCCTCGGTGTGTAGGTCACCTCTTCTGATGTTTCAACGACCTTGGTAAAAGAACGATGGCAGAGCAGGGCGTTGGTTTGAGGAAAGGCGAAAGCAGAGGGAAGCGGTGGAGGAGCAAATAAAAGGCATCTACAGAAAGGTACGTAATGGGAGGCGGAAAGGGTCCTCCACCTTTTACCGCTCAACCACGTTGCAGACCAGCCTTAAAATACTAAACACCACCACGATCAGCTAAAGAATCGAGTACGTTGCGAAGTAACCCTAGTTCACGAAGCGGTTTCCGACTTGAACAGATTTTTTTCTTTGCAGAGAATAAATAAAGAAAACAAAGCTGTGTTGGTAGCGGAAGAGAAAAGGAAAGGAATAAAAGCCGTCAGAGCAGAAGAGTCGCACACTAACAAAGCCATAGATCACGTATTACTGTACCCAGAGACTGACACCCGCGTACGCGCGCGCGTCGTGTCACCAACCGTTGTGCTGAACAACAACAACAAAAGAAAAACTGCGTTCACTTCTCGTCAAAAAGTCACTCCCTCCCGCGCTTTTGCCTCTTCATTGGCGACTCGGGTTCCAACGGGGTGCAGTCTGCTGCTCGGACCTTCTCCCTTTCCAGGTACACGCAGAGTTCCTGCAGCGCCACGTGACACGGATGCGTCAGCAATGGAGTGAGGGTGGCTAATTGCAGGAGTCGCTGCAGGAGAGAAAGAGGCGGGTCGGGCACAGTCCATTCTGAGGAGGACGGAAAGACCGCCGTGTGAGTTCGTCGTGGCAACTTCTGTACGTTTTCCTGTGTTGTCCCTTGATGGCACGCTACCAAGTAGCCCTCGCTTGACAACTGTCGAAGCATCCTCTCTGCAACGTCTTCCGATACATCCAATGGGCAGGACTGCACCCGGTACGCCTCCACGTCGCCTCGGGAGATGCGACCGCGCCCACCATGAACGCTTGGTGCGTGGGCAAACACAAAAGAAGCCAGCAACAGATAGATCAGTTCTCGGTGCTTCAGGACTCGCTTCGGCGGCACCGCTGCTGCCTCCTCCACAAGCTGACGAACACTGTCGATGTGGCAACACCGATTGTCGCGTGCCACATCGCCCGCACACGTCTCGCGTCCACCGGCAGCCGCTCCTCCATCCTCGCTGCTAAGGCTGCCATGGCGGGCATCGCTTGCCTTTCTGGAGACAAAGGAGCGGCGCCTCTCAGACACCGTCACTTTTTGTTGCTCTCCGTCGCAATCAACACCACGCGGCGCAGACTCCTGCATCATCGGCTCGGAAGAAAACGTACTGTCCAGGTGCGACCGAAGCGGCGCTGACTGGCCCGCGGAGGCGCCCTCCCCCTCTCCAACCGAGCCGGTAGCTGACGTTCTCTGGTCTGCCCTCTGGCTCTGTACCTGATGCAGTAGCGGGTGTCGTATGGCCACAGAAAAGAAGTGATGACTCGTGTCCATCGAACCGATGTGGACGTGCAGCTTCACTTCTTCTTGGTAGAGGTCCAGCATGCGGCGACTGGCCGGAGCGAAGCACGGCGGCTCGTAATCGCGCGGGGTGATCTCGTCATAATAGGTCAGGCGCATCGTCAACACTCGCTTCGACAAAAGAGGCGGCAGACAGCCAACCACGTCCAGCAGCCGCTCGAGAATGTGGGAAAGCATGCGCTGCACCTCTTGCTTGCTGCACCGGCGGCGACGGTATGCGGGGACGGCCCGCGCAGTGATTGGGGCTGAGTCAGTGGTAATGGGTGTCATCAGCTCACCTCCGTTTCTTTTCCCTCGTGCGCTGCGTTCGCCGCCACCGCTAGTCTGTGAGTCTGGTGCGTGCACCTCGGCGTTCTGCGATGCGGTGAGCGACATCTGCGCTCGCTGCCCATCCGCGCTGTAGTTGAAGCCAAAGCAGTAGCTCTCTAACAGCTCCCTGCACTCCTCGTCGTACACGCAGAGCGACATTTCCTTCAAGTAGTTGCGGTTGAGTGCGTCGAAGGCGCCACGCTCGATCCACTCAGAAATTGTAACCGACTCCGTGGTGGACGGGATGAGCTGACGCAATGGCAGCCCAAGGAAAGGCCGTTGTGCGTACGCGTTGTCGTTGCACAACCCGCGCGCGTAGGTGATGAAGGAGACCGCCGCACGAACAAAGTTGCGAATGGCAGCCAGGCTCTGCGTTTGGTTTACCGCGGTGACGGTGGCGGTCATCGCTCGACAGTGAGAGGAAAATTCCTTTGAATAAAAAGGTTGTGTGTCTGTAACATCATCGCGAAACCGATAACGGAAATGAGAAACGAGTAGAATCAACGTACAAGAGGAAGATAAAGTAGAAAAATGGAAAGCACTGATAACGGCTTCCACGTAGAGGACTGGAGAGCATCAATAGCTCGTCGTCGCGAAGACAAAGTTTTGTGGGACGCCGCTCAGCCTTTTTGCTGAAGGTTTCCTCGTTGCTCTCAGGTTCATCCTTTTTATAGGAAAAGCGGTGTTTCCGTCTTTGTAGCAACCGGTCAAGGGCGATGTTTCCACGCAGCGGCATTACCATGGAAGAGTTACTGCGACAGAAGACTCAAAAAAAGAGAAAGAACCTTTGATGGCTCTCTTTGTTGTTGGTCGCTTTCGTGGTCATGGGACGGTGGTCCAAAATAATAAAAAGAGAAAGAAAAATACAGGTGCTTTTGTTCAGAGAGCGAGGGACAGCGGTCTTACTTCTTGGCGGCCTTGCGCTCCGCGACCTCCGCGCGGACGGCCTTCGCCTTGGCGGAGCGGTCCTCCTTGCGGGTGGCGCGCACCTCCTGGATGTACGACAGGTCCGCACCAACGATGGCGCGCTGCACCTTCACGGCGCGGGCGGCGCGGCGGCGCGCAACGCGGTCCGTCGTCGTCTTGCGGTGGATGCGGCGGTACGTGCGCGTCCACGGGATGAAGCGCGGGTTCTTCTTGCGCATGTACAGGGCGAAGCACTTGGGGCGCGAGAAGGTCAGCACGGGCTTCGTCGACAGGAACGCGAAGGGCACGTAGCGGCGGCCGTGGCCGGGGTGCACCGCGAAGTGGGAGAACTCGCACTCAATCGTACGCATGGCTGCTGCGGAAACGGCAAGCGATAGAAGCACTGCCAGGGAGTTGAACACAATTTCGAAGATGAAGATAAGCCGTTGTGGGTGCGCGAGTGCGTAGAAAAGTCGAGCGAGAAGAAAAAGAAAGGAGAAAGGAAGAAGAGGGAAAAGCGGTGGGTGATGCACGTCGATCGCTGCGAGCGCAAAGCTACAAAGTAAGACACCGTTCAAAGTGTTTCACCTGATCTACCGATTTATAGCAAGACACACGCGGGCGGAGACTTGATAAGCCCTTCTTTCCAGTTCCTGGCTGCCGGCGGAACACCAAGGAGATAGAATGGGTAAAAGGTTATAGTTCGGAAACACCCGAAAAGCGTTGGTTATGCAACTCTCGTTTAGTGTTCTCACTGCGCGGCTGACTTCGGCGCGTCTCTCTTTGCGGAATAGTAAAAAAAAATAATCATATGTTCCTTTCTCCCTCGCGAGAACACCTTGGTAGCACATCCAAGAATAGCCTTGGATTCCCAAAGTAGTGCTCCGCATCATTGTTGTACTCGAGTTGATCGCACGGATTAGATAAAACAGGGAAGAGAAACAACAAAAAAGAAATTATTGTAAAGGTGAAGAAACCAGTTTAATAGTCGCTGTACAGAACCAAGACATTTGGTTGGTTTCGTTCACAAGTCGCCCTCGTCGTCCATCAGACGAGGGCTGTGAAGTTTGAGTGACTTGTAATATGGACTTTTGTGGCACAACTCCGGCAGCTCCTTTTTATCTACGATTCCCAGGCACTGTCGCACCAGCTCCGGCGTGGATTCCTCCTTCGTAAAGCCGCAGAAACCATTGGGCACCAGCTTCACCTCTACGAACGAGAGACAAACGGTGCGCCAGCCCAGCCACATGTTACACTCATGGTTGTCGTTCTTGTCTTGGTTCAGCATCAGGCAGTACAGTCGGTCGGCAGAGTTGGGCGGGCACGCATCTTCTAGGACTCCGTAGCAAGCCTGACTGAGAGAATTAAACTTGGATTCGTAAGGTCGCCACCCGCGAGGTGGCGCTTGCGCCGATACGCCGACCAGCAGGAAATACGCGAAGCACAGGCTCACCATGGATACAGCGCGGAGGAAAGGGCGCATGATGAGAGGAGGTGGATGGGAAAAGCCCCTGATATTGTGTATTCCTAACTAATGCCTTTGAAGAAACGCATGTAGGCCCTGGTAGGTACGGTGCCAGAACTGCGTTGAATAGCTCAAGGTCAGCCTTGGTCAGGGAAGAAGGAAAGCCAAACAATTCGTGTAAGAATAGAGAAAGGAAGAAAAGGAAAATAATGGTGGTGATCCACACAAACGCAAATAAACACCGTCAACGTGTCACAACGTGGCCAGATATGTACGTAGAAAGGAAGTACTGAAGCAAAAGGATACTTTTGTTCGTTAATATACAGACGTTGTGGTGCGATAACACAGATGAAAAAAAAAGGGAGGGGGGAAAGCGAAGCGGCGTTGAAAGTGGGCGCGAAAGCAGCAACCGAGAAAACAACAAAAAAGGGCGTTTTGAATTTGAGTTGAATCCTTTTTGCTTTCATTTCAAAAGATCCGTCGGACTCGCACCGAAGCATACAAAAGAAAAAAAAAGGAAGAAGGAGCCTTCATAGTTCTCTATCATGTTATCTTGCACATTTGCTGAGCGTGGCGAACAAACAAACGCGTTAATATCGCCGGCTATTTCTCCCCCGCCGTTCGCACTGTGGTTCTTCTTATTCTCTTTCTTTTTGGCCACGAGAAAACAGCTGCCGTTAGCAACGAGAGCAACGGACAAGCTGAAGCAGCAGAACACCATCGCCCTCCCTTTCCTGTAATGCCGGGGTCGAGGCAGAGGTAGAAGAAGTCTCTGGAAAGGGAAATAAAAACCACCAACCATGTGTGGGCGCGCTTCTTATCGTGTTCGACGTGGTCGACAGAGACTCCACACCAGCACACCCGCCACGGTGAGCGGGATCACAAAGTAAATGTACTGCACCACAAAGTGAAGAAATGACCGCACTTTACTCGTAAAGCCTCCTGCCACCACCAGGGCGTTTTCGGCATCGTCAAACAACGCACTCATCTGTGCCTCATCGGTCAATGTGACATTCAGTGAACGAAAGAAGAAACGATCCATTGGTGATGAAGCACTCCGCTCTGCAGCAGCAGCAGCAGTAGCATCCCACAACACGTCTTGCAACTGGGTGGGGGAAGGAAACAGACATGAGAGCAGCACCACCACCAGCGGCTCTTGCGCGGCACGGCCGTACGAAAGAAACGGTGTGTCGTAGTCGCTCTTGTGCAACCACCGTCGCTGCGCCGCTCGCCATTGTTGAAAACTGATGTTGCTATCCACTGCACTGCTGGTCGCGTCGGTGGATCTCCCCTGTCGAACAAACGGGACGGCCCTGTAGTGACCAGCTGCCTCTAGGTCATTCACGGTATCCAACACAGCATCCACCCATTCCGACGCGTAAACAGACAGCAGAATGCTCCGCGGCAGCACCACCTTCGCCTTTGCGGCCGCTAGAGAGCGGAGAAACACAAACGCCGCGAAGCTGTTTTCGCCGTTCACATCGACGTACACCACATCAAAAGGAACGTTTTGAAAGGTGTAATTCTCACCAAAGAGAAGCGACGACAACTCACGCTGACGCACCGCGGCGTGGGCGAAGTGCACGTTCCCCGGGGCGTTGGACCACTCCTTCTCCCACGCCGCCAAGACGCGTGCCTTCGCGGCCGGGCTGGTCAGCGCATCGGCTTCCATCTGCAAGGAGGTGTTTACCAGCACCTGCCTTTCGACGGTCGAGTAGCTGCACCACGCAGACGGGGAGCACGACGCCACGACATTTGCGTCCTTCATTTTCCCGATCAGTGGCATCACCATGTCCGTGCCCACACTCGCTGGCTCAGCAGGCACCATAACGTGACGCTCCGATAACGCCCGCATCATCGCCTTCGCCCTCTCCACCTCGCCAAACACGAGAGCAAAGTTGTGTAGACGAGGCCACTTCGTGGAGGAAGGCACAGTCGCGGGTGAGCCGTGCCGATGTGCGTGCAGTGTGGCCGCCGCTGTCCCACGGTTCGACCACTGCTGCAGTACAAAGGGCGAGATGCAGGTGAGGGCACTGCAGACATGCAGCACGTTGCGGTGATGTGACGGCAATGTCGATGGAAAGGCGTGTTGCGGCGACGCGGTGGATGAAAAGCAGGCGTGATGTGATGCATCGTCCTGCAGCAGCAGCACCAAGAGGACGTCGGAAAAAGTTGTGAAGCGGCGCGGCGATTCAGTAGCTGCTGTGTCCCAGCCAGCCGCCGCAATTCGCAACGGTGTCGTGAAGACGAAGTCCAGCTTGCGAGACACGCGATTGACGCCTGGCAAGGCGGTTACTGGCGCAGGCACCACCAGCACCGCGCTGTGATTGACCTCCACCACGACAGGTGTGAAGCCTGCCATCACCCCACCGCCGACTTCGTGGAGGGCCGGTGTGCGGTGACGCGGAGCGAGTAGGTAGTGACTCGTGTTCGGGTTGAGCGCGACGAGGGAGAGAACGAGGGTGGCGAAAAAGGCAGCTGCAGAGAGAACCGCATTGCCGCCGCGGAAGACACGATGCGCACCCGTATCCTGACAGTGGGGTACTGCGGCGTTCATGCCGCTGGTTGGGGGGGGGGGGGAACGAAACAGATCGATGGTGTGGAAATTACGAAGTAAAAGATGAAATAAACACAAACGAAAGTCAGTAGTTGTGATATTCGCCTATTTCTGTGCTGTAGAATCAACAAACCCCTCAACGACCACCATCCCTGGACACGGACATGGGGAGTGCCGCCACGACACAACTCACCAGCGCAGTGGGAATCTGCCGAGCTCACTTTCAAAATGAAGTTCCACACGGCCTTTTTCCTTTCGATCGGTTTCTCTCGCCGGATCGCCTACGAGTTTACGGCAAAAAGAAAAAGATGTGCTGAACACAGCACAGTTCCCCGCAATCCTCCACGAGACAGGAGAGAAAAGAGAAGAGCAGGGAAGAGGGTGGGAGGAGTGCATAACAGCAAGGTCACTGAAAGGGCGCCGACAACAGCACGGCAGCTTGTGTAGAGTACAACACAAGGCAGTCCAACAATAACGGCGAGGCGTGGGCAGCGCTACGTTGATCAACTTAACGGCACCGCTTCACCGATTCCACGACTTGGAGGCCTGTGACCACGATGTCCGACCATTTATTGCGTCATGAAAGAAACCTGCCGATTCCTCAACGGAGAAAAAATAAACAATGATAGACACAACGGCCAGAGTACGTATAACTGTAGTTGATACGGTTTCTTCTTGGTGAAGGTGAAATCAAACGAGAAATGACTAAAGCATCACAGTTGCCATGACGTCCAACAGCCGTCTTCACACTGGTTCAAAGAGCGAGGGACAGCGGTCTTACTTCTTGGCGGCCTTGCGCTCCGCGACCTCCGCGCGGACGGCCTTCGCCTTGGCGGAGCGGTCCTCCTTGCGGGTGGCGCGCACCTCCTGGATGTACGACAGGTCCGCACCAACGATGGCGCGCTGCACCTTCACGGCGCGGGCGGCGCGGCGGCGCGCAACGCGGTCCGTCGTCGTCTTGCGGTGGATGCGGCGGTACGTGCGCGTCCACGGGATGAAGCGCGGGTTCTTCTTGCGCATGTACAGGGCGAAGCACTTGGGGCGCGAGAAGGTCAGCACGGGCTTCGTCGACAGGAACGCGAAGGGCACGTAGCGGCGGCCGTGGCCGGGGTGCACCGCGAAGTGGGAGAACTCGCACTCAATCGTACGCATGGCTGCTGCGGAAACGGGTAACGGTTGATGTGCATAGAACACAAGAAACCAGTAAGAAAAAAGAAGAAGAAAGAGATGAAGAATGAAGGCAGCGAGAGTTTATGGAAGATGAACGGAGACAGTTTGTGAGAAAGCGGTGGAGAGAAAGCGCGTACTTCTGATTATTCTTTTGCGTGTCTCTGCATGCAATACAGTTCGGTACATCCAGCACTCTGTCTAAAAATTAATGGCTGTTGCACATCTTTGCGTTGAAAAGGTAGTGTAGTGTGCCTTTTAGTGTGGGTGTGTTCTCAGCACTTGCGGTGTCTCAACAGCTTCGACATTGTACGTGTTGTTCTGACGTCTTCTTTCCTCTTATTACCTTCGCGCTGCATCAGCTACCACATCAACACATAATGGCAACAGATCACGGCAACATCTGTGTTCATCGACTTCACCTGCTATTACTGTTAGGCGGACACTGCAGTACTCGAATTATACAAGCGCTCTGTGGGGAACCGATCGTCACGGGGATAACCACTTCTTGTCTCTTGGAGCACGACGCAGGCCAAAATCGGCAAAGGAAGCATTTTTCGTGTAATCACGGATGTAAAAGAGCAAACCACAGCAACGCAGTTCCATCCAACGCGAACATAGGTGGCAATCTGCTCAAAGGCATTAAAGCCAGCTAATAAGAAAAGTCGACCTTCAGGCGGTTCACATAGCCAAACATGCTCGCGCGAGAGCGCGTTACGCGGCCTTCCTTCACCTCCTCCAGCCCCTCCAGATAGGGAGCGAGGGCTTCAAGGGCGCGCCGCAGCGGCGCCTCACGGATGCCGCGCCGGTCGAGGGTCTGCACAAACGCGGACAAATACTCAAAAGGGATGACGCCCCACTCCGTCTGAGTCGCTGCCCGCTCCTCCTGCTCGCTTGCCTTCCCTGACTCATCGGCTGCCATCGTCGGCGGCTTTGGTGTCGTCACGCCTTTCGAACGCGTCGGGAGCTCCACGTCCTCGTCGTCCAGCAGCACCGCCCGGCGCATGGCGTGGCTTCGCCGCAGCTCCTCCGGCTCGGGCAGCAGCGGAAAATTGACCGCCGTCAGGGTCGGCACGGTCTGCACGTACACGACCCGCTCCATGGGAAAGCGCCAGTACAAACGGTGGTAGCGGTCCATGCCGAGGGGTTGCACGATAGCCCCCTCATCCTTGCCGTCGGCTTTGCTGAAGAGATGCGCGTAGACCTCAGCCCGCTTACGATCCACCGCCTTCAGAATCTTCTCGCGCTCCGCCTCGTAGTTCTTCTCGGCCTCTTCCTGCGGGTTCTTCGAGGTGTCCACGTCATCCTCTGCTACTGCCTCCGCCTCGTCGGCAGCTGCGTCGCCCCGTTCGTCCGCCGTCACATCGTCATTTTGTCCCTTCCTTTCCGAAAGCGCTGATGTCTTTCTTCCGTTCTTTTTCGGCTCGGCAGCAACGCTCTTCTTGCTCTTCCTTTTCGCGCCGGCCACGGTGGCCGTGACGGAAGGCAGCGTGCGCAGAAGCGCCTTCAGCTCCTTCTCCGCATCGTCGCGAATCTCCTTCAACCGCTTGTCCGTGTTGGCCACTTCGTCTTCGTTTTCCTTCTGCAGTCTGTCCGCCGCAATGCGAACGTCCTCGCTGCCCAGCGCCTCCTGCACACAGAACTGGAGGAGGTTGAGGCGGTCGACGATGTCGACGTTGCCCCACGTCGCCAGAGAGCGCAGCTGCGTGATGTTCTCCATCGTCGCTTTGAGCTCCAAGGTAAAGAGATCGGTGTCTGTCTCCTCCTCCGCTGCCGCCTCTTCTGGCTTGTTTGCGCTCTCCCCCTCCACCTCCGGCACAGCTGTTGCTGTTGTGGCGCTCTTCTCATGCATTTCATCCCCGGTGGTCGTTTGCATGGTGGGCTTAGAAGCTTCATTCTCTGCCACGTTTTCAGCAGCCTGTTCCTCCTCCTGCGTGCTAGAAGAACTGCCGCCGCTGGTGGTATCGCTGCTGCTTTCCGCGCGCTCTTCGTCGTCGTCACTCGAGACATCATCGTCATCTTCCTCCTCGTCTTCTCCCTCCTCTTCCTCGTCGGTGCTCGGCTCACGGCGGCGCTGCTGCTGCCGCTTCTTTTTATTGCCACTGGCCACTCCCACAAACTCCACCAGTGCGTCGAACCAGTTCTTGCCGCGTGTGGTGATGCGCGGCAGGCTGGGCGAACTCACACGCACCACTTCCATCGACACGTCTAGCAGGCACTTCGTGATTTCCTCCATGAGGCCGTTGGAGTCTTGCTCCTCGCACAGGATACCTTTAAGAAAGGTGGCGAAGTACATTTGAGAAAGGTTGAGGGGGCGAGGGAGAGACACCAGCATGCTCCACACGTACAGTGCCTTCTCATAGAGCGCAGAACTGCCCAGCGGCAACTCCTGCGCGTAGGCGACGTAGCCCAGAGCTGACGGGCTCGCTAGCGCCGTATCCTCCTCCAGGTCTTCCTCGTCGTCCGCGGTGTCACCAAGGCGACGTCGCATGAATTGCTTTTCATCTTCCTTTTTGCGCTCTAGTTCGGCCTTCGCCTCGGCCTTCTCGATGATTCGTCTTTTCACCTCTTCGCGCTTCGCACGAGCCGCGTCGCGCATCTGCTGCTTCTTCTCCAGCTCCTCTGGGGTGGGTGCGGTGAAGGGCGCCGTGTCGTAGCCTTCGATTTGGTTGATGACGGTCAAGCACTCGTGGGCGATGGGGTGCAGCAAATCCTCGTCCAACTCGTACCGGCACTCCTCGTCGGTGCGGAAGATGTGACTTGACGTTTCCAGCGCCGTGCGCAGTGCCGCGAGGTCCACCTCGTGGAACGGCTCCGGTGGCTTCTTCTCCTCCCTCACCTTGTACTGTGCGCGCTCCGCGTCGATGATCGCCTGCACCGCTTTCACCTTTTCCTCCAGCAAGTCAAACAGCGGGACTAGGTCGTTGAACCTGGTGGCGTAGACGTGAGCGAGAATTTGGATGATCGCCTGGAGGACGCCAACGGCCTTCTTCTCGTTGCTCGTCAGCCCGCGTAGGCGGCCCCACACCAGACCACCCCCTGAAGCTTTCGCCTTGCGCGGTTTCGCAGAGGATCGAAAGGCCGTGGCGGGAGGGACCGTAGCGGTCGCTGTTTCGGGGGCCGCTGCAGCATCAGCCGCGTCGGCAGTCGTCTCCGTTTTTGGCATCTTCGCCTCAACGTCGTCCACACCGTCCACTTCTCGTTGTGCGCTCGGCTCGTCAGGCTGGGAGCGAGGCCGCCGCCTGCCGGGCGAGTTGCCGTTGACTTTGCTGGGCGGTAGAGGCACCGCCTCGCTACGAACCTCCTCACCAGCATTGGCCACTGCAGTGGTCGGCGAGGAGGCGGGCGAACTCTGCGTCGTGACAGGCGTCGAAGAAGACACCACCGCCGCCGGCTCCGGTGCCACTTTTCTCAACATGTCGACCCTTGCGCCGGCATCTTTGGCTCTTTGGCGGTACTCCTTCTCCATGGCGGTGAAGGCTCCCTCCAGGTCGGAGAGCTCCTTCAGCGACACCTGGTTCGCCGGTGCGTTCGTTAATACCATGCTCTTCACACTGTGAAAGAGCGCTGCGTCGGTGCCAAAGAGCATGACCGTGCGCACGATAGCATCGTAGTGGATGTCAATCTTCTTTGCTGTTTGCGAGCGGGAGAAGAGAGGCACGTAGCTGACGAGGTGCGAGACGTAGGAGCTGGCCGCGTGCAGCGTCGAGACGGCGTACTTTTCTTTTTGGGCCGCATCCGTCTCAACAATCGCGAGCGAGGCAACCAGTGTTTCCTCGGCTGAGGCGATTTTGTAGGGGAGGACGTCCTCATTGGGCAGCGAGTTGAAGCTAGAGACGGACCCGTTGGCGCTCCCCGCCTTGTAGATCTGAAAAGGTGATCGAGCAGTAATCATGGTGAATGTATGTTTGTGAAATCGGAAGGGGTGGGCGGGAAGAACGATGTGGCGAGAACAGAGCAGAGACACCACTCAATTCAAAAGGCTATCTTTGTGGTTATTTTTAAAGTCTATCAGCTATACGAATATAGATATGCTTATGCGTGTGAGAAGGTTACGGCACAAACGCATGCGCCGTTGGCGGTCTACTAGTGTTCTATGGTATTTAGATGTGATTGTTAGCTCAAGCGTGCGGAAGATGTGTTTACTTGCGCAGTCGCTCGTTTTACATAATTCGACAAAGGAGAAATACACGTGTAAAGAGGGGTAAAGAAGCACACGAAGATTAAGCAGCGCCGTCAGCACGGGCGTTCGCAATTCTTCTTTTATAAAGATTCGCTTAGAAGATGCTGCACCTCGAAAAAACGAAGGGAGGGAGGAAAAAAATGGAGAACGAGAAAGATAGATTAAACGATGAAATAGGGCGAGTTCAGCATCGAAGGATGTTGCCTTCCCTTTCACACCGCTACCCTCAGCATCGCACACACACACGCAGACACGTGGTTCTGTTGCCGTTCATAGATTGACCTCACACTCGGTTGCCTAGCGCCTCCGCGCAGTCGCGAAACCGCAAGAGAACGAGTACGTGCAAATCGAGAAAACTATGCATTGGTTTGTCTCCTAAGTATCCCTTTGATATGTTGCTGCTGTTGTGTGGATTTCTTATGTACCTGTGAAGTGCAGCAGCAGCAGTGGCTGCGCCTCCGCACGAACGCAATCGAGCGGCCACTTTGTGTCACCACCACCGTGTAGACGACGGAGCTGCGACGTTTGCCATGAAACTACGAAAAGGCATCACTCGATTCGTATTCGTAAAGGAGGAGAGAATAAAAAAGAGAACGAGGCGGTGGGGCCGCTCAAGGAAGCTCAGCAATTAGCTCCTCGTCCTTGAGGCGCGGCACAGACAACGGTGCCTGTGCCGGTGTGTCCTTCCTCGTAGGCGTCGGACTGAGATGGTACGCAGCCGCCTCCGTCCCTCCACCATCAGCAGACCATTCCTCTTCCGGTGTCGATGCTGACTTTGCCGCGTCTTCCGTCAGCTCATTGTTCAGTTGTGCCCTCCAGCTCGTATTGGCGTCGCGCAGTTGCTGCGTCATCGCCTCATCGCGCTGGATGTGTGGCATGTAGTTAGGAATCACCGCCAGCTGCTCTCGTGTAAAGGGTCGGGGTAGAAGACCACCAATGGACACCACGCGCTTGTAGTTCTCGTAGTTCGTCGACTCTAAGAAAGTCGCCGCGCTGCCGCCCTGCAGATGAGTACGTGCGATGCGCTGCTTCATCAGCGTCGTTGTGGGCGCTGGGATCATCAGCGAACCTCCACCGCCTCCTCCTCCATTCCGGCCTCCGCCACCGTAGTAACCATCGTCTCCGAAAAACTCATCGTCGTACGAGCTGCGGGTGGGCCGGTGCGAGTCGGCGCTGCGACTCTGCATCTTGAGCAACGACGGATCGGCTCGCACAAACTGCAGCTGCTGCTCGCGGACAACACGCTGCAACGAGCCGAGAATGCACTCGACGTGGAACATGAAAAGCACGGTTGCCGTTTCGTACATGACGTGCTGCACGAGGGCGCGCAGCGTGTACATGTCTTTTGTGAAGGGAAACGTCAGCGGCTCCGTGTCGACGTCGAGCTGCGTGGACCACAGGTAAAACTGCAGCTCGCCAAAGAGGGTCTCGACGACGTCGCTTTTGAACTTGCTCACCACGCGGGAGCTGAGTGTGAGGTCCTGCAGCTCCAGGTAGTCGTAGCCGCGGGCGAGACCTTCGTTGCCGTCAATGACGAACTGGAAATTGGCCAGCCGCCCACGACTGCCGCCCTCGACGATAGGAAACACAATGTTCTGGACGTTGTTCAAGATGTACTTCACCACCCCATCACCGATAAATTCAAGCCGCTCAAACTCAAAGCCGCGCATGGCCTCGTTGGACTCGTTGCTCCGCACCGAAAAGACATCCCTCAAAACCTCGCGGTCCTTCAGGTACAGCAGAAGATACTTCAATTTCTGCTTGCGTACTTGATTATTCGGGTGGCTCAGCGCAGGAATTCTGCCAAACGCAGTGCTGTGGTACAGCCGTTGGTTCCAGCGGTGTACCTGTTCCTCTGGGGTACCGCAGAACGGCCTCACCAGCTCCAACAAAATGCCTTCTCGACCGGCGTGCGGGATGCCGCAGGAGTGCGCGTGCCACACGATGAAGGTTTCGTTGCACAGCTTACACCGCTTCGTATCAAACTCGGAAAACATGTCGAGAAACCGCGATGTCGGAACGTCCACGCTGACCGAAACGCCGCTGAGTTGCTTGCCCGCCGAACCGTAGACGGCAATGTCCTTGCGGAAAACGGAAGGGGTGCTGTGGGGATCGGTAGCGCTACTGGCCTGGATGCTGTTGCGAAGTATCTGCTCTTCCTCGGCAGGACCGGAACTGCGACGACGCGAGCGGCGTCCACCGCGCGAGCTGAAGCCGCCTTGACGCCGCAGAAATTCATCGCGCGTCGCAAAGTTGAAGTACTGTGGAGTTGCTGTCCCTTTCGCATCTTTCCGGTTGCTGCTGCTGCTGCTGCTGCTCTCCGCGCTGCCAATGCTGCGCATCGCAATGCTCATACTGGTGGTGGAAAGGAGCAGCGTGCGCCTCGAACGCATAACGTTGTAGTGCGAGGAAAGCTCTGTACGTGCTGCAGTTAGCCGCGGTCGACGCAGAGAAGGCATCGCGCCAAACACCCCAGAGCAACGCATTGCTCTACTATAATCTCTGTATGGGGTTTCACCTTAACGATGCTTTTCTTTTCCCTTTAACGCCCTGAAACCGCAATGTTTGGTTGCACCTATTGAGCATACAAGACCGACTTGTTGTTAGTGCTGCAAGCTCACCCCACCACAACCAGACTGAGGGTACTGTCACGGAACCCAGAACAGGGTGCTCTTGCTTGCTTTCTTTCTTTTACCGCCGCTTTTTGTGTTGTGATACAATTGACGCAATTATTTTGTGTGTGTTTTGCTTATTTCATTGTTGAACAGCAAGAAAAAGTAGACACAGTGCAGAAGTAACACACCTAAACGTGCCACGCCGAATTGCCCTCCGCAGAGGCTTCGCGGAACAGAAAGATACTAAAACCACGCGAGGCACAACAAGCGATCGTGAAGGTCTTCACTCATCCGTCCAAGATACAGAGCAGCGGAATGAGTAGCAGTGACGGAATTATATTTGCCGAGCAAAATGCTTGGACGCCCGGTGTTTGGCCTTTTTTCCCTTTCTGGTTCTTCCCCCCCCCCCCTTCCCATCTGTGTATGTGTGTGTGTGTGTGTAAGTTGGTCTTTGTGTTTTAGCTCACCAGCTTCACATGTAGTGGCAAAATTATATATACGCGTAATATACATCTATGCCCAGGCAACCGAGCAGGAAACACCATAAATATGGACCGTAGCGAGTGACGTAAAGAGCGTAGAAAAGAGTCTCAAAAGAGAAGAAGAAACGTCCTCCTTTCCGCACGCTGCTTATCACTTCTTCTTCTTTGAAGCGGACCTGGAGGCGCTGCGACTGGCACCACTGCCCTGCCTCTCGTTCACCTTCGTTTCAATGACAGCAAGCTTTTCCTCTATCGCATCCAACCGATCCGCCGAATGCTTTGACACCGAATCGCGAATCGCTTCCAGCTGCTCGCGAATGCCAGGGTTGAACTCAGGCCCGTTTAGTGTACCGGCGAGCCGTTGGGCGGTCGATACGGCTTCTGAGGTGGACACCTCTCCCTCCATCTCCGCCTCCTCCCGTGTGCGTGCGGCTTCCTGCATTTTCTCCTTCCACGCCTCTTCAGTCATCGCGGCGGTCAGCGGCGGCAGGTGCGCCGGCGCAGCTTCAGAAATGTCGTTCACCATCACCGTGCGCAGCGTGGCCACCTCCTGCGGCACGAAGCAGAACACGTACATCTTGTAGTGGCGGTAGTAGGTACTCATCAGGTAGGTGTCGATGTCTCGCACCTCCCGCACGTTGAACACCATCGTGGAGTACGGTGGACGATGCACGCTGTGTTGCACAATCAGCTGCCGGAGGAGGTCGTACGACTCGGCGCGTGTGTAGCGGCCACACATGCTCGTTTCATGTACATGGTGGACGATGCCGAAGAGGGTACTCACTTTGAACGGTGCGAGCTGAGATGCTTTGCTAAACAGGATCACATGGCCGTAGAGGTCTAAAAGGACGCCGATCTGCGCCGCAGTGCGCTCGCGGGAGTGCAGGAGCTCGCCACTGCATTCGTCCTCTACACGCTTCAGTGTCACGCGTAGTTCTTCCAAATTGTTTGCCTCTAAGCACGCATTTGTTTGGGGTCTATTTAAGACCCTCCACGTGAGACACTGTGCCATTTTGTATATATTATTATTCTTGGATGTGTGTGTGTGTGTACGTGTCGTCCCTGTTCATACGTCACGTCTTCACACCCTGACTTCGCTGCCGCTGTTCCTCTCAAATAAGAACAACCGCACAAATCAATAAACCTCGAGGAGCTCCGCGAGAGAAAGAAGATGAGTTGAAAATAGATTTTGACAAAGGAGGCGGAAGGCGTCGGGGACACGAAGGGATGCGCGGCGCGTGGGAAAAAAGCAAAAGGAAAACCGTGAAGGACTCTGTCGCGTGTCGAAGGAGAGCCAAAGCGTGACACGACAACGTAAAGATGTTAGTGTGGCTAGCACCCAAGGTGGAGTCACGCTGAAGTGAAACGCGGCCGCGCCCGACGTCCTTCCCTCCTTCACTCAACTCGTTTAGCGTATGGCTCAACGCAGATAGTGCTTAGTGTCCTTTTCCTTTTCCGTTCCTTTGAAGATGTGTGAGGTTCAAATAAATAAATAAAAAGGGAGGCCTTGTACACTTTTGCAACGTAACCGTGCCCAACCAACCAACCAACCAGACTCAACAACGTCTCTTACTTGTTTGCCACCCTCTTCGCGAATCGCCTCAACGCGGATGTCCTTCTCGCAGAAGGCCAGCGCCCGTCCCTGTCATTTTGCGGTGTTCATCGTTTCGCTGCTTCATCCAGACCAATAAAAAAAAAGCAGGGGTGTTATCGATGGATTCGGTCAGCGGCACCCGCGTCGATGTCATCCCAGTACTCGTTGGATTGCGCTACAGCGTCGTTGTCGGTGGAATTCTCGTCATCTCCCTGTCTCGCCTCCCCCTCTTCGGAAATTTGGTCTGCAGAGCTGCCCTTCGTCGACATCATCTTTTTGGTCATGGCTCGGAAAAACAGAAGACGTGCGCGTGCCGACAGCTCCCGCAGCTCCACGCGGCTCCGCTTCTCCGCTGCGTTGGGGTAGGCAACGCTGGCATCGGACGTCGCGGCAGCGGCCGCGCTCGCCATTTCAAGGACCGTGTCCAGCCCACTACCGGCACCCGTACGCGCCACCCTGTTTTTCTCTGCTGCATCGGAGCGCGACGCAACGGAGGAGTCGTGCGGGGGTTGCGAAATGCTGTTCAACGCGAGTTTGAGAGCATCGTAGTAGAGCGGCGCCGTCGCGCTGTCGCCGCCGATTGCGGTGGCCTGGAGCGCCATCACCAACATCGACACATAAGGCACCATCTCCTGCGGCGTCAGCACCACAGACGGAAAACAGGGGTTCCCATCCGCAGCATCGACGGTGGTGTGGTAAGCGGCAGCTGTCGACGAGGTCATCAACGCATGTACACGTTGCAGAGCTGGTTGCTGCGTCAGGGCTGTGTTCACGTGCTGGAGAGCCAGTGACCAACGCCGGGCCCGCAGCAGCAGTCGAACCACCTGCGCACTGCACGCGGCATCCCACTCATGCCCTTGCAGCGTTTCAAGGCGCATCGCCGTGTTGCTCAGATTCTGCGGCGAACGGCTCAAGAGAACGAGGGCGGCGTGGGCGACCACTAACGGATAATGCAGCTGCGTTTGCTCGTGTTCGTCTATCGTGCCGTACACCTTAAAAAGGGCCTCCAGCGCCTGCTGCCAATCACTGTGCTGCGCCGCCACCTGGCAGAGCAGCGCGTCGTCGCGATCGAGCTCATTGTAGGCAGTGACACAGCGCTCCAGCGCGGTGCTGTCGCCCAGCGCAGAGAGCGCCAGAATGTTCTGGCGTCGAAACAGCGCAGACCGCTTCTCCGCTAGAGAATACTTCGCCCCCCACGTGCGCCGCCACTGCCGTCCAAGATCGCTGCGGTTCACCGTGCGACTGAAGTCAATTAACGGCAACAGCAGCTGCGCCAGGACCGCACGCTCTTGGGACTCTGCACCTGTGAGCTTCTTCCCGTGATTGTTGTTCTCGGGAGAGGCAAGATCACTGCGAAGATGCTCCGATGGCGCGGCCGATGTGCCGGCAGTGTGATCGACAGCGCTCCAGAACACGTCGATCGCGCTCAACCACAACGACGGAGGCCCCACGCTGACAGCGGCAGCCGCTGCTCTTGCAGTGGCATTTCCTCGGCGCCAGTTTCGACGCAGCACGGACGACCCGCCACCGCCCCGCATCCCGGCAGCTAAGACCGCCGATTTGCTTTCCGCCATATCGCTGGTCATTTTCGCGAGCACCGTCGCGAAGAACTTCACGTCACACGTCCCTCTGGCGAGGGCCACGTCTGTCGTTACCAACTGGCACAATTGCAGGCTGGCCTTCCAGCTGGTGGAGGCCTCGGCGAGTTCCTGAAGTGACGCACGAACGCCGTCGGTTGTCGCCTTCCGCTGCACTGCGTGGTAGACCGCGTCACGCATCGTCAGGGCGAGCACAAAGTCACTGTCCGTCACTCGGGCACGCGGCACTAGGCCAGCATCCAAGCTGCGTACTCGCTGCGGAGGTGCACTCGTCGTGCTGCTTCGACGGAGCACCACTCTGCGAAAACGGCGAGACGCACCGAGCAGCGCATCCAGCCGAGTCGCTTCGTGACTTGTCAGATGATGCCGCACGCGCCTTCCGAGTGAGCTGGACTTGTGGAAGCAAAGTTGAACCCCCTGCAGAACGCGCGGCGACGCAGTGGATGTCAGCACCCTCCACACCGGGCTGCACACGTTACGATTGCTGTGCCCTCTTCGATTTTCCTGCGTTGTGGCCAAGTCCGCCGTTTTGATGGTCAGTCGAGCCAACTCGGCCAGTAGCTGCAGATCGCGTTCTGGCATCGCGCCAAAAATGACCTTTTCGTTCCGGGGCTGAACGTCCAACGCACGCACCACAACGTGCAGTGTTCGCGCGGTTGCCGTGACCAATTCGGTGACACGCGCCTCCGCCGCCCATTGCCACGGCGCTGCCATGATGTGCGTCGATTGCACGCCATCCATGGCTCGCCGAGCGAACTCCACGAGAAGATGCAACATGTCACGATTTGCCAGCTGACTGCCGAAGCGCCCGCGCTGAGATGCCGAGGTGCAAAGCAGCTGCACCACGTCCAGAAGCGTCACAGCCAGCACCGTGGAAACAAAAGGTCGCTCTGGTGCCGCCACGGCAGTAGCAGCCGTTACCGCAGAAGACGCCACTGTACTGTTACCATTTCCATATCCGCCGTAGAGTTCGCGGTACACCGCGTGCAGCCCCTTAGCTCCGTAGAAACTGCGCTCCAGAAACTGCGACACGTCAGCCGTGACAGACGCACGATCGTGCACCGCAGCGGTGCTGAAGCGCAGCCACACCGTCTCCTTCAGCGCCGCACAGCACAACACGAAGGCGTCAACCTGCGCATCCGACAGCAGTGAAGGTGACAACGAAAAAGGAGAAGTTGTTGACGGTGTGAGCGTTGATGTGGCCGTGCTGTCTCTGTCGAAACGTGCCTGCTGCGCTTCGTCACCCTCCTCCCCGGCGTTCAGCCGGTAGGCCCCACTCTGAATGGACTTCGCCAATGCCTGCGCCGCACGTCGCGCCAGCATCGTTTTGTGCACGGCGTGGCGAAACGCAGCAATCGCCTGGTCGGCTTTCGCCTGCACTTCTGCTACCATGACGGAGAGTTCTGCGTTGAGGAGCTGCGTCGCCGTTGTCACCGCAGGGGATGACGCTGCCGCTACGTTTGGACAGGGTGCGGGCAGGTAGCGTGCCACCACCTCCGACATCGTAATGTACTGCTCCGGCCGCGCCGCCTTCACACCGCAGAGGTGACTCAGCCACAGTGCGTGGATGGCCGACACGGCAGCGGCGGTGTCGGCGGCACCGTCGGTGGGTCGCTGCGCCAGTCGGGGCAGCAGGTGGTGATGCATCCACTCCTCTACCGGCGCCTGCGTCCTCCACGGCTGCGCGGTCGCGGCGAGGGCGGTGAAGAGCGTCGCGCCGGCAACAAACTCCTCCCTACTCATCGTGACGTCTCGCGAGGGTTGGCTGTCTTTTGCGGAGGACGGCACCTTCAGGCGCAGAAGGGCCAGAGCGCCTTCCCAGGTGTGGGCCTCACGCATCATGCGCTGAAGGGAGACAGCAACATCCCCCGAAAGCACAAGCGGGTTCGAGAAGTGGGGAGAGGAAGAGGGCAGGGACGTCAACGGAGTCCACAGCGGGGTCACAAATGCTTTTCGCACCACGCACAGAGCCTCACGCCAATACATCCGCTCCACCGCGCTTGAAGTGCTGTCGGGCAAAGAGAGCGCTGCGCGTCGTTTCATTGTCAGAGAAAGTCGCGGTCGTACTGGTGACGTCGTGGAATCGCGCTGCATGGCTCCCAAGGTGAGCAGGCGCAGGTGGTCGACAATCGCGGCAACTTCCATCACGTGCTTCGCCCTTGCGGACTGCACGGCGGCTTCGCGGTTGGACGATGTGTCCACAGGCCAGGCACCGTCATCCATTTCCAAGGCGTCTGCTGAAATGCGGCTGGCTCTTTCGTTCCCGGCTGCAGTTGAGGGAATCGGTAGTCCCTCCTGCGCGTCCAGACCGTCCAATGTACCCATAGAAGCCTCATACAGGATCCACCGCTTAATCCACTCTGGTTGTTGATGAAAAGCAACGCGATGTGCAATCGCGTTCGGCAGGTTTGCCTCCTGCGCCTCAACACCGTGTGAGCTAGAAGCAACTTTTCCCTCTACGGTGATTGCTTTCGCATTCGTGCCGAGTTCCACCTTACCGGCAGACGTTGAGCCACCGGACTTCGCGGACAAGGCCTCCTTCGTTTTCTCCCTCACAGTTTTCGGCGGTGTGGTGCGCTGCGCAGCTTCTTTAAACTCCTGCCGTCGCTTCGCCCACAGCAACCGGTCTTTCTCCAACGCGGCGCCCTCCTTCGCCCTCTGCAGCTGCTCCGCCTCTGTTGTCGCCGCATGTTCGTACGGCAGGCTGGAAATGAGCAGTAGCAGATCACTCTGTTGCAACTGCACACCGAGGCCCATCAGTCGATAGTAGAACTCCACCGCTGCGGCGACGGCGCGGTTGTGCAGGAGAGAGTGAAAGAAGTAGCGCACCTGCAGTACGACGGACTCCGACAACTCGGAGGCGTAGACGCAGCTGCGATGCAGCGAGGTCCACATAGCCAGGAGATCGGCGGCGTCGTCTTCGTGCGTTTCGAGAAAAGCCAGCAGCGGGTCTTTGTCCTGACTAGAGGAAGGTTTTACGTTTGTCGTACTGCTAGAAGTAGCGTTGCTGCTCGTGCCTCTCACCGAGTCGGCTGTTGTGAACGACTGGAATTCCGTGCAAGCGTCCTCAGACGCGCCAACATCAACCCGATTCTCCACTATTGGGTCAGCGGCAGAAGCCCGCGACGGCCCTACCAGGCCGACAAACTCCGCTTGCTGACGAAACGTGCGGAACCTTTCCGCAGCAACGTCAGCGCAAGTGACTTTCCCCGCTGCGGATGAAGCCATCAACAACGGCGTCGGTCGACGGTTTGCGAGCGGATAGCTGTCGGGTTGGTAGCGCCACAGTGCACCCCACTTCTGTTCGCGCTGGCGCATCTGGCGGCGCGAGAGGCGCGGAGAAAACAGCGGATTCTTTGGAAGCGCAACGGAAGACGAGGGCGAGCTCGATGTCGCCCGGCTACCTCCAACGACTGCCGCTGTCGCGCTCAGTCGTCGCACATCGTGGAAGGAAGAAGTCAAAGACGGGTCATGAGAAAAAGGAGGGAGTCTGCGCAGACTCAAGTGACGCATGAAAAGCAGAAAGGAGAATATATATATTAAACCAGATTACTTCTCGTGTGTGCAGCGGCGGAGATTATTCATGAAACAAACATAGAAAAATTAGTGTGATTGGGAAAAAGATCACTCGCTCTTCGACGCAAACACAATTATCCATGTCACCTCCCTAAAGGAGAGAAAAAAGTGGGCAAAGGTAGCAAAAGCGGACAACCTTTTGTTTTGTGCGCCTATGTGTGTGTGTGTGTGTGTGTGAAACAGGAATCAAAACAGACAGGGCAGCTGTTACGTAACGTGTGTACAAAGGAAAAAGGCCGCCCTCACTACGCCAATGCTGAGAAGGCACAAATGCCAGAACGCAAACACTAAATTGACAGCGTGGAGCAACCCTCCGCCAGAGCCGCCGAAGAAGGAGCCCCAATGAAACGCCGGCTCGTCGACGCTTCTCCAGTTTGTGTGGGGAAAAGAGGCACGCAATACTACATCGACAAAGGAGGGGATAAGAGGGAGAGAGGGAGGGAAGGAGGGAGGGAGAAGAGGTGGAGGATAGTGGGAAATGGGGCAGGACTAAGACAGCAGAAAGCGAACAGCGCATTCCCGAGTTGCGTGCTTCATCCTGACATCAAAAAGGTCGAGTGGCACAACGTTGCCCGGTGATACGGCACCATGCTTGGGGAAAAAAACACCTGAGAAATGAAAGCCATGGTGATCCGTTGCCGGTGGAGTAGGTGCCGCTGCTGCCGGCGTGACGTACACCTCAACGTTCACCTCGGGGGAGAAATAGGGGAAAAAAAAAGGATAACGTTTACAAAAGATGCAAAACTTTTGCATTTTGTGTGCGATACCGCTGCTCTCCGAGAGAAGCCACTTCAGGGAGAAAATCAGAGAAAAACACAACCACAAAAATACGCGAAGTACACCCCTATGGACAGCATCCCACACAATAGCGCATGTCTGCCGCGTCACTTCATCTTCGCATGGCGGCGGCGGTACACCGAAGGATCAATAAGAAGAAACAAGCGCCGCACCAGCACGCCACACACATAGTTGAGGACCGTCAAACCAAGAAGTGCAACAACACACACCACACGTTGGCTGGGACGCATGACCTTCACGACGGCCATCGACCAGTCGGCCGCACTGCGAAGGTGCACTGCGAAAACGAGCGCCGGCAACAGCGGAGGCATCAGTGCTTCCAACAGGCACGCCAGGAGGAACAGCTTGCGAAAACGTCCAGTCCCCGTGGTCGCGGCTCCACGCGGAGAGCGGATGCCGGCGACGAGGCGGGCTTTGGACGCCTGCACTCGACGCAGGCACCACTCCTTCACCTCCTCTGCTATCCAGAGAAACGCTGCGGTGATGAGCACGCACACGCAAAACGGTCGCAGCACGTGCGTCGTCCACTCCTCCTCCAGCAGCCCGGTGAAGGGGGCGGTGGTGCTGAGGATGGGCACGGCCTCTATCACACCCTGTACATCGTCTCCGAAGCGTTGCTTGGCGAGCAGCTCGAGGGCGAAGAGAACGGCCTCCGCGTTGGGAAGCTGGTGGCGCCGCAGCACGCCGGTGTACACGCCGAGGTGCCGATCCAGCGCCTGCTTTGCTTTTTGTAAACTGGACCGCTGCCGGTGCAGCTGCTTCAGCTCCGCCCGCTTTGCCTCGGTCGCCTCGTCGTTGGCGCTGATGGCGTCGCGTGTGGCGACGAGGTTGGAGGCGACCAACCGACTCGCTGCCTCTGCTAGCGGGGCCACTAGAGAAACGACTTGGGTGCAACAAGCACGGCTGCTTTCAACGAGGTCCGCCATCTCGCTGAGTTGCGCGTCGACCTCTGCCGTCGTGGACACCGCTGCGTCTCGGCGGAGACGCCACAACTCGCGCAGGTGCTCCACTTCCTTCTCAACGTGCGGGAGCACCTCTGCCTCGAGCAGAAAAGGAGTGTGCAGCAACGTCAACGAAGGGAAAGGGGAGTCAGCGGCGGTGTGGTCCCATTTTCTGACGTACGTGTGGGGAAAGTGTCGCTCGACAAGGCCCAAATAAGCCTGATCCGTTGGCGCGCTGCTGGCACCCGCCGCTTGTAGCCGGTCCCACAAGGAGGCAATGTCGCGCCTCACTTCCGACGACGCCTCCTCCAAGCCCTCTGCGGTGCTCGTATTGAAGCCGCCTTGCTTCTTGATGCGAGCTTGAAAGCGCTTCTGGACTTGGCGCTCCGTAAAGTAGTTGGCCAAGGCGGAGCTGTGGCGGTCGGTGCCACGGGTGTGGTCACCTGCCGGATTATCGTCGTCTGCCGCGTCTCGGGCGTTTGTGGCGTCCTGCTGCTGTTGCTGCTGACGGTAGGCCCGCAAGGAGCGCACCCGGCGCTTCCACTCCCGCCACTGCTGGGTCGCTTTGTTTTCCGCCTCAAAGAAGATCTCTTCGTCAGCGGTGCTGGTAAAGTCGAAGTGCCACTCGCCGGCACGTTGACGGTCGCGTGCGAAGACTTTGGCCTCGGGCAGAATACCGGTCACGATGCTGACCGAAGACTGGGAGATGGCATAGCGCGCCTCTGCCCTAAGGGCTATGTGATCCAAATAGCAGATGACCACGGCGAGTGCCAGAAGAGCCGCGCGCACCGCCGCAACCATTTTTGATTTTGCTTTGTGGTTCTCTTACTACTACTAAGAATAGATAATAGGATATGGACACGATTCAGTTGTTTCGCTCCGCGCATGTGCTTTCATCCGCCTAATTGGGGAAGAGACCAGGGCAGACGATGCAACTGAAGCGCTGTCTTGGCTTTGGCTGCCTCCTCCGCAACAGAAAACGACGCAACCAAAGCGGACTCCATGACGTGCGTGTGGTCCAGAGGTAAAAGAAAAAGGAGTCATGAGAAAAAGGCAGGCAGTACAAAGGAAGGGAACGGTACGAGTGCCGATTTGCGACAACGCCAACACCTTCGCAGGTTATGCAGGAAAGCTTGTTGTTGCACGAAGCGCAGTGAAGAAAAAGGAAAAAAGGAATTGTAAATGACGCCAATGGTTCGTCGACAACAGGCAATACGTGCCGGAATAGACAACAGGAAATGAGATGAACGCGTCGTATGACACTATCCAGCTCAGAAATCGTGTACCGCGCTATTTGTATTTCTTTCCTTCTCTCTTCAGAATCAAATGCATTAGAACTGCATAATTACAGTGGAAGTTAAGTTCTTTATTTATATGCAACGCCGGTGGATAAGCAGGAAGTATAATACAGTACTCAGCAAAACGGCAGTGATGAACGTCACATACACACGCTCAAAAAAGGAAGAGGAGAGGAGGCAAGGAACGAGAAACACAGAGAAAGGGACGGAGAATACGCTCGTCAAACTTAAAAACCTTTTAGTACCGGTTGCGAAGAGAGTTACCACGAAGAATAGAAAAGGAAAGTAGGAAAGCAAAGCTATTTTTTTTCCTTTTTGAGTTGTGCAATACAAGCGATGAGCAGAGGAGAGAATTACAACACAGAAGAGAGTATCACATCATATGTACAAGTTACTCAGAGAGTATAGTCACACATCCAGTTGCGCACATAGAGGATTCTTCGTCGGACGAGAAAAACAAAGGGAGGAAACCTTCCCCAACATCATTCGTCGCCCCAATATCTGCTCGTCACCAAGTTCAACGTGTGCGTTACAAAATCGGAAACAGACGACGTTTGAGCGGGAAAAAAAAAGAAAAAAATAAGATCCAAACGGGACAACATGAGGACGCACACACGCACACACTTTTGACTCGTCTTCAGTATGTGGGTGTACAGTTGACGAGGAAGACCGCGGCAAGTAGAGCACCGCAACGGACAGAGAAGTAACTTTTCGGGAACGAACACTTCAGGAAAGAAGAAGAGGCGATCACTCCTTCTGTCCCGATGGCGGAGCATCGACATGCCTCTCAGCAGAGGCGTAGACACTTCGAACAAATAAAGTAATAATGAAAAGAAGCGGAAATGGAGGGAAAAGGAAAACGACACGAATCAAAACCGTTAACAGTCCCAGCAGCATCGCAGAAAAGAATTCCCCCCATCTCCCCACACCCCCAACACACACGCACACATCATAGACACATTAGACAGCAGCCTTAGGGGGGGGGGGGGAACTACACAGGAAACTGATAAGGCTGAGTGGAAAGCTACGATCAGCGGTTTTTACGCCCCTACCCCGGTTTTTTCAAATATTTTTTGAGGGAAAAGAAAAAGAGGGGAAACCAAAAATATAGCGAAGGCTAAACTACCATTGAAATCACCAAAGTCAAAAACCTTCTGCGCCACAAGTGGCGTAATGAAAGAGAAGACGAGACGATGAAAAAATCGCTGTGGCACGTCCGTTCGCGCCGACAGAATGCACCCACAGCAAGTTGAGGTGGAAACTAACAACTTTTCTCTCACGATGCGAACAGCAGCACCAAAACACACAGTTACTTGATCTCTGGTACAACAGAAGAGAACGAGGAGAAACATGAGGCGAAGACATGCACGTGTGCTAAACAACTCATTCGAGCATCAGTGAAACCGCCGCAACGCCAATCCAAACACGAGGTGATACTAGAGGGGGGAAAAATCGTATAGAAGAGCAGTGGTGTTGACGTAGTCACGCAACAAAAGGAAAGACATCACGTGTTTTGAGTACGTTTGTCTTTTGATATTAAATACTGATAACTCAACCGCAACAACGCAAATTTCCTTTCAAGAAAGTTTAAAAAAGAAACTAAATATAAACTTTTTGGGTGTGTGTTCCAGATAGGAGAATGCTATTGTGAAGATTGGTGAAATTAAAAAGACCTATCACTACCTTCGGTGGCGTGTGTGTGCGGCGTTCCGCTAGAACTCTTCGGAGTCCAACGACTCCATATCCATGTCTTTCCGATAACGTGCCTCGCTCGCGGCCAGACGGCGGTCCTCCTCCTCGTCCACGAGAGGAACATCGTCACTCACACCAACCTCCACGGGCTGCGGAGACGGCGTCCGCGGGAACGGTTGCGGCGACTTGGACCGCAAATTGCCCGGTTTCGGCCACTTCGACGCCGGCTTATCTACCGTCTGCGCTCGATTGTACAGGTACACAATGTAGCTCGTTTGGGCCACCACCACGCAGATCACAAGACCGATGAGCACCTTATGCGGCGCAATGGCGATATAACCCATCCCACCGTGCTTGTCCGCGTCCAAGCGCGTATCCTTTTTATGCTTCCCACCCATCCCAGTAACTTCTTTGGTCTTGTCTACAATCAAATCAACAGCGGCAGTGCCGCCGTGTGCGGTGGACTTGACGAGGTCTTTGCTGATGTTGATGATGGCCTCCGCTCTCGAGTCTTCGTAGTTTTTCGCGATGGTTTCCTTCGTGCCTTTCGCGGCCACCTTCGACGCACCGCGGACACCCTTGAAGATGGAAACCCATGCACCTACCGTTTGGTCCCAGCTATCCCGAAAGTGCTGGGTAAAGTTCTCCGGATTGTCCGCCATCGGCTAGAGAGAGAGAGAGAGAAAAGAGGGGAAAAAAACCGCTAAACACAAAAGATACTACTAGAAATATATCTTTTTTTCTTTTTTGATGTGTCAACTGAATTGACAGCCTTCAGGAATGAACTGCCGTTCTCTTTTGGTTATTACCAGTGAATGAATGGAGCGGGGTGTTTTGTGTGCCTATGGAGCTCAAGTCAACGGGAAACAAAATACAAAAGAAAACGATAAAAGAGCTGACGCGTGGTTGCAATGGAAGCACAGTTCAACAGTTATTTCGGAAAAAAAAAACGTTTTGTGAAGAACAGCTAAAAAGTGCTGACGGAGAGTTATGCTTGTGCTTGGAAAGACCAAGTAGAGAGGACGCAAGCGGGAGACGTGTTGGCAGGTCAACAAAAAAGGGGGGGAGGCAACAGTTACGGGAGAAAGCTCGCAAGACGAATGAAATCACTTTGAACAAGAGAGAAAACAAAGAAGAAAAAAAAAGAACAGCGGTCGGTAGCGGTAATTAGTGTATCTGCACGTGCTGCACGTTTTGCTCGTGCTCATTTCTGCGAACCTAGATCATGAATTATGAATGTATATGTCGTTTGTTTCAGCACTAAATAAATCGAGCGGCGTAAGTGAAAAAACTACTGCACCGCGAGAATAAGCAGCGCGTCGTCCGTCGCCGTGACAATCATGGAAAGAAATGGCGCACCCAGAGCCACCAAGACTGCATCATAGACCCCCAGCGGTAGCCGCTCACGCGATGCAGACGACCGTTGTAGTAGACACCCTCGCCGTATCCTAACGACTCCACGTCGATCTGGCGCGATCGCCGATTCCACGGCTCCACAAGCTGCGTCGAGACACGCATAAAACGCTTGAGGGGCGCGTGCTGGCGGTCTACCGCCTCCGTCGCCGTGTCGCGGTTTGACACGTTGCGGCGGAACTCGTTCTCCGACAATGCAAAGTGACGCGCCGGGGGCCGCTCAATTAGGCCGTAGTCGTACGCCAGACGATCGCCCAAATCGCGCAGCAGGTCGGTGCCGTTCCTCTGCGCCTGTCGCCACTGCGTCTTGCTCCACTTTGCCTTCGTACCGGCGGGTCCGCCATGCGAAGCAACAAGCTGGTTCAGCTCCGCCAAGCATGCCAGGTCCGCCGCGGGGTAGAGAGCGCCCTCGTACCCCAACGGATAAATCTGCGCAGAGCCGTAGTAGGCCTTGCGCGTCAGGAATCCAGCGCACCAAAGTAGCTGATCACGCGCCGCGGACAGGCCACTCTGGTTTGCTGCAGCGGCGGCAGCAGCAGCCGTGGCCGCCCTCCAACGGCTGAGTCGCGCAAATAACTCCTGACGCCCCTCCAGCGAGGCGTAGCCGAAGGGAGAACGGGTGTTCAGCGAGAGGATTGATCCGTCGATGGCGAGCTCGCTCTTCTCGCGCTGCCACTGCGCACTGAGGTGGTGCTCCGTCCACACACTGGCTGTCCACCGGCCGAAGACGGCGTCGGCAAGGTAGTTCGCCACATCGCGCAGAAATGGGTTGCCGCGGTCGGCCGCTTCGTAGAGAATCAGCGAGAACCCCTCCGGCATGCCGGACTCCAGCGTAAAGCTGAACAGCTGGCACGCAATGAAGTGCTCCCGAAGGGGAATACTCTTTGCAAAGCCTTCCACAAAATCGGACACCGATGTTGTCTCTTCGCCAGCAACAACGTTCATGAACAGCGCGTGCGGAGGTGCTTGTTGTTCTGCCGCGCTTGACGCACGTTGTGCGGAGTCTTCCGTTGTGCTTTCTCCGCTAGAGTCCCTCCCCCGGATTTCAAACCCATTGTCGTCGCCACCCTCGCCTTCGATCACGAAGGCACGCAACACCTCCTCCCGCTCCTCCGGTGCAATAAACTGCAGGTGCTTCTCCATCTCGTCCAACACGCTCTCCGAGGTCGTAAACGTGAAGGGGTAGAGCAGTGCGTTGTACGCCGCATTCAGTGCAACACCCATATACGTCCACCGCGACTGGTTGAAGTAGTCATGCACATCTGAAGCGTAAAGAAGAGGCTGCAGGTCGGCCGTCTCGATCGTTTGCTGCTTCACCCGCCGCAGCGTCTGCAGACGAAAGCGGCGCGGTGGTGCGTCGTCGACCACGCCGTGGCGCCGCAGCCCCGCCGTCGAAGAAGGCGCGGTGTTGTCCATCGTGAAGCCGACACCGTAGTCCCCGCTGCGCAGCAGCTCGACGGTGGGCTCCAGGGCGTGGATGTGGCGTGCCGCAAAGCGCAGCAGCCGTGCCGCGTACGACTCCACGGTGTCGTCCACCAAAGGGAGGAAGTGCGGGGTTTGACCGAGGAAATGCGGCGAGGCGGCGACGGCGAGGTCGCGCAGCTTCGGGATCGAGATCAACGGCGCGTGCGTTGTGGCGTCCTCGGCGTGCAGAAGAAACGACGCCATCACAAATGGATCGGTGCGACGAACGGAGTAGGACGTTGAGTCCAGCAAATGCACAGAGGGAAAGTCGCTCTTCCACCGCTTCATGGCGGACAGGCAAATGAGAAACAACGCGTGCACGTCCAAGGGCGCCGGTGTGCGCCCGGCGTCACGGCTGTGCGGCAACAACGCGGCGTCTGCCGGGCTGTTGGGGGGTTCCGACCGCTTCAAGTCCCGCAACGCCTCTTCCACAACTTCTCCTCCTCCACGCGACTCGTTTTGTTCCGCTCTTTGGTTCGATGCGTCGGCCGAGCCCAGCAACTGGCCCAGAAGCTGAAACGGCTCCATCGTCCACGCCGAGAGCTGCTGCTCCACCGCGCTAACCTCCACCGCGTTGCCCACCAAAGGTCCGCGCTTCGCCCATCGACTCAGCGCAAGCAGCAGGAGGGACTCCGTGATGACAAACGGTGAGTCCGTCACACTGCGGCAGCGCTCTACAGCACGTCGCGCCCGCTCATCCAACGACCGTGACGGCGACTGCTTCGGCACCTCCTTGCCATAGTCTTCCGTGCCGTTCTCGATGTCCTCCATGATGGCGGCAGCTGCCCACGCGTCCGCACCAGTGCCTTCCGCAGACATGCGCAGCGCCCCGTACGGCGACACTGGTGCGGGCGGCGTGGCATTTTCCACCTTGGAGAACACGTTCGCGAACCGATCTACCGTCTCGCGAACCTGATCCAGCCGCTTGACGAGCAACCGCTGCAGGCGTATCGACATTTCCACGGAAAGCGCGGCGTACATGTGGCTCAGCTCGTACTTGTGGGTGTGGAGGAGGTGCACGTAGCTGAGGGAGAGCAACACCTGGTGCAACATTGCGAAGAGCGTCTCCGAGGTCGGCACCTGCTCGCGTGGATGTCCGTGCCCGAATGCGTCTTGGCTGCCCGGGCAGAGCAGCAGCGTGTGGCGAGTGTTCCCGAGCACGCTGTACAGCTCTGTATCGTGTTCGACGCACGAGTCCGGCAGTGGCACACCGATCCTCGTCTCAAGGTACCTGGGGCGCCCACTGATCGACCGGTCTGCCGAGTGCAGCGAAGACACATTCAAGTCGCACAAGTAGCCGAGGCGACGGAGGACGACGAGCAACTCACACTGCGCCTCGTGCGGGTCGAGCTTTGTGTCTTTAAAGCCAGAAAACAACATATTTGCCTTCAGGACGCGCCGGCTCAGACGGACGGTGATGCTGCCTTCGTAGTCCTCCTGTTCCCGCTCCATCGCTGCCTCGCGGTAGACGTCCTCCAGTTCGGGGGCGTCGTCGGTAGACTGGATGTTCTCGTTGGAAACCGCCACAAGAGTCGTGATGCCCGCTCGCGTCATGAATGGGTCGTCGACCTCGCGGATGGTGTGATCCACCGCGTAGAACTGCTCGAAGCGCAGCAGCCGTGATGCGTCGAGGCCGCGCGCATTCAGCGCACGATGGTGGAGCGTGGGAAAGGGCGATGGCGCACTCGAGGGAGCGGTCGGCGAAGGAGGCGCGCTCAACAGCAGCTGCCGCAGCAGGTGCGACGGTACCACTCGCATCGACTGCAGCAGCAGCAGCATCGCCGCCTTGGTGTGCTGGCGCGTAAAGATGCCGTGTTCGCGGAGGGTCGCTAGCGCCCCCGCTGCGTGGTGCGAGCCGGCGCTGAGGGCCTCGTACAGCTGCACGACGCCGCGCACCACACCGTCGGCTTCACAGTCAGCGCTCTGCCTGGTCGCGGTGCTTTTGAGATGCTGATATGTGACCAGGTCGAGAATGCCGACGACGTAATGCAGCTCTGCCCGCACGAAGCGAGGAAGCCACCCGCCGGCCATCTCCACCGCATCGCCGCTCTCCACGAAATGATCCACGAAACGGACAAAGCCAGACGCGCTAAACGATTCGTTCGCCATTTTAGTAGTCGCCTCCCCTGCCGCCGCCTTCCACACAGCAAAGAGCACGGCATAAAGCTGCGCAATGGTCGGCGGTCGACCCGACTTCTCCCGCTGCATCATCATCTCCGCCACACTCCCCACCCACACCTGTCTCGCCGTGGGGTGTAACTCCGCCACCGTCGCATCGCCGTCCTCGTCGGCTTCCCCCGCCGACGGGCTGCCGTGGAGCGCACGCTGAAGAGGTGCCAGGTCGTCTCGGCACCCGTGTCGGGCGTGTAATCGACGCAGCTGTGTCGCGCGCCCGTCGTGCTCCCAGCGCACCCCGCTGCCGCGAAGCGTGTCCCACGCGGCGTAGATCTTGCGACACGACACGCCGCGCCGCTCCTCCGCTGTGCGCACTTGCCCAGCAACGGCGTGGATTTCCAACAAGGACGATGTCATCAGCGGACCCTTCCGCGCATCCGCCACGCCTTTCCCATCCAACCGGTCCGCTCTCTCTGTCTCGTTCGCCGCTTCCGCCGCTTCACGGCGTGCCTGCCGGTCCAACAAAAAGCGCTGGTATCGTGCTTTAAATCGGGCGTGTGTGTCGTAGGCGTCCTGTTCCTCCCGCTGCAACTCCATCAAGGAAGCACGGAGACTGTTCTGCGCTCGCACGGTGGCCGCGTCAAACTCCGCCACCTGGGCATCGACCTTTTGCTTGGTGTGAAGGAAGCGCTGAATGTGTCGGCGTCGCCCCACCGCCTCCCCGTCCACCGTCAGTTGCGGCAGGCGGTACTCTAACGGGTGCCCCGCGAAGATGATGCGCACAGACACGCGAAAGTCTGCCAACGGTACGTGCAGCGTCTGGGTGTTGCCATTGCTCTCCCGCAAGCGTAAAAGAAGCTGCCCCGGAAGATCGGCCGTTTTCAAGTGCTCGATAAACCCCTCCGCCGCACGGACGGCGGGGCCAACTGTCTCGTGCAGCACCAGCGACCACGCTTTCGGCTCCTGTAGGCGTTGCAGCGCAATCCAGCGCGCCTCGCCGTACAACAGCGCCAGCTCGTCTGGGTGAAACCAGTAATACATCCGGCGATAGGGAGTGGTGTAGAAAGGGCACGTGCCCTTGCCGTCAGCGCGCATGAAGCTGACGAGTTCTAGTAGCTGCATTAGGTCATAACTGCTGTCGGCGGCGATGCGAAGCGGGGCCCCTACCTGGGACAGCACCTGCCAGTGATCCGCGTCGTGCAGCTCCGCCTCGCCGGTAAAGAATGTATCGGAAACAAACAAGTCAAGCTGCGGCTTCCAAGGCCAGTCTTCGTCCTTTTCTGGCACGGTAATTTTGATGCCCGCCGCATAGACGACTAGTATGGAGACACTAACAACGTAAGCTGCCAGCAAGCACAACGCACCCCACCGCTTGGCGGGTTGTCCCTGTCGCAGCATCATGGAAATGAGGCAAGACCTATGATTTCTGTTACGCCCCTAGCTCGTCCACAGACATACACAGGTACGTACACACGCACGCTGCTTTCTTACGCAAGGAGAAAAGATAAAACGTTTACATATACAAGAGTCAACGGTTCTCAAAAAAAAAAGGAGAGGTTTAGAGAAAAGCAGGGGGTTCACTACGTACGAAGGTGATGGCTGCTGCGCGTCACCATGTGGACTGCGTGGAAAACAACAGCAAAAAAGACACACAAATGACGCGCGATTGGAGGCTGCATAGAGGCAAAAGGGAGGAAAAAACAACACCTCTCCTCACGACACGAGACGGTATATTCTCGAGATGCCACGACGAAATGCGTTAGCAACGTTCACGACGTACATATCTGCCTGCGTTTGTGTGTCCCTAAACGAGGGTTATCCATCAAACCCTCACGACATATGGTCCATGCTTCGCAAAAGAAGAGTTAGCCGGACCCTTTCCTCTTCTGTTGTGTGTGTGTGTGTGTGTTTGTATTCGCTTATATAAATATGTATGTCTGCAAAAGAGGGGGTGATGGTTCATTCACATAATGCGGACAAGAAGGTAGGAGAAGCAAACTGAATTTCGTGTCCACTTTACCACGCTCTAGAGATAACGCAAGAGGAGAGAAAGAGTTCGAGATAATACATCAGGGCCGTGTTTGACCGTGCGACAGCACGCCATGCACCTTCTCCCTACACAACTCTCCACGAAAGAAAAAAATGAGAAGGAGAAAACACCCCTCACAAAAAACAACATCCAGACACCACCCTGCCAGAACTGCCTTTCGCGGTTTCGGGGGGGGGGGCGAACGTGGCAGCTTCTATTTTACACTTCAAATTAACACCTGAAAAAGAAACCAGTAGTAAGAGAAGACTCGATGCTGCCTTTTACAACGGAGGAGCCGCTGAGGCGGCGGCTTGGGCCTCCATGTCAAACATGATTTGTTTCATGGAACGGCTCACCTGCTTCCCGGGGCGGTAGCGGCACAGGGGGCATCCGCTGCCTTTCATGCACTCCACCTCGTAGTCCGCAGAGACGAAAAAGTGCTGGCACCCCTCGCAGAGCAAGATGCTTACATCGGGGCGCATGAGGCGGTAGTAGCGGTTCGGCACCGGCAACGTTCCGTAGCGGGGACGCACAATGAAGACTTCATCGCGCCGGAAGCCCTTCAGTATGTCCGCCGTCGCCACGTACGGCTGATACACGCCGTTGGTTCGTCCAGGCCGCATGACGTACTGCAGCTGCGTGAAGAACGGGTCGTCGCCTTTGTTCGCCGCGGCCTTAGAGCGTCCCATCGCATGCAGTTGCTTGTCAATCTCGTAGTCGATGTTGTCCGCCTCGAAGTTGATGACGTTGGCTCCCGTGTCCGACGTCCACTCCTTCGCTTTTGGCTGCTTCGCTGCCGCCGTCGGACTGTCCGTGTTCCCCTTGTTGTTGGGTTCGTCGTCAGCTGAGCGGCGGCGGCCGACACCCGACACGATAATCCGCTCCGCCTCCTCGTCTGACACGTCGTTGTCCAGTATGAACTCCACCAACGGCAGACACTCGAAGTTCACAAAGGAGCGCACGCAGGGGTGAAAGCAGTTTGGACAGCGGTCGCCGGCAATGGTGAGCTGGGGGACGACCTGGTTGCAGCGGAAGCAGTAATCGAGCAGCTCCTCACGGTCCTTCACGGGCTTGCTGCGCACAATCAACGTCTCCACGTCGACTTGCTCCATCATGGAAACCGGCAGAATGACGCTCTGCAGCTTCTCAAAGACTGTACGTGCGGTGCGCACCATCTCGAGGCGGTTCGCTATGCGCGACAAGGTGTACAGAATGGCCGCCTTCCCAACATTCATCGGAATCGCAGAGCCGGCGCACATGCCCAGCAGGTACTTCGACGTGCGAAAGAGACTCAGCTCGTTGTACGGCAGCGGCTGCGTCGTGTGGGCGTAAACGTTCTGAAATGCATAGTAGATGTCGCCGCGGCGCACGCACTCGTTGCTGCGGCGAATACGTGCAGCCTTTTCGGCATCGGTGGGGTGCTCATCGTCCTCGAACTGACCGTACTCCTCGGCCAAGTGGACGTAGTAGAAGGCAGCGTCACCGAACTTGCGACACGTGACGCTGTTCGTCGCCAGCGTCTCCATCAGCCGCGTCGCCTCCTTCGGCCACTTCGCCGCGCGAAACGCCTCCATTGCTTCGTCGAACTTGTCGTTGTCGGCCAACCAACTCGCCCACGGCACGTACACGTCACGCGCCAGTGACGGCGCCTTCTCGAGCATCGTGAAGGCGTCTCGCCAGTTGCCACGCGCGACGTAAATGTGCACGAGTGCACCGTGGTCCTGCACGCGCTCGTAGGCCTCAATTGCGTAGGGGATGGCGTCGTGCTGACGGAAGTAGTTCGCGCACTCGGTGATGAGCGTCACCTCTGACTTGGGCAAGGCGCGGCACATCTTCATGAGCTTGTCCACCTGTCCGGCCTGTCCCATCATCCCAATCGCCTTGGCGTAGTCGCCGCAGCTCTCGTACAAGGACGCCGCCTCGATGAAGTTCTGCGAGTCCTCAGCCCAGCGGGCCTGCTGCCGAATCAAGTCCTTCAGCATCTTCTCATCACTGCAGATCTTCTTCGCATCGTCCCACATTTTCAGGTCACAGTACATCTCCATCGCCTTCAGCTCGCTGCCGAACTTGATAAACTGCCTAGCAGCATCCTGGTACTTGCCCTGGAAGGCGAGGATGCTGCCGTAAAGCAGGCCGTCGTCCGTTTCCCTCGCACTCTCATCTTCGGCGGTGGTCTTCCTGGCGTCCTCCCCACCCGTAGGTGCCGCTGCCGGCACGACCGCCGCACCCCCGGTGGGAGAGGACAGCGGAGAGGCCGTGGAGTGGCTGCGACGCAGCTCTAACGTCTTCAGCAGCTCCACCAGCTTCGCGTCTTGGATGTGGGTGAAAGACTTGCGGGCGATGTCCAGCCGAAGATCGCGCATCGCGTGCAGGCCCAGCATCTTCCAGTCGCCATCCGTCACACCGAGGCAGGCCACCTCGTAGGCGCGGTCCAACTCCTTCTGCTCTACGTACTTGTACAGCGCGTGCGAGTGCGGGACATCGAGCGTCATTATATTCGCGTAGTGAAGATTGAAGATGTGGTTCGCCTTGAAGCCAACAACGATGCCACGGACCACCTGCTGATAGGCGGGCAAGGTGCCGGTCTTGACGTTCAACGTGTTGTTCCCACAGGTGAAGGCGATGATATCCGCAATGTCGATGTTCCACGCCACCGCCGTCACGTTCTCCTCCGTGAAGAGCAGCTCGTTCTTCTTTCCCAGCCGCAGCACGTGTAACTTGTTCGCGTTGTCGATCACGGCGAGACGGTCGCGGGCACTGTTCAGGTCCGCGCTCTTCACCGGCTGATCGACCTTGTGCAGGAGGGTCGGGAAGGGGTTGTCGACAAAGACCTTCATGACCTGCCCACCGCTCAGCCCCACCAGTAAAATCTCGCGCCCCTCCATCCCGCCGGAAACCTTGATAAATTGCACCGCGCTCTCCATCGCCCACTCACGCCGCTTGTTGCCCTGGAAGTCGTACATGGTAATGCGCTTGTCATTGCAAGTGATCAACGCATTCGTCGTGACGGACAGCAGCGAGCACTCCAGACGGCGCCGGACTTGCGCGATGTCTTGGTAGCGCATCGTTCGCTCGTCGTCGTAGAAAAACTCAAACACAACGATGCGCTCCTGGAACTGCACGGCGAGGCGGTCGCGGAAGGTGGCGAGCTTGCGCACGTACTCGTTGCACGGAATCGTCATTTTGCGATCGAGGGAGAGCTGGTGCACCACGACACTGGTCATGTTCTTGCGGAACACGTACTGGTCATTGTAGATGGCGTGCACCGTGGTGACGGCGATGTTGATGCTGCTGATGGTGCCATCGTTGGTGCCGCAGCAGATCTGCTGCTGCCGCGGTCGCTGCCGGGCCGTCCAAATCCAGTCGTCGGCGTCCGCCACGTCGATCAGACGGTTGCCATCGCCGGTGAAGAGGGTAACCTTGTGATCACTCCCGCTGATGAGAATGTACTTGCCGTTGTTGAAGAAGGAAAGGCTGCAGGGGTCAAAGTTCAGCTCCCGCTCCTTGCCCACCGGGGCACCGGCGAGGTTGTAGAAGGACAGCCGGTGATCCCACGAGCCGACGGCGAGCACGTCGACACCGTTTTCTCGCAGCGGGCTGAAACCCAGCGCCCACACCGGGGCGGGGCGTCGAAGGCGCACCTTCTCCTCGAGTCCGCGTTCGAGGAGCAAAATCGTCCCGTCGAGCATGCCGATCGCCAGCATCTTGCCGTTCGGCGTCCACGCCGCACTGAGGCCTTTGGACGGCAGCGCGTACTTGGACACCTTCGGCTGGTCCGGTTCCCAGATGCCCCAGTCGATGCCCGAGACTGAAACCAGTTGCGACGAGGTGGGATTGTGCGCCAGCGCCTGGATGGAGTCCTTGTGCTGATACTTGACGATGCCTTCGCCTTTGTTGGTCCAGACAATGACGGTGCGGTCCGCGCCACCGCTCGCAAAGCGCTTGCCATCGGAGCTGTAGTCCACGCAGTACACCGTGTTCTGGTGACCCTTCAGCGAGTGAAGAAGGGTGCCGGTTGAGGCCGCGTAGACAAGCACGCGCACGCCGCAGGACGCTACCACGTAATCGCCCGAAGGGCAATAGCATACGCTGTTGATGGGAGGCCGAATGCCGCCAACGGCGTCGGCCGTTTCGGACCACTGCACGCTCGTACGCATGGTGAATGCCAACAACAGCAACAACAACAAAAGCCAAAAGGGCAGCGAGAATTTCACGAAGGACAACAGACCGGTTTTCGTTGTACGGGGTGGAAGTGAACACCGCACGTCGGCGTTTGGACTTCAAGGGGGAAATTAGCGGCTGTGTGTTCAAAACAACACCGATTGGCTTTCTTTTCCACAGAAATGCAGTTCAGCTGCTCTAAATTCTTCTATTAAAGATACACGCCAACAGCACTATTCAGGGCCCACGTTAGCGTTAAACTGTGTAGGTCTACTTGCACGAGATGTGCCTGCTTCTCTGATCTTTCTTTTTTCCAATCCTCAAAACGAGTCATTTAGCATGGGAACGCAGCGGGAACAAAGGTATGGGGGAGAGTCAGCGTACGACACAACGTCGTGAAAAAGTGGAAAGTAAGGCGAGAAAATGAAGGGAAATGCGCAAGGAAGAGAGCGGCACAGGCACGCACGATGACGACGAACCACGCAGCGCTTGCCATCAATGTGCACGGCTTGACACTCATTGTTTGAAAAACAAGGGGACACAATAAGACACCGATAAACGTCACGACTATCGGAAGGAGACAAAGAAATGCGCAATAGAACGACGAAGACGGCAAGGATTTCAGCGCACTTGACAACTCGGTCAACAATGGTATCCACTGCAGCCTGCGTATTTGCTGCCCGTCACATGCTCTCTAGAACGTCAAAAGAACAGAACGCACATTATCGATTGCCAGTTTCGTTCATCTTTTTTTTAGATTCTTTTTTCAAATCAAAACGAAAATCTGCTGAAAACAATGTTACCTCGTACGTCCTACATTGTTATTGGAAGACGGTCCTCTCGCATTTTAAATGTACGATCGCGTACTTGTCGCTTACTCAGCAGCCGGGGCGGGGGCAGCCTCCGCACCACCCTCAGGGGCAGCGGCGGCGGCGGCGCGGTAGTTCGTGCGCTCACCACCGAAGCCACGGCCACGACCGCGACCGCGGCCCTCACCGCGACCACGACCACGGCCCTCACCACGTCCGCGGCCACGGCCCTCCCCGCGCCCACGACCGCGTCCACGGCCTTCCGTCACCTTCTCGAAGTTCACCGTGCTCGGCTTCTGCGTGTTGGGCACAGCGGACGGAGCAAGGTGCAGGTAGCTGCGCATGTACGCAATACCCTCGTCGTTCAGCGTCCAGTAGTAGTGGCGCCACGCGTACTGCTCCTTGATCAGGCTGCGGCTCTTAAGGGAGCGCATCAGCTGCATCACCTGGATGCACGGCACCGTGAAGGTGTTGCCGCCAAGGGTACCCGTCCAGGTACCCATGCGGTCCTTCTTGCACGCGATCACGCCCTCCGTGAAGAAGAAGCGGTACACGTTGTCACGGGAAGGCTTGGGAACGTAAGTCGACATTTTCCAAATAACTACGCAAGGTAATATGCAACAAGAAAGGGCGGGATGGAAGAAGGGGCGGAAGGAAATAGAGGTACGTGCGGAGAACAAAGGGAATGTGAAACACCGAAACCGGCGGTGAATGCGTAACATGAAAGCCCCCGTCACCCTGACACGTGTCAGTTGATTCGAAGAGTCTGTGCAGGTACGCGCGTTCAGATCGCTTACTTTCAACTTTTCAGCAGTTTGTGGGTCCGTTAATGCAGCACCTTCTTAGATTACAGTGGAACTGAACGACAAGAGCGTGTCGGCCACAGAGCCGCAGAGGTGTCTCACATTCGGAAGAACTCGTTTCCCTGTGTTTGGTAAGGTGTGTTTGAAGTACCCAGAAGCTTTTCTGAATCTTTGAGAGAGAAAGAAGAGAAATCAAAAAAGTAAAAAAAAAAACTACGTTCAACCGAATCACTTACCGACGCGTGTTACTGCACGTTCACCTGCGAGTGAACCGTAGAGCACTGCAGCATGCTTCTACTCGGCAGCCGGGGCGGGGGCAGCCTCCGCACCACCCTCAGGGGCAGCGGCGGCGGCGGCGCGGTAGTTCGTGCGCTCACCACCGAAGCCACGGCCACGACCGCGACCGCGGCCCTCACCGCGACCACGACCACGGCCCTCACCACGTCCGCGGCCACGGCCCTCCCCGCGCCCACGACCGCGTCCACGGCCTTCCGTCACCTTCTCGAAGTTCACCGTGCTCGGCTTCTGCGTGTTGGGCACAGCGGACGGAGCAAGGTGCAGGTAGCTGCGCATGTACGCAATACCCTCGTCGTTCAGCGTCCAGTAGTAGTGGCGCCACGCGTACTGCTCCTTGATCAGGCTGCGGCTCTTAAGGGAGCGCATCAGCTGCATCACCTGGATGCACGGCACCGTGAAGGTGTTGCCGCCAAGGGTACCCGTCCAGGTACCCATGCGGTCCTTCTTGCACGCGATCACGCCCTCCGTGAAGAAGAAGCGGTACACGTTGTCACGGGAAGGCTTGGGAACGTAAGTCGACATTTTGAAACGGCTTTTTTTTTTGGAAGGATAGAGTTTAAAAAACAGAAGGTGTGGTGCAAATGCAATAAGAGTGGTAAGAGCGCAAACAACAACAACAACAAAGGGAAAGAGGGGATAATTGTAATAGGAAAGAGGTAGAGGTCGGTTATGCAAGGCATCGGTTTGGTCGTCTACACACATCACATGCGGAGCAGTATTGGCTAAACTTCACAGTAAAATACACGCTCGACTGTAGACAGAAACTCGCATCACGGTTGTCTGCCTCTGCGAATGAAGCGTGCCATGACAGAGCTCATGTACTTTTCTAGTTATGTTCTGCCTTTGTGCTCCACCGCAGCGGTGCATAACACAAATAGCAGTTACAAACACTAAAAACCGACTGATTGAGATTCTAATAATCCCAGCGGGGCTACCGTCATGTCAAGCTCAAACACGCGCCTACCGTTGCTGGTGTACCTCTCAGACACAATTTCTATCAGAAGCACTTCATTCATTTTTTTTTTTTTTGGTAGAGTAGTAAAACGAGTATGATTTCAACTAGCATAGGAGTGCAGAAATCTAGAGGGATAGCCCATTTCCACGGCAAAATACAGCTGAGAGACAGAAGCGCTAAAGGAGTAAGAGACAACCCACAACACACACGTCTCATAGACACGCAGCGACTCTCCAAAACAGGCCTGAGGGCAGAAAATAGATTTCTTCCCCCTTTTCTCTGCTGTTGCGCTTGTCTCTGTCTCTCTTTTTCTTTGTTTCAAATCGATTTTCAATTATTGCCAGAGGACGTCTTCATCAGAAGCGCCATATTGAATAGCTCATCGCCGACATCCGAGCAGTCCTTCCCACCGGCGAGCAGGTACACGTCGCGGTCATCAATACTAATAAAGCCGATCTGCTCCCCCTTGGCGGACTCCACCGCAAAGCGGCCGAGCTCGTAAAACAGTTCCGTCAGCTCCTCGGCCTGCTCCATCGACACGGTAAAGTTGTCGTCCACGGCAACAGCGCGGGTCTTCTGCACGATATGCAGCGTGCTCGTCTCTGGTCCTGTGGTGAGCTTCAGCACCTTCCGTCCATTGTCCAGGTTCACCTCAAAGGACGCGTGGAAGTGCAGACGCAGCGCCGCACGGTCGCGCTCTGCCTTGCGGTGAGAAAGGAGGTCCAGCAGCACCCGCTCCGCCTCCTGTTCCGTCTTGGGGTCCTTCTCCCGCAGCTGGGTGGCGAACTCGGCGAAGAGCGCCTGCAGGTTGTGGCGCTCGGCGTACTCGGCGTTCTGCCGCTCCTCCTCATCTTGGAAGCTCGCGGCACGCAGGCGGTTTGTGGAGACGTTGAAAACGTCTACACTTTTGGACGACATCTTTTGGTTTTACTTTTTTTCAAGTTATTGTAGCGCACTAAGAGGCGGAAGACGGGCGGCAGTAAGGACGGAGCGTGTGCACCGAAGTGTAAGTGGTTTGACCTACACCAACTGCGACGAACAGGAGAAACAAAGACGAAAAGTAATAATAATAATAACAATGTATGCGAAGAAAAGAAAAGCGGTGAGGGGCAGTGCTGCACTCGACAAGGTCACAATCGATCGAAATAAGACGAACCAGGTGAAAGGAAACGTGAATCAATGCGTGCTTGCTGACGTGAGATAGTGGAGCACAAAAGACAGAAAAATAGACGTTCCCAATTTTGTTTTGGCGAGTAAAAGCACCGAACACGGCAAGGCGAACGTCGAGACGGAGGCGCAGAGGGCACAAAGCAGTAAGCGGAAAAGAAAGGAGTAAAGAAGTGGTTTTTAAAGAAAAAAAACGAGGAAGAACATGTCGATAAGTGGCATGAATTCTTTGCTGACGATCGAAAGACAATGAGAGACAAAGCAGCGACGGAGGACCGACTTTTTCGTCGGTTTATCCCTCTGCCCCGCAGCACACAGAATAGTTTCGAAAATGTACATACTTTTTCAGTTATCCCCTTACCATCAACTTCATGCCAGCATTGCTGCACAAGCTGTGAGGAGCACGAATGTGGATCCTTTTTAGGACTTTCCGTTCCTTGTTTCGAAGCACATACGATCAGCTTTACTTGATATGAAGCATCCCGCAGTGGCTTTTCTGTTTTGATTGGAGTCGATACAACGCCAATCAAAAGAAAATGGCAGGTATCACCGCACGTAGGGACCGCGAAATGTCCGAAGAACTGTCTCAGAAAACGAGAAAGGAAAACAATATGGGAGGATTAGTGGTTACAAGTACAAGACGCGAAGTAACGTTCAAGAGTGAAGGAAAAAGCGAACTAAAGTGTGCTGCATCGAAATACGCACGTACGCTGTGAAACCGGCAACGAATCCAGAGAAAGCAAAGAACAAAAGAAAGCGTAACAAAAAGGTTGGTCAAATCTTTTCTTCTTCTTTTAAATGGCAAAAAAAAAAGATAACGAAAAGTGGTAACCTACTCGTTTTATTCGCAATAGACTGTTCCACAGCATTGGACTTGAGAAGCCGCATGACCCCTCCCCGTTGGGAACTGTGACGTTGACGTAGCATTCATGCTCGGCGGTTCGTCGCGATCGGATGTGACTACGCTGACCAACTTAGGAATTAGCGGGGGAGTGCAGACGTAGCACATTGCAAACAGAATTTAATGGCGGCTTTGCTCAGCAAACGTGCCGTGGCAACGTTGGAGACATGGACGAACCGGCGAGGAGTTTCGCTCTCTCTCTCTCTCTCTCTATATATATATATACATATTACCCGTGCAAAATACATGTTGAAGCGGGAGATGGTGCATGTGGCGATGGTCATCATCCACCAGGACGACGACTGCTGCTGCCGTTACCGACACCTCCATTCGTACCGGAGTGCAGCTGCCGTCCTGTGCCGCCTTTCACGATGGCTGGCCGTTTCTCATCTTCCGATGGCGGCAGTGCCCGCAGACGTGGTGGCGGTCGTGGCAGCGTCCTCGTCGTGTGGGCGGCCTTCACTAAATGCGCTCGTACGTTGTCTGGGGGAATGAAGTCGTCGTGGTGAGCCCGCGCAAAAGAAGGGTCGGAGAAGGTGTTGGAGGAGAAGCTGCTGACGTCGTCGAAGTTGCCTAACGTACTCGTGTCGCGGTGCGTAAGAAAGGGAGATGCGCTGCGCGTGATAAAGGCGCCGTCATCGTAAGTAGTAAAGCGGAGCTTGTCCAAGATGGTGAGCCAACGATCGGTGTCCAATGAAGAGACAGGAGCCAATTTTAACGCTGATTTGGTTTTTTGCAACCGTGATGGGGGTTGCGGGGTGTCGACTCTAGCGTAGGAGGCGCTTTGTAAGATCAGCGGCGCCGTCTTCGCCTGAATGCGCTGCCAGCGGGCGACCTGCTGCGACCACCGTGCCGTCGCCGCAGTGGACAGCGGACCGCCCCGTTCCCATGACAGCACGGGCTCCGCGGGGTCATCGAAGCCGCCCGCGATGTTCGTCAAAAAGTCGCTCACAGACGCGCTGAACTCCTCCATGATGCGTTGCCGCTCCTCTGTCTCCAGCACCGACAGATCCAGCGGGGGGCCGACAAACCAGTTCAGCGTGAACTCGTGCAGCACGCATAGCTCCTCGTTGTACCACATCGCCTCCCGCATCGCCAACGCACTATAAAACTCCAGCCTCTCCTGTGCCATCAAACCCTGACGCGCCCGCTCCTCGGTGGTCACGAACAGCTTCAATGCACGGTAGAGCTCAATGAGCGCACCCACGCTTCGCGCGTGACGGCGATCGAACTCGACGAGGCCGAAAATGCCAGAGTTCGACTTTCGGGTGCCGACCGACACAGTCGACGCCCCGCGGTGGTGGGCGGTGAGGTTTCCGTTGGCGTCGCGCTCCACACCGCTCTCTCTGCCGCCGAGTGAAGCCGCAGCGGAGCCGCCGCTGACGACGCGGGAGACCTGTCGAGACAGGGCAAGCGGAAACGGCGTGTCACCGCCGACGACGGTGTCAATTTGCCCCTGCACGTCCGCTAAACGAAAAAGGTGGTCGCGCAGGTCCAGTAACTCTTTCCGCCTGTGAGTGCAGCGGTACCACCCAGCGAGAAGGCACGCGACGCAAAAGCACAGCAGACCTAGTATAAAACCAACAAGAGACAGCGCCAACGACGCACCAGTGCGACACGAGTACGTGCGGGGTGCGGAGACGGCAATGTTGAGGCGCGCCAACTCCGAAAAAAAGTTCCTCATACTCGACTCGAAGGAGGTGCAGACAGAGACGCCGCACTTGGACGACGACAACTCAGCGGCGAGCGTTACACCCATGCCACAGATACTAAACACAAAGGCAAGCCCGCTCAGCGCCATCACCGTAGCGAGCAAAGGCCCTTCGTGGCTCAGATATCGCCTCAGCTTGTACATCAAATATACTCCCGTAATGCCCATATCCTCCACGTTGATGGCGTTGGAGTCCTTGTCTAACGACGGCGTACCAGCCAGCACGTCGGTATCACCGACAAGCTGACACAACAGAAGACTTGAGATGAACAACCCAATAAAGAAGACTAAACTAAGCACGTAAGCAGCGTACCCAAACCCAGAAAGGCGCTGTAGCTTGGTGTACGGAACACCACAGTGTGCACCACTATCGTAGCCAAACATGAACTCAGACTCCAGCCGTTTTCGAAGGTTTGCTGCATCGCCAGCTGTGAAAGATTGATTGCCCAATGTGGCGGCAATTAGATCTTGAACTCCACTGCGCCCAGCACGTGCAAAGCAGCTATGGCTTACGCACGCCGTGACCAGCCCCACCGTCGCGTCAAACTGAGGCAGCAGCAGAAGCTGTGTAGAGCCGGTTGGGTCGTTGCTGGGGGCGTAATAAATGTTGTGCTGGTTGCGCAGCCGGTACACCTGGTCAACTCCTGCGGCAACGACATAGATCATGATGGCAACGGCGGACAGGACGATGACGACGGCGAGGCTGACACGCAGGAGGAAGGTTCCGTACGTTATCGGGCTGGCCATCCTTCGGGAGAGCACGCGCTTTGCGTTTGGAGGCATGTTGACGCGAGGTGCTAAATGGTGATCGTCACTCACATGTAAATACTTATATATATTATAAGGATCTTTCCTTGTCCGAGAAGTGCGAAGAAACAGAGGGCTAGAACAAAAAACAATCAGCAGTAAAACAAGTAAAATATATATTTTAACGAACGTAAGCCTGTAGGAAACGTCATAGATGTATAAGTTACAGTGAAGTAAAGGAAAAAAAAAGGTGGCAAAAATAGACGCTAAAATGATACGGAGCTATGCGTATGACCTTGACAGTAGCCAGAAGATAAGGAAGAAGAATTATTGTGTGTGTGATGCTTTGAGGCCTGTGTCACGCTAGTCGTATGTACACCTATCCTTAAACAACAACAACAAAAGCAAACCGAATGGAATCCGCCGCAAAAACGTAGAAAAGATTCCTCTTTTTTTCTCTTTCGTTCTAACTCTTCCACACCGGTCCAAGTGCCCGACTACGAAAGGAAAGTGTCAAATTAGTCCTGTAAGTACCAGCATCCCGTATGTAGACGAACGACTTACGTGTTAACGTGATGTATGCGCCAGTTGCTTATTGCCAGAAAAGAGGGTGCGCTTGTGTGAGAGAGAGAGGGAAAGAAAGAAAAAACTTTTGTTTGTTGAAGTTCGATGTGCGTCACAACGTGGGAAAAAAAAAGAAGAAGCAAAAGAAAGAGAAAATAAAGCCCGTTTAATTAAAAGGGGAAAGATATAAACAAATCGAGATCTACAACCAAATACAAAAATACACGATGACACACACACACACAAACAGAAAAACAGAGGCTCCTGTCAAGTTATGTGAAGCGGCGCTGTTTCAACAGGAACTCTCAGGCACAAGTGCAAAGACAAAAGGAAGGCCGAAGTGTACAATTGCTGGGGATAAAACTGTACGGTATTGGATTTGGGGAAAAAACTCCGTGTTGTTTCCTTTCAGATTCGCCCTGTATTACCAGGAAATCGAGAAGGCGGATGACACGTTCCACAGCCACACGCACAACAGGTAATGATAACAAGAAAAGGATTTTCCTTTTATATTGCAGCACGCAGCGCAGCCAGGCGATTATGTAAACAGAAGAGAAAAAAAGGGTAGAGGAGCGGTGGCGGTATTGTGAGTGGGGGGAGAAAGGGACAAAGAAGGGGCTTAATTAGAAAAGGTGTGTATAAATGTTCTTCAGAAGAAAAAAAGGACAGAAGGTAATTAAATGTGCAAATGTTTAATGAATGCGCAGTGTGCCTCAAAGGGAAAGAGATGAGAGGAAAATAGTAATAACAATAATAATAATGCGGGAATGAAGCGCAGCGGCGCAATCCTGAAATCAGGATTACGAGGGATTAATGTAGTGACTCCCCACTCCGCCTGCTTCAACGCTCCCTGCTGGTGCCTGCAACACCTCACTGAATAAGAAAACAAAGTCCGTGAAAAAGAGATATGCACAGCTCAGCGTTTAGCGCGCTCACTGGTGATATTATGCTTTCCCTTTGCTTTACACAACTCCGAAGAGGAGTGTCCTCCTGTTCCTTTTGTTGTTTTGTTTTTTTGAGGGAGAGATGCTCATTAACGAAAAAGAATGGCGTGGCCAAGTCGATGGGAAGCGAAGAGAGAGGTAGAGCAGTAGAACGTGTTGCACCTTGGCGAGAAGGCTGGCGGGCGAGGAGAAATCCACCACCGAATTCTACTCTTGCGGCATCACGGAGCATCAAAGATGGGGAAAAGGCGGAGCAGCAATCGATGGGGCGATGACAAGTTGGCTGGACAACCACTCCACATCACACTGCACTGAAACAAACACACGTGCTTTGTGGGTTTATCTTTCCCTGTTCGATTTGACAAACGCCAAAGGAGAGGGGGGAGGGTGGTTCACCCAAAGGCCCCCAGATGCCCACACCACATTGTACCACACGTGTCGAGTACAAAGCACTTTTTTCGTTTACATGGGTGGCACTCTATTAATAGACTCCTAAAAAAAAAAGAAGAAATAGAACACATAAAATACATCTGCTCCGTGCGGAGAGGAAGTGTACAATACTTACATACGGTTTCAAGTGGGTGGGGGGAATAGAAGAAGGAAAACAAAACTGCCTCTCATTGCCACGTTATTTCTATGGCAGCTCCATCAAAACTACAACAGCACGAGCACCGAAATAGACCCAAAATTCGAGTACATCAACAGTGGTCATCCTTGGTGCTCCATCCAAACGAAGAACAGGAAGGCAAATAAAGCAGACCTCCATTACGATAACAACCGCCGAAGAAGGAAAAAAAAAAGAAGAGATCAGCGCCACTACGTGCTCAACGCGCACACCAGTGCAACACCGCGGCGAATCCAGTGCTTCGGGTCAACGCCGGGTGAGGTCAAAATCTCCGCCGTCAGCACGTAGTTTGTCGAATGCCCTGTCGTGCTCAGCGTGCCCGCACGTCGGACGGTCTTGTACAGCGGACACGCGTAGATGCCTTCGGTGGGGGCCTCGCGGTTGATGACCGGCTTCAGCCACAGCATCGGTGCTTGCTCGTACAGCACCTTCGGCTTTGACTCGGCAAGGGTCAGCGTGTCGAAGTCGATGCGTGCACCCTCGATGAACATGCCGTGGATGTAGCACCCAACTTCCGGCGCGGCGATTACCGTGGCCGGGTCCGTGTTCATCCACTCAAAGTCGTAGCTGATCGTGTCAATGGAAATGTGCATCGTGCGTGCGTAGTTTTGCAGAATGCCGGTCAAGAAGGCTTGCGGGAAGAAGAAGCCGGATATCCAGTACGTGCGGGGGTGTCCGTTGTCGTACCACTCCTGTATCATCGCCAGCCGTCGCACCAGATCGTCCACCCACGCACCGAGAGACTTGAGACTCGGGTACGCGCGGTCAGCCCACATCGTGGGCACCTGGTTGTTGTACAGCGAGCGGTAGACGTCCTCCAGCTCCTTGCTCATCACTACCTCGCCGTTGATGGCCATGGGCAGCTGCTCGAGCGTTTGGTGCAGCAGTGCCACCAGCTGGTTAAAGCGGATCGCCTCCTGCACGAGCACCGTGTTCATCGAGTCCTCGTACATCGTCGGGTACTTGCGTCGGAAGAGACTCAAGTCAAACGGCTTGCCCACCTTGCCCTGAATGGCCACCGTCAGCGCCTTGACAACGTCGTCCGGCGTCGTGACGGCAGCAGCGGCGGTCGAGGAAGACGAGGTCGAGGCAGTCTGATCGCTGTGCAGCAGCACCACTGCCTGCAACGTCTCAAACGTCTCCGTGCGGGCGCACGTGATGTCGGCGTTCTCGTGCAGGCCGAAGGTCTCTGGGTTCGTGTTGAGCGGCCAGGACGCGACGTAGTCGAGGTAGCCCTGCTTGTTCGTGGCGGGAATGGACCGGTACTCCTTCAAGTGCGGGGAGAACTGGTAGTCGTCGTGCATGATGTCCGGCGTCACGAAGCGCTCCAGCAGCGTGTTGAGGGTGCGGCGATCCCAGTCGTCTGTCACACGCCCGCCGTAGTGGATGTTGCCGCTCAGCTCGCGAATGACAGTGTACGGCACCTCCGCGTACTTGTCAAGGAACATCTTGATCTGCATCTCGCAGCACGCCAGGTCGCCGCTGGTGAACTCGTAGGCGATGTTCCACCCGAGCGGGCCAAACTTGCGCCGCTCCTGCACCAGTGCGTGGAAGAAGCACATGGAGAAGAAGAGCTTCTTCATTTCGGCGGGTTTGTGGCAGGCTTCGAGGAAGTCTGGCGAGTAGGCAGCAATGGAGCGCGACACGTTCGCCTGAATACCCTTCGGCGGCTCGTTCGTCATCTTCACACCGTTCTGCAGCACCGCCACGGGAAAGTGCGCGTTGGGCATCGACGTAAGCCACAGACGGAAGCTGGGGTGCGTGGCCGGGGCGATGCCCTCCACAATGCGCTCCAACGTCGGCATCCACGACGTCGCCAGGTGGCAGTTCTGCAGTAGTACCCACGACCCGTTCTCCATCGCGTCCGACATCATCCGCTCCGCGCGTGGGCCCTGGCCTTGGCCGAGAGAAATGTCGTACAGCTTCTTGCTCATGTTCTGCGCATCCGCGAAGCGCTTCCAGTCATCGTAGGGGTCCGCGCCTTGCGAGAGAATGAAGATGAGCGGCACGGACGGGCTCGAGTCCCTGAAGGAGGTGACCAAGTCGAACGGCGGCGGGCGAATAAAGCGGGCGCCCATTTCCTCCGTCACGAAGTCCTGCACCCGTTCCATCAACTTGTCCGGGCGGACGCAGCGGAGGAACATCATGTGCTGCATGGGGGTCAGCTTCGCCGCCCAGTCGCCCGCCATCGGCTGCCGATGTGCGGCGGACGACATGAAGAGCTCTCGGTAGTGGACCAGGTTCGCACGCAGGTGTGCCTGAAGTCCTTTGAAGGTGCTGAAATCGTGGTCAAGGTAGCACAAGTCATTCCACGTCGACGGCGTGATCCAGCTCGAGTCTGGGTTGTTGGCAGCGTCGGCTACTAGCGCCGGTCCTTGCAGCAGAAAGCGCAGCTCCACCGAGTCCACCTCGCCCCGCTGCTCTTTTAAACGCACGCACAGGAAGAAGGAGAACATGAGCTTGTGCTTCTCAAAGAGGGAGCGACTGACGTTCTGGTAGAAGCTGTAGGTAAAGTAGTCCTTCAGGTTTTCAAGGCGCTGCACGAGGTTGTCGGAGCGGCTTGCCTGGTCAATGCTCGCGATGAAGAGCTGCACGAACCACTGAAGCGAGTACTGGTACATCGGGTCCACGTTCGACAGGGTGGAGCAGCAGAAGTACAGGCACGAGGAGTGATGCGCGATGGGGCGGTACTCCTCACGGCTCGCCGTCAGCTCCACCTCGGCCGCCTCGGCCTCCGCCACACGCGCCGTAATTTCAAGCGTCTTCTCCTTCGACTCATTCAAGTACTGGATGAGCTCCACATCGTCGAGCACGTCGCCTTTCACCTCCTTCAATTTGCGCAAGATGCTCTCCTGCGTCTGGACAAGGTCGGCCTTCATCGCGGCGTTCTTCTGAATGAGGTCGCTGCGCCGCATCTCTAGCTCCTTCCGCTCCTGCCCGACAACCACGCCGAGCAGCTGATCCTCCAGCCCTTGCGGAGTGATGAAGAAGTTCAGCAGCGTCACGCGCACCATCACCTCGGGAATGTAGTGGGGGTTGGGCAGCTTCGTCGTCATGAAGAACTTGAACCGCGGGTTCCACGGGATGGGCGTGTCGGAGATGCGGATCATCTCCGTGCCGCCCTCCATAAAGGTCTGGCGATCCAGCAGCGGGTTGAGACTGGCATCGAGCTCCTCGCCGACGTTCTCCAGCAGCACCGGTCGCCCAGCGCGGATGCAGAACTCAATGCGCTTGATCAGGTCCTTCTGGTTCGACTTCACCACCTCCAGCGAGTCCTTGTACGTCTTGCGAATCCAGCGGTTGCCCTGCGTCTGTGGGTCGATGAGAAGGGGCCACCGGCGTGCGTGCTGCGCAAAGAGGGCGTTCTCAATCGAAAGCGTGTCCATCGGCAGGCCGTTCATCACCCACTCCCGCGTCGCCACGGCGTCCTGCAGGGTGTGGAATATGGAAAACTGTGGACTGTGCACGATGGAGCGCGCGTTCAGCTCCTTGCCCCACGTCTCGAGCAGGTCCTGACGATAGTTCGCCGTAAAGGGGCCGCAGTAGGCGATCTGCCCTGCTGCCACCAGCAGGTCCCCTACTAGGAACTGGGCGGACTCGTCCAGGCGCTCCGCGGACTGTATCCAGCTGCGCTTTTCGCCAGCGAGGCCGTCAATGAGCATGGCCGCCCGTTCCAGTCGCAGCGCGGTTCGCTTCACCTTCTGGTCCAGCTCCTCTAGCTCCTTCTCCGCCTCCTCTTTGCGGTGCTGCATATCGGCCAGCCGCTTCTCCACCTCCGCCAGCTGCTGCTCTGCCTCCCGTAGCTTCACCTGCGCCTCCTGATTTGCCTGCTGCGCCACCGCCAGCCGCTCCCGCAGTGGGGCAACCTTCTTGTTCACCTCGTGAAAGCGCACCATGGCATGCGTCCACTGGCACATCGCCGCACAGGCCTGACTGGCGCCGGCGATCTTCTTCGGCGTGAAGTCCTCGGACGAGACGAGGGGCATGATGGCCTGGATGAGTCGCTCGGGAATGTTCTCCTTGTCGTACTGGATGAGTCGCTGCAGCAGCGCGTTGGGGTTGTTCAGCAGCTGCTCCTTCGCCGTGGCCCAGTAGTCCGGCTTCTTCTCCTCCATTGGGTTGGCGGCGCGCATCTGTGGTTTGATCTGGAACATGATGCAGATGCCCTGTACCGTCATTACGACGCCCGCGGTGGGAGACTTGTAGCCGGCCACCTCCGTAATCTGCGATGACTTGAGATTCTTCAAGCTTTCCAAGGCGCGGTCCAGCTCCGGCAGCGCCTCCGCCAGCTGACCTTCCGCCTCGCCCTCGATCGCGGCACACTCCGCCTGCATGGTGGCCACCGCCTCCTGCTCCTTCTGCGCCTCCCTCTTCGTCTTCTCCGCCTCCTCGGTCTGCACCTCCATCTCCACCACCAGCTTCTTAATCGACTCGTTCGTTTGGAGCAGCACGGGCTGACTCTCCGCGAGGGTCTGCTGCAGCCCGGCCACGGCATCCTCCGTCTCGCGCAACTTCTCCAGACCGTTCACAAATCGGTCCTTCGTCGTTTGGTTGCGCTCCGTCTGCGTCTCCATCAGCGTGCGGAAGGTGTAGAGAAACTCGAGGAAGGAGGTCGGCGTCACGTAGTTGTGTCGCTGCGTCTCGGTGAGAAAGCGCGCAGAAATGGCCTCCACGCTCACGTGCACCCGCACGCACACCTCCGTGCAGGCGTCCACGACCGTCGGCTGGTGCTCCAGCAGCGGCATCGCGGCGAAGTAGTTGTGCGCCACACTGCGCAGGGCCTGCTGCGGCCACGCAGAGAACCAGTCCACCGTGCAGCAGTTCACCAGAGCAGGGAACATGCGCAGGCGGCTGCGAAAGACCTCACCGAGCGGCGACATGCACAGTGCGATGTGCAGCTGCGCGCGGCAGCTGCGCACGAACCGGGCAAAGATGGTGACCTTGTCGAGTGCCAAACCCTCCGCAATGCACAAAGGCCGCATGGAGTTCAGCAAGTCCTCCAATTCAGGCCCGACAAACAGGTTTGGTACCTCGCCGGAGTTCAAAAGGTTGTTGACATCCTCCAGCATGCCCTCATGCACGATTTGCGTGTCTGTGAAGAGGAAGAGCATGTGCTTGTCGTGGAAGGCGACATTCTGCAGCACCTTCTTCAGGTCTTCGCGCCACGCGTTCATCGTGTACCCCTTCGAAATCTCTACCTGGAAGAGGTCGTACTCATTCAGATGCGCCGCCAGCCGCGACAGGGACTGCCGACCCGACCCGCCCACACCGAGAAGCAACGCGTGCCCGTTGGGCTTCCGAATCACACGCGCGATGCGGCAAACGTGCTGCACGGCATCGGAGAACATAACCAAGTCCAGCTGCCGTCCGCCCACACACAGTTGATTGTAGTCTGTCAGCTGCTGCTCCAAGTTCTTCACCACGGCACCAAAGTCCGTCGCCTCCTGGTAGACTCGCTGCTCCGCTTTGCTACCCATGAAGTCGACGAATAAAAGCTCGGACATGCCGCCTGCTTCCGGCGAGAGCGCCGCCGCGCCTGCTGCTGCGGCTGTATCCTTTTTGCGGGACGACTGTAGCACTTCATCCGCCGTCAGCTTCACGTGTTTCTGCAGCTGCTTGGCGAGCAGCTCCTGAAACCACCTGCGATCCGCGTCACTAGTCAGGCGATCCTGAAAGGTGCGCATCTCCTCATGCAGCCACAGCCGCACCAGCGCCGGCACCGACTTCACGGTGTTTGGCGTGGCATTCGTGAGTCCGTCCATCACCTTGGCCAGGTCGCGCATGTTGAAGAGGTAGTGCGGCCGCGCCGGGGTCGGCTTCAGCTCCTCCAGTACCACGTTGAACACCTCAATCGACGCGGTAATGACGGACGATAGCTTCGCCCGCACGTCCTCGGAGAAGAGGGAGAAATAACTGTCGAGCATGGACACAAAGATGCGCCGCATGCTGTCATCCTCGATATCGGGAAAGGCGATCTGATGGAAGTGGCGCAGAAAGCGCTGCGTGATGAAGTGGCGCCCACCGCCCGGCGGACCCATCGTGCCGGCCATCACGACGTCGACAATCGAGAAGAACTCACGCGTGCGAGTGTCGTACCAGCCGTGGTAGTCCATGAACTGCCGCAGCAGCTCCACCGGTGGCTGTGCGCCGTACTGCTCCTTCAGCGGCATATTCATGTCGTCCACGAGAATAATGAACTTCTTGTTGAGCGGGGCACCCCACACCTGCGGCGAGCCGCGCTTGCGCACCTCAAACTTTGAAAAGATCAGGTCCTGCGTCTGGTTCGCGCTCGTGCGGGCCGAGAAGGTGAAAAAGATCGGCGTGCACTCCTTCGGCATGTCTTGCATCAGCAGCTGCCGCATCAGGACCGTTTTGCCCGTTCCCGTAGGACCGCAGCACAGCGTGTGGTAGGAATGCTCGAGAAGGAGCCGGTTCACATACTTGTAACGCGCCACGTCCGCCGTCGGGACGATGATGTCGGAGAAGTTCCGCTGCGTCACCTGCGTGGTGAAGGGCGGCAACCGCTCCGTCCACGCAACCCAGCGTCGCTCCTCGACGACGAACTGGTAGTCCTGCAGGTTGCCGATGACTGGCAGGTCGATGTTGATGTTGCGCAGACGCAGCTCGTCGCGGAGGAACTTGTCAAAGCGCAGCCGGCTCGCGCGATCGCCGGTGGCGCCAAACGACCAAACAATCGAAAAGACAAGAAGATGCAGATAGATCTCGCGCAGATAGTCGAGCTTGTCCTGCGGCACCTCGTACGCTCGCGTCGGCGTGTACGGTCCCATGAAACAGTCGAAGAGGTTAAAGCACGAGACCACGAGGCAAGGCCAGCTTGACGGGCTGTACTCATTCACCTCCGTCTGCACAAACTGAATGAGCGAGGGGAAGAGCTGCTCGCACAGCTCCTGCAGGTGCTCCTTGTAGGGGTCCATCGAAGAGGGCAGTCGGTACTGCTGCCAGCTGCGGACGTAGTTGCGCACGCCAATGCAGGTGTCAGGCTCTAGGTAAATCATACCCGCGCGCGAGACCGTCGCAGGCGAGGCGACCGCGAGGTCCTCCACCTCAAACCAGCAGTTCATGTAGGGCGTCATGGCGATGATCTCACCCGAAATCAGACACAGTTTCTTGTTGTCGTCCAGTACGGTGTTCATCGACTCGATCCAGAGGGCGTCGACGGGGCCGTCGAAAATGATCCACTGCCGCGCATCCGTCGTGTCGCGCGCGGCGAAGCGGAAGATCTCGCCAATGATGCCGTCGCGCCACTCCGCCGTTGCCTCGTCGAAGCCGCCGTACAGCTGCGCCATCGTGATACTTTTCGGGTTGAGGCAGTGCGTCTTCACCTCGGCAAAGCGCAGGTTCTTGTGCGCCTTGCGCAGCTCCGTCATCGCTGCCTGAAGCACGCGCGTGGCGCAGGTCTTGCCGCCCATTGTCGGGCCCACCGCCATCTGACCGTGCCGCAGCACGCTCATCTCATACAGCTGCACGCACTTCTTCACGAACATCTCCGTCGGCTGCAGGTGCATCTTTGCGGCCTGCTCCTCCAGGGCGGCCGCGAAGCCCGCGTAGTCCACCGGCGTCAGCTGGACGCCGGGGAACAGGTCGGAGATGATGCCGTCGAACAGCAGCAGATCCTCCTCCAGAAATTTCGGCGCGTTGGAGTCGCGCAGCGCACGGAGCAGCAGCACATCCTCGGCCTCCTCGGGGTGCTCGCGCTTCATCAGACCAGCGGCGGAAATAACCGTGTTCACGGCACGCATACCGAAGTCGTAGTGGTCCTGCGACGACAGCTGCTCGGAGCTGAGGCGGAACGTGGCGACCATTTTCTGCGCCAACTTGCGCGAGTCGGAGTATCCGAACGAGAAGAGACGAATCTCGGCAATCATCGCGTAGTCCGGCACCATGCACGCGACAGGGCGGAAGAGCACCTTCAAGTTGTCCGGCAGCTCCGTACGACCGGCGTAGCCGGGGTTCATGGTGATGAAGACGGCGTACGACGGGTCCACCACAATTTCGGTGCCCTCGAAGGGGATGCGGTACTGCTTCGTCCTCGCCGCTTCCTGCAGAGACGACACCTGTTGCGCCACGACGGACAATACCTCGACGTCGATGCGATTGAACTCGTCGAAACACGCCCACGCGCCAGCCTGTGCAAGTCCTTTGAAGAACTTACCCATCGATGCGTACGTCATGCCCTCCTGACAGTTGAAGACGACACACTGCTTCGCGACGGCCTTCGCCAGATCCTTCACCGTTTCTGTCTTTCCGGTACCCGCTGGACCAGCGGGCGCGCCGCCGAGGAACATGTGCATGGCGCCCGTCAGCGTTAGGTAAATGCGATCTGTCAGCGGGGTGATGACGAGACGCGTCGTGTTGCCAAGGTACTCGCCGCCGTAGCGGAGTTGCGCCTCCACCTGCCGCAAAAAGCAGTCATTGTTCTCCCAGTAGCTGCGCAGCTGCGAGACCCACTCAAAGGCGTACACGCTGTCCACGCCGGCCTTGGCGAGCTGCTCGACAATGTCGCGGGCATGCACCTCGATGGTGATCAGCCCGCTCAGGTTCATGCGCTGCAAGTTGTTCAGCGGCTGCCGCACCGTCTCCACCAGCAGCATCAGATTCTCCTGCGCGGTCTCCACGTAGGGGGTGAGGGAGCCGTGCTTGTGCAACGAGTCTTCGCACTCTTGTGTCCACATGATCTGGTTTACTGCGATCGCGACCTGCCCCGGTGACTGCAGCACAAAGTCCTGCCGCTTCATCGACACGAAATTCTTCAGCCCCGCCTCGAGCTGCGCACGAATGGACACCTTCATCATCGTCTCAATCTCTGTCAGCCAGTTCTCGACGTACTTGCGCGGCAGCACCGACTGCACAAACGGGATGTACTCCTCCATATGCGAGTACATGCCGAACATCTCATTGTCAGGACTGCGCATGTCGATGCGGGCGATGTTCTCAAAGAGCTTGCGGAACTGCGGCTGGATCTTCTGCGGGTCGCGAGCCTCCGACAGAATGGTCAGCAGCTCATCATCGGAGAGGAAGTAGAAGCGAGCAAAGGAGGCGCGCTTGTTCTCGAGGTACTGGTTCAGCCCTCGCTCGACGATCTCCAGTGTGTTGTTGTTCTCCCGCAGCAACGCGAGGCAGCGCTCCGTCCGCGTGCAGAAGTCTAGCGTCAGGTCGATGCGGTGCGCCTCATTTGTCAGGAACTGCCAGTTCTTGTGAACCTGCTGGAAGCGCTTGTACTCGGACGGAAGCTGGCGGGAGATATCCTCGGACTGGAAGATGGGCTCGAGGTAGAGCCACGACTTCTGGCACTGCAGCCATGCATCGAGGACGTCCTGCACCAGTTTCAGCGAACCCTCCCACGCCGCAATTGTCTCCTCAAAGAGCTTTTTGAAGGGAGAGAAGGACAGGCTCTGCGTGAGCAGCGTCTGGTCATCCAGCTTCTCCTGCGTGGCATCGACGACGTCCTTCTTGATGATGTAGCAGCCGGTTGTCTTGTACGCCATCGCGCCCATTCGCATGTCCGCCCACTCCGCCCGCATCTTCTCCAGCGAAGTTTCAATGTGGTACTCGCGCGCAGCCACCTCTGAAATGCGCATGAGCACCCCGTTGTGCTCTGGCAAGTTCAGCCGCTCCACGTCGCTGAGCGTCTCCACCGTGACGCCCGGCTCAACATCAAACCCGACCTCCTTCGACAGCTGACTCCAATGACGATCCTTCATGCCCTCCATGCGCAGGCACTTGATGGTCGGCACCAACGGGCGGAACTGCTGTACGCTGTCCCGCGTCTGCTCCGCCACCTGCGCCAGCTCCGGCGTGAGTTGGGGGCTGCGCACGCACATGTTCATGATGCGCAGCGTCTCTGCAACCGTCTGCTCCACCTCCTCTGCGTTGATGTCGGTGAAGCTCATCTGGTGCCACGCCTTCGTCGCCGTCGCCCACTTCTCGGAGGTGATCCACAGGTTCACGTACGGCTCGAAGTCTTTCGCGAGCTGGTGCACCGCGGAGTAGTCGGTTTTCTCGATGTTAAAGAGCGTCTCATGGGTGTTGAAGGTGTTGGCCTGACTGCGCAGCTGCGCGATCTTCTCCTGCACGCTGGCGACGTCCTCTGCAATTTCAGTCATGTGATTGTAGTTGCGGTGTTGGCTGTACTGATCGACGATCTTCTGCATGCGATCCACCTCCCTCTCAAACAGTTCCTGTGACCGGTTCATCGACGCGAGCAGGCAGCGCTTCGTCTCTTCGAGCTCCTCGACACGCTCGTTGATCGAGTCATCCAGCTCACCAGGCCAGCCGATCGCCTTCCACTTTTTGTTGAACTCCTCTTCCGAGAGGGGACGCTGGAAGGTGTTGAGCAGGCTGTGAATCTCCTTCGCCTCCTCGATGGCCGCCTCCAGGTCCACGGTGCGCTCCGGGAGGGTCTTGATGAAGTCCTTGGTGGCCACCACCTCCTCGGGGGTCTCCGTGGCTTTGCGCAGCACCGCGTGCAGGTCCCTGTACTGATCGCACACCTCGACCTCCTTCTGAAACGCGCGGGCCGCCATGACATCCAGCACCCGCGACGACGCCTGCGCGCACTTCTTCGATAGAAAGCGGCGCAGCTCCGCACACTCCACCTGCAGCATGCCCAAATCCATGGACAGGGGAATAGAGTCCAGCACTTGCTGCTGCAGGTGGAGAAGCCGCCGCACCTCCGCCTCCACGCCGCGCGTGCTGGGAAACTGCTCGTCAAAGCTGCGCATGTACGCCTCGATGTCCAGCTGGATCACCGGAGCAAGAGGGGAGAAGGTGTCCTTGTAGGCCGCCATGGAGGCTTCCACGCGCTCCAGTACCGCATCCAGTCGCCGTGTCCACGACTCCATCAGTGGGCAGCTGCCCGTTGGAACGTCCAAAAAGGCGGTGGTTGTTTCGTACAGGAAGTTAAACAGGGCCCGCTCCACCGTGCGCAGGCTGCTGTGCTGGGTGAGGCACCGTGTGAGGAGACTGCGCAGGGTGATGCGCATCTTGTCCACCGTGTAGCTGTACTCTAAGCGGGTCGTGAAGGTCACCGCCTTCACGGCGGTGGAGGCGGGCTTGGCCGACGACTGTGGTGACGGCGGAGCAGACGACGTGTCCGCTGCCGCGGTGGGTTGCGCCGGGGACTCCTCTGCGGAGTGCACGCACTGCAGCACCACCGACAGCAGCGGTGGCAGGGGATACGGCGGGGCCTCGAGGAATTTCGCCGTGATGCGGTCATCGGCGCCGAAGCGGTCGCATGAGGCGGGGTGCGCCCCCCGCGTGACTGCGACGTCCGCCATCCCACGCACGACCACCGCCTTGTCGCTGGCGTGCTCGACGAAGCGGACAAACGCCTCCAGCGAGCTGATTAAGTAGTGCTGCAGTGCGTCTTGCATGTGGAACTGCAGCTGCCGCAAGTAGCGCTCCGTTGTGCAGCCCGTGTACTGGGTCGCGTCGTAATGCAGCAGGTGGACCGGCGCGGAGGCCGGCAGCGGCGTCAGCGTCCGCTTCACCAGCGCGGTCGTCTGCGCCAACCAGGTGTCTCGGGCATACAGAAAGGACTCGCGCACCGCTGCTGTCTCCACCTCCTCGAGGTCCATCAAACCGATGGGGCGCTTCATCTCCGTCGCGGAGTAGAGCACAAAGGCGCAGCGGGCGAGCAGGGCGTCGTCCGCAGTGGCAACAGCACGCGTCAGGTCCGTGAGCACCGGCGATGCATGCCAAAAGCACTGCGCGCGGAAGGCCTGCACCGTGGCGGCGAAACGTGCGACACGGCCCGGCTGGACTCCGTAAACCGGGACAGGCCGCGCTTCCTCGTCGACGAAGAGGGGGGAGGCGGAGGAGGCCGTGTAGGACGGCGCCACGATGGGCCCCATGAGCTGGGCGAGTCCACCGGAGTGCGTCGTGTGGCGGAAAAGGTCGGCGTTCATGACACGGCTGTACCCCGCTCGCACCTCCTCCAACGCACCGGCCACGTTCAGGTTCGACTCGCCCTCCACCAGCGCCGGTGTGCTGAGCGCGGCAACCCGCACGCGGTTCCCCACGAGTGGGTCGAGGGAGGCGTACTCGTCCACGGGGATGGAGTCCACGTACAGCTCCAGGCGCAACGCCGCCTCGGCCGTCGCCCTGCGGTAGTGGGCGGCGGCGAAGCGGTCCGCAAAGTTCACCACGTCCTCCGCCTCAAAGCACACAAACACGCGCGGCAGCACCTGGGCGGCAGGCTTGCCTACGCTTCCAGCGACGCTGCCACCCTCTGCAGTGTCGGAGCGCCTGTGCTGCGTCGCCGGCATCGCGGATGCGCCTTCCACACACGGGAGGACGTGGTACATCTCCGTTGCCACGTCCACCTCAGTCACGTGCCCACGCGCCCATTCGCCCTTGCCCTGGTGCTGATATTGAGCGGCCTTCCAGAAGAGGCACGGCAGCCCTGTCGGCGCGGCGGCTTCGATGCGAGCGGCCCAGTCCACGGCTGTCAGCTCCTCGTACCGGTGGTCGTCATCCATCGCCTCAAGCGGCAGCCAGGAGGCGTACTCGCCAGCAGCTGAGGTAGTGCTGAGCAGAACATCACCGCTGGCGTAGTCTTCCGTAAACCTCCCGTCGATCTTAGCGGGCAGCTGCACTCCACGTGCGAGAAGCAGTTCTGGCAGCGTCGCCGCGGCGTCCATGCGCGCCCGCTTGCGCTGGATCAGCTCCGTCCGTGACACCTCGCCCCGCACGTGCTGCACCGGCGCCATCACCTTTGGCTCTCGCTCCTTCGGCACAGGCGAGGCTTCGAGCGCTTTGGCCGCCTTCTTTATCGTCGTCTCTGCCGAGAGCGAGGACGGTGTCGCTGATTTGGTGGAAGACGGTGTTGGTGCGGCAGCAGCCGCAGGGTAGCGGCGTCCGTGTAAACTGTTAGTTGGGTGCGCGGCACCTCGTGGAGGGGAGGAGGCTGGCAGCGTCGGATGCGGTGGGTCGTACGCCGGATGTTGAGGCCGCTTTTTCTCGGTCGCCTGAGCACGGCGCAGAGCGATCAGCTCCTCATAGGATATGGACATCGTGAAAAAAAAAAAACTGAGGCCAGCCAGGAAGATGGAAAGCACTACTCTAAATTACAGTCCTTTTTTACGCTCTCTTCTTTGTCAAGGAAATAAATAAAGAAGAAGAACACACTATTTTACAAGCAAAGTAGGGTTCTTTCAGTATATATATATATATATATATGCGTGTGAGTGTGTGCGCTGGGCGTTGGGATTCACAAGAGAGCAGAGATACAAAAAAAGAGCTGCCCGCACGCACCGCGTTTCACGAGAAGAGCAGTTGTAAAAAAAAAAAACGCTGGACCTCACTCACCTCTCGCTCGTTCTTTGAGAAGTAGCACAAGATTGGTGCCCGGAGCTGCACGCACGCACAAATCGAGGACGGAAAAAAAAGCTGTCCACCTTTGACGATTCACTAGTGGGGACTACGTTGAATGGCAAACAATGATGAACGGGGAATGCGTTTTTTTATTGTTGTTGTTGTTATGGTTGCGGTTTGCGGTCCAACGTGGGACAAAGGAAGCCGCGTTGTTGTGAGCGTATATATATATATATTGATGTGGAGAGAGATAAAACGCAAAAGCAGGGGGTGGATTTCGAGAAAGGGAGAACTGGTGAAATCAGCGGTGCGTCGCGTGTCATGCGTCATGTGAGCGATTACCGGCTGAGGCACGTCGTGAAAATTGCGCCCAAGACTGTGGCGTCGCGCATTCAGCGACACAGTCCGATAACTCAAGAAGACGCACACACACACACACAAACACTCCAAATGCTACATCAGAGTTACGAACTCACAAAACCGGAGGCAGCGAATTAAACACAGGGGCGTTTGCCTCTTTCTCGCTCTCCGCGGAAAAAAAAGGTGCTGTTTAAAAACTTGCGAGGTTTTTTTTCAAAGCGAAATCATAAAAGATGAAGAACAAATAACTAAGGAAGCGAATAACCTCGAGAACATGCCGCAGATACGTCAAGCCTCCACTGGGTGCGCACAAAATGAAGCAAACATTCCAAGGATGTCGTTGACTCTCCTCCCCGAGCACTTCCAGCACATCGTGCGTCTTATGAACACGAATGTGGAGGGGAAGCGCAAGATCCCCTTCGCGCTGCGCATGGTGAAGGGTGTCGGTATCCGCTTTGCCTACCTGGTGTGCAAGAAGGCCGGCATCGACGTGGAGCGCCGCGCCGGCACCCTGATGCCGGATGAGCTCGACAAGATCGCTGAGATCATCGCCGACCCCGCGAAGTTCAAGATCCCGGACTGGTTCCTCAACCGTCAGCGCGACCCCAAGACCGGCAAGACGGAGCACCTGTCGAGCTCGATGGTGGACACCCGCCTGCGTGACGATCTGGAGCGCCTGAAGAAGATGCGCGCTCACCGTGGTGTGCGCCACGCCTACGGCCTCCGCGTGCGCGGCCAGCACACGTGCACGAGCGGCCGCCACGGCAAGACCATCGGTGTGTCTCTCCGCAAGTAAGTGCGAGAGCTGCAGCGTGGTCGTGGTGCTGTGTAAGGATGTCGTTGACTCTCCTCCCCGAGCACTTCCAGCACATCGTGCGTCTTATGAACACGAATGTGGAGGGGAAGCGCAAGATCCCCTTCGCGCTGCGCATGGTGAAGGGTGTCGGTATCCGCTTTGCCTACCTGGTGTGCAAGAAGGCCGGCATCGACGTGGAGCGCCGCGCCGGCACCCTGATGCCGGATGAGCTCGACAAGATCGCTGAGATCATCGCCGACCCCGCGAAGTTCAAGATCCCGGACTGGTTCCTCAACCGTCAGCGCGACCCCAAGACCGGCAAGACGGAGCACCTGTCGAGCTCGATGGTGGACACCCGCCTGCGTGACGATCTGGAGCGCCTGAAGAAGATGCGCGCTCACCGTGGTGTGCGCCACGCCTACGGCCTCCGCGTGCGCGGCCAGCACACGTGCACGAGCGGCCGCCACGGCAAGACCATCGGTGTGTCTCTCCGCAAGTAAGTGCGAGAGCTGCAGCGTGGTCGTGGTGCTGTGTAAGGATGTCGTTGACTCTCCTCCCCGAGCACTTCCAGCACATCGTGCGTCTTATGAACACGAATGTGGAGGGGAAGCGCAAGATCCCCTTCGCGCTGCGCATGGTGAAGGGTGTCGGTATCCGCTTTGCCTACCTGGTGTGCAAGAAGGCCGGCATCGACGTGGAGCGCCGCGCCGGCACCCTGATGCCGGATGAGCTCGACAAGATCGCTGAGATCATCGCCGACCCCGCGAAGTTCAAGATCCCGGACTGGTTCCTCAACCGTCAGCGCGACCCCAAGACCGGCAAGACGGAGCACCTGTCGAGCTCGATGGTGGACACCCGCCTGCGTGACGATCTGGAGCGCCTGAAGAAGATGCGCGCTCACCGTGGTGTGCGCCACGCCTACGGCCTCCGCGTGCGCGGCCAGCACACGTGCACGAGCGGCCGCCACGGCAAGACCATCGGTGTGTCTCTCCGCAAGTAAGTGCGAGAGCTGCAGCGTGGTCGTGGTGCTGTGTGGATACTCTTTTTTGTTTTGGAAGTGAGGCAATGGAAACGGTTGCGGTGATTGAGTCAACAAAGAGGGGAGTGAAAAGAAAAAATGGGAAAAAGTCAAGAGAGAGGAAGTGATACGAACGCACATGTTTTGTTATGTCTGTGGCCGGCACTAACCACAAAAAGTCGAGCTGAGTTCTACACACGCTAAATCGAATGAAATTTGAATAAGAAGAGCTAGCCGACAACTGAGCACTACGCACACTGCACTTTATACTTTTTTGTTATTCCACAAATTGTGGTAGGAAGTTTCCCTGTTTGGAACGAAAGAGACTTTCGTTTACCTGACGTGACGCCAGTCGACATTGCAGAAGGCACTTCGTGTTTTCTTTTTGAGGAAGTACAGGGTACTGCATATCCACCACCACCACCACCCAGGTTAGTCGAAATAAACGTGTAAACAGTTTAGAAAACAGCACGGCTTTCTTCTACGAACAGCAAGGAAAAAAGTATTGACGAAGAGAAGCAAAACAACAGTTATCGCGCCTCGTGTCGCGGCATTTAGTTTATGGAAATACGTTGGTGTGTCGAACGCATCTTCTTCATCAGTTTTGATAGAAGGAAATGAACCTCGCCAGACGCAGGCTTACAAAGCCAACACCTTAATAGTTGTGTTCTAACAAGTGTGTTTCTTGTTCCTTTTTAAAGGGAAACTTCACTCTTTTTTTCTTTGTTGATGTTTCGTACATCACCCACAGCATTTTGGAGATTTGAGTAACGGCGATGGACCCGTTTTGCGCACGGTTTTGCATTGCGTGTTAAACCCCTCTCGCACTCTGTTTGACTCATTACTCTTTTCCGTTTCTCTCCACACAACTGCGTTTATTTGTTGTTACTGTTAATTCCTCCTAGCGTCCATGATAAAATCACCAGAATAAACGGCCGCTGTTTGGGCTGCATAGCAAACAAACATTAAAAAAAAAAACATGAACGACAGAAGGACACCAAACGCCATCGGAGAGAGGGGGGAAGCAAAACAGAAAGACGGACACGGAAAACCAACTCTAAAGCACGCAGAAGAAGGGAAAACAGAAGAAGAGGGCATTAAACGCACACCAAAAAAGGGCGTGTTGACACACACAGATCAAAACCACAGCGAAAGGCGTTTCGATAAGGAGTCAAGAGAGACACATAGAATCGTGAACACACAGAATCGTAGGAAAAAAGAAGAATAGAAAAAAAAAAACATTGCCACATACAGTCGCCAAGAAAGGGGTTGGCATTCCGATCACTTGTATTCGTATTACAACGCCACCACTTTTGGACGCAAAAAGGGGCAGTTCCAATCACCTCTGCACGACCGAATCACAGTTCGCCTTTAAAAGAGAACGCAAAAGATAAATAAAAAACGGGTTATTCCATTAACCAAAGCAGACGTGCCGAGACATATAAAGTACAAAAGAAGAAGAACGCAAAGACAAAGACAAAGACGACAGTTATCAACAATACTACAAAAAACAAAAAAGAAAACCGTAGTACCTGATCGGGAATGCCGCAGGACAAATACTCTTACCGCTTTGTAAACCTCACTGGTGTCGTGATAAACCCGCACATACATGCATTCTGCGAAATGGAACTCTCTCGTTTCCTTGCCGTTCATGTAGCGAAGTGGGTCGTCTCAAAGCCGAGCAATGAGCACGCAAAGAGAATTATAGTAAGATGCACTATGTAGATGCGTAGGCGCCAACGCCACGAGGTCAACACATAGTAAATTGTTACTCCATACCCGCTTCTTTCTCTCTCTCTCCCTTCTGCATTTCCATTGCACCTGCATCGAATTCGCTTGTTGTCGCGACGCCTGTCGTTAAAACGGAACACGCCAATCAAACCAGCAGAACAACCTTTCTTACTTACAAAAGAAACGCTTTCTATTGTCCGCGTACGAAGCAATTAAATAAAAAAAAGAGCTGAGTTTGATACACGGAGAAAACTCAAGACGACAATACCAGACCTCTTTCCACATTAAGGTCTATAAAAAAAAAAGAAAAACAAGAGAGGAGCTGGGCCTGTTATGTACAGAGAGTAAGAGAGAGGAACTTCTCAGTCGAACTTCACCGGTGGGAGTAACATCGAAGCTGTCACGTCTGTTGTGTGTTGGCTTCGAGTTTAACAACACTAGCGGAGACAGAGAAAGCGACAAAGAAGGATTGTATCTCCCGACAAAAAAAAAAAAACATAAAGGGTAACACAATCATCATATGGCGCAGCTGTTTATTTGCTTGCGACAGCTGAGCACACCGAGAGTCGGACCGCCTACATGCGCATCTCCTTCATCGAGACGAGCGTGATGAGAGACAGCGCCGAGAGGCTTTGGTTACGCAGCGGCATATCCTCCCGCAGGAGGAGGTTGTGCGCGGTGAGGCCCAGCGGGCGGGCCTGGCTGCCAAACCACGCCGGAATGCGCTTGATCACGTCGCCGACAGTGTCGCGCTCGAAGTCAACGTGGTCCACCACGAGTCGATCAATGGGACCGGAAGTGATGCGCACACACGGGCCAGCGGGGCCGCAATTGCGCGCGAAGACGTTGATGTCCCTCTCCGGGTTCCACAGTTCTGCCGAGCCAAGAACCAGCAACGACGCCACCATCGCAGTGACCAACGCTGGGAAGGCGAAGAAGAGCACAGCTTGCAGAGTGAACTTCATGGCTGATGCTAGTTGCGCGTTGCGTCGAGGATTTTTCTCTTCTTGTCGTGAAACCATCAAAAAATAATACAATAATAACGCGGATCCTTGGGCTTTTTAAAACAAAAAAAAATAGAAATTCAATTAGAATGCAATGCCGCAGTGAAGGGACTTGAAAGAATTTAGAAAAGAAAAGTGAATGGTGGTGCGAATGGAACTTATCGAGAAACGAGAAGTTCGTCAGAAGTTCTTTAACGTACAAAAATAGGAGAGCAAGAAAGGCTGAAGGAAATCGACACAAGGTGGCGCGGTCGACAAAACAACAACAACAGCAAAGGAAGAAGCAAACACGAGCACGAACACAATGGTTGAAAACGATAAGGAATAAGAGGGCTCAGAAGGGAGGGAGAGAGGGGGAGGGGGAGAGACGTGAGACGGGATGGAGGTGTAGATCATGCGAAAGCAGGTAAAGGGCGAGTTGCAATCGAATTGAACGTCATGACGCGCGCGACAACAAGCGAGACGAGAGAGCGAGACAAGAACGAGCACGAAAGAGCATGCGGTGCACTTCGAACAAGAGCACACATTGGCCGATGAGCCGTATTCCAAATCAAACAATCCGAGTGCGTTAAAATGCTAGAAGCGATCGCACCCGCTACAGACGCAACGAGAGTTTCAAACACATCTATACATATAAAGAAAGAAACGGTGCTTGTTTGTGCTTTCTGCCATTTCGGTCGATGTTAACTTTTATTTTCTGTGATGACTGCGTGTCGACTCAAAAACGCTTTCGCCAAAGCCACAACAAAAAAAGCTAGACATGTAAACTACTCACCTCGTCGAAGGCGGTGGTAGAGGGTCCAGTAAAACAACGCAGTTCTCTCGCACCAACGTTCTCTTTTCCGCCGAGGAGGGTGAGGGCAGGCGCTGCGCACAGGGCGTCGGTTGGAAATCCGGTAGGAGCACTGCGGTGGACGTGGCGGCGCACAGTTCAGGAGGTGATGTCGACACGGTCGAGTCACCGTGTCGATTCTCCTCTGCCCACGGTGACGCGCCCGCACAACGCTCCGAGGCGAGTGGCGCTGCCACGTCGGTCTTCATCCTCTCCATCAGCTCAGCAGAGCTCCATAATCGCTCTACGGAGAGTTGCCGGCGCCGCTCTGCTGACTGCTCGCACGGCGACGGCGACAGTTGCTGCAGCTGCGCTTGGAAAACTCGAGGAGGTCGGGCAGGCCGCCGCGCCATGGCGAATGTGGCGAACTCCTCGGCGGTGCGCGCCACGCTGGGCTGGCGCTCCCACAGCAACAGAAGCGGGAGCAGCGCGTTCCTTGGCGCCTTGGGGCCCCGCTCCGCCTCCGTCGCCACTGCTGCGTTCTGACCGTGTCGTTTTCTCCTCTTCGCTAAAAACTCCTTCTCCAGACAGTCCATGAGGACTCCCTTTGCGTTGCGCAGGGTGGAGTCGATGCGCCACATGAAGACGACGTGGCCCAGCTCGTACAACGTGTGTTGCACCACACTGTGCAGGTACACCGTAGTGGCGCGGTTCCCTGGAGCAGGGTAGGCGTCCGTGTTGTACACCACCTCGGTCGACCACAGCAGCGCCCGTAGCTCCCCCACCAGGGCTTCCACGACATCGGCCTTGTTCTTGTTATTCGCCAGAGAAAGAGACAGCATCCTGTTGATGTCAACGTAGTCGTAAATGGCGAGGAGTCCGTGGTTCGAATCTAAAACGCGCACGAATTCGTTCAAAACGAGGCTGGCCCCACCCTCGTCGGCGGGGAACAGCGCGTGTACGCGTTCCGACGTCATTGTTTTGAACTCCAAGTCGCCGATCATCTCGTAACGCTCAAAGTCCTCCGTGTGGGGAAGGTTGGGGGCGAATGTGCTGCAGGGCCCACCATCGTCCCGCGCCCCCACCGGCATCGAGGATCGCAGAACACCGCGGGAGGTGAGAAAGAAGAGGAGGTAGCGCAGGCGGTGCAGTCGGGTTTGCACGTCGTCCGCGGAGAGGGAGAGGATGCGGTTGAAGGAGTAGTTTCCCTTTTCAAGGGGGACGTGGTGCAGCGTGCGCCACCATCGCTTCAGCAGCACGTCCACCAAGTCCACCTCACGCAGCGACTGGGGACGATGGTGGAGTAGCTCGTGGCTCGGCACGGCTGCCTCGTCAAAGAAGAAAGACTTGCTGTAGTTTTTGTGGTAACGCGAATGTGCCGCGGCGGAGCGCGACGCTGACCCGCCGGTGCCGCCAACGCTGCCAGAACGCCGCGAGGACGACGAAGCATGAGACGGTAGCGTCGGGTCAGCGGATTGGACTTGGCTGTAGAAGGTGTGGAAGAGCCCCAGTGCACGCTTGACGACGGCGAGGCGCGCCGCGTGGTCCACGGAGCCTCGGTGCAGCGCATAGCTCCCGGAAAGGGTGCTGCCGCACAGGGTGCAGGTCGACGTGGAGAAGTCGAAAAAGACGCCTCGCCCGTCACGCGGGTTATCGAGGGCGTCGATGGTGTCATTGGCCCAGGTGACGGCCTGGAACGAAAGAACGGCTTCGAGTAAAGCCCGATCATCCTGCTTCCGTAAAGCAGGGTTCTCGAAGAGGTGCGGGGGGGGCTCGGAGCGGGCAGACGAAGACGGCGCCGACGTCCCTACCTTGCGCTGTGGGGACCGGTAGACTCGTGTCACGGACCACCCTGCACGCTCTTTCCCACAGGTGCGCCACACACGTTGGAGAGTCGTAGAGCGCATTGTTGGCGCAAGGCTGGCGCCGTGTCTGGCTCAAGAAATCGTAATGCACGTCGTTATATATATATATATATATATATATATTGTTGACGCCCCTTGAAATGACACGGAAAGTCTCGGCGACGACGTTCTAGGCCCCGCTTATACTGTTGTGGTCGTGTTTTTCCTTCTTTCTTTTTGAATGGGCTACGGGGACGACTTCTTTGTTGACCTCACCCACCAACAACAACGGGAAAAACGAAACGAACGCTCTCCCTCCTGTGCATGGAAATGAGGACTTCGAATAAAAGAAACGAGAATGCGTGTGTAAAGGTAAGAGAAGATAGTGGGAAAAAAGGGGAGAACAAACCGCACGGTGACGACGCTGCGTACGGTCATCGGCCCTCAGATTGACCGGCGTAGACAGGGATGAAAGGGACGCGAAGGAAACGGTAACAGCATTTGCTCTCCGTTGTGTTGTACACACCCCTCGATTGTGGACTTCCTGTTTTGTTTTATGGACCACGTTAGAGCCCTCTTCCACCCGTGTTTCACACGGATGTCCGATACAAATGAAAGCTAAAGATGCCTCTTTTTCAGGTCATCCGTTATGATTCGTGTCTGATGTGAGGCAGCAACTAGTCTTTTCTACTCTTTACCGCCCTTGACGATTGCTTTTTAAAAGCACCGTGCGCTTGTCCACGTTCCGGTCGGGGGGGGGGGGGGTCATTATTTCCTTTTATTTTATCTTTGTAGAGGAAGCGGCCACTAAAGAAAACCGCAATGGGCAAAATCGTCAGCAAAACGTCATAAAAAGTCGGTGCACAAGTAGAAGCACGGACGGTAAGGAGGGAAAGGGAGCAGTCATCATCAGGTACAGATAAACCCAAAGTGCATCCCTCAAGAAAAGAAAAAAAATGCGGTTGCCTTGGCGTTTGAATCCTCTTTTTTCCTTTCTTTCATCCGTGCCACTCTTTTTTATCTCAGGTGAGCAGATGTACTGCGAGTGGGTCAGGACATCATAACAAGCCAACATACAAGGAGCTCAAGGCGCCGCTACACGAAATGCAGCAGTCGAGAAAAAAACACGAGAGAGGCGACCTATCGCCAAAAGCAACGAAAAAAGACGGGAATGAAGAATCAAATCGTGGCGTCAGAGACGGCTGCGCTTGAATATAAAATAAAAAAAAACAGAAGATGAGCATCAGAGCGCTCCTGCAGACTTTGTCCTTTTTTGCTCTCTTCTAAAACAAGCATGCTTTCCATATTGTCGTCCTCCTTTTATTTGTATTATGGATACTTCAGCGACAAGAAGCGGCACCGCTGTTTCCGTGCAGGTTTCTTCACCGTCATCCGTACAACGATGTCTTGATACGTTAGTTCGAATGCAATCTCAATCAACAGGAGAAAATAGTAACAATAATAATCTCACATGCAAGAGGCGGATCAAGCACCATAGCTGCTTACACTGACCCGACTCAGCTATATATCTTTTTCTTTGTTTCTTTTGCTTCCACCCGCGTAGCGCAAACCGAATGAGGGAGAACAAAAAAAAATTAAACGAAAAAGGACGGGGGGCGTCCTAACTTCATTGTAATTCACAGGCTCAAACGATTCCATCACAGGAAAACACACACACGCATACCGGGAAGCATACAAAGACTCCTATTTTTTTTACATGAAGGCGATCCGCAACGAAAGTTGCACACGCAGAAGCAAGAGAGAGCGCGCGCGAAAAGAAAATCAGAAAAAAAAATTCAAAAAAAAAGCAACAAGACACGAAAATAACCTTCCACATCATCCAAACAAAGAAAAGGAGACTAAAAGCAATGACACCGCGTGTCATGGATCGATCTCTGTCACGCACGCCGGCGAAAACAAAGAAACGGGAGCGAACACGTTTCAGAGCACTTCCATTCTTCGCCTCCGTGTGCGCGGCAGTGCTGCTGAAGCAAGAGAAACACACACGAAAAGACTAGCCGGGGTGTAACAGCACAAGAAACAAAACAAAAAAACAGCGGTGTGTGCGTGTGCACGTAGTTGTTGACGGCCTACGATAGCATCGACAGCAACTCCTCTACGGTGGGACGCTTCTTCGGGTCGAACTCGCAGCAGCAGTGGATGACCGTCTCCAGCTCCTTGTCTTCCAAACTCGTGGGCAGGTCAGGCTGCATCGCACACGGCTCACCGGTCTCCAGCGTGTGACGGATCTCGCCAAGGTAGCGCACGACAAAAAACGCGTCGCTCTCCCGGTAGGCGTGCCAGGGATGCACACCCGTCACCATCTGTGCCAACGTGATGCCGAAGCTGTACACGTCGCCGGCTTTGCTGCACACACCCATGATCGCCTCCGGGGCTGAGAAGCGGGCCGTGCCACGCATCGTCGTGGCCTCTGCGAAGCTGCGAGAGAGCGAAGCTGCGCCGAAGTCTGCCAGCTTGCAGGTGCCGTCAGACAGCATCAAAATGTTTTCCGGCTTGATGTCGCAGTGCACCAACGAGTGTTGATGCAGGTAGCAGAGCCCGAAAAGCACGTCGCGCGCGTACTTGCGCACGGCGCGTTCGGGAATGGAGGTGAGGCTCTGAATCAGCTTGCCTAGCGTGCCGGCGGACATGTACTCGCAAATGATGAAGAAGTACTCGTCCTGCACCGCACAGCAGTCGTACCCGACGATGTTCTCATGGCGCATCTGCGACAGCGTCTCCACCTCGTGAATCAGCTGCGATGCGTTGCTCTGATTCAGCGGGATGGTCTTCATGGCACCTAGGTAACCCGTCTCGGAGATGACCAGGTACACCGCCCCGAAGGAACCGCGGCCGATCTGGTGCGAGGTGCGGTAAAAGACCTGACCCTCCACCGAGACAATTCGCTGCGGCAATTCAAAGCTACTGTGCTGCCGCAGGTGAGGAGAGCTGCCCATGCTGCCATCCGCGCTGCCTTTCCACGCCGAGTCAGCGCAGACGAGTTGGCCGTCGTCGATGAAACTCGCTGCACGGCCGTGGCCGCTACCACCGTAAACACTGCCGTCAGTATTTGGGCGGTTGGTGCCGCCTTCCACGCTCGACGATCCTCCGGTGGGCGACTGCAGTCCTGTTAAGACGGGATGCACTAAAGGAGCGTGGTGCGTCTGCACGGCGGGGGAGGGCAAACGGCCTGACACGCTCAGTGCCGGTTCCACTTCGACAGAGAGTGGCGCAGAAGGCGAAGGGTAGGCCGCAGCCGCAGTGGTTGCAACCATCGCTGGGGTAGAAAAACGGCTCTGCTCCGCTGGGGGTGGGAGTGGGGACAGTGGGAGGTCCGCCTTCACGGCGGCGTCGCGCTCGGATGGTTTCGCCTTCGTCGCCGGCGTATTCGGCAGGCTCCGGTTTTGCTCTTCTTCCTCTGCGGCGGTGTCGTCCCCCGACTCCTCATCGTCGTTGTTCGGCACAAAAATGGCAAACATCGTGTCCTCCTCGCTGTGGGCGACTTCCTGCGCTGGCCTCACCAACCGCTTCGCCGCAGTGGCCTTCGACTGCTCCCCCATCAGCGCCCGTGCGATCTGCGTCTCATCTTGCCGGGTAAAGCCGTCGTTGGTGTTCGCCGCCACGTCCGTCGCCGTCGTAGCCCCAGTCTGAGAGGCACAAACAAAGGAGCCGGACGTCACGTTGCTAGAGATCGCCAAGGGGTGTCTCTGTCGTTGCTGCTGCTTCACCAAGAGCATGTTCACCTCGGCGAGGTGGTTGGCAATGACCTCGACGCCTTCGAGGCTCTGCCACTGTCGCCGCTCGCGGTGGTAGCCGTTCTTGATGAGTGTCTGCTGCGCCTCGACAAGCGCATGGAGACGCTGCACCGGCCACGGCAGCGGGCGGTTATTATCCTGCGACTCCTTCACGTAGGCGCGGACCGCCAAAAGCGCCGCCTCCGCCTGTCGATACCGCACCAGCGCGAAGACCGATTTCACGAGGAGCATGTCCGCGGATAGCACGGACGCACGGCTTCCGATGATTTCAGACACGTTGTACTGCTTCCACTCGTGATTGTACTCGTAGTAGAGTTGCACGACGTCGACCATCACGGTGGTCACCAGCGCCTCATGCACGACGGCTTCGCTCGCAAAGATGGAACAGCCCAAAATGTGCTGCAGCGTGGCCAAGGCGTGCGCCACAACGACGCTCTCGCCCACCATCACACGCGCCTTCTGCTGTTCCGTGCCGGTGGTGCCGACGTAGTTGTAGCCAGTGGAAATGCCGATGGTCACATTACAGCCGCTGTTCTGCAAGGACTCCCGCATGCCCAACGCACACAGACAGGCCTTTTCCTGGTGCCGCGGCACATGGAAGTGCGAGTTGAAGGAGACCACGATCTTCTGATACTCAATCGCCTCCACGACGCCATTGGCGTGGGCGGCGTGCTCCAGCACCGTCTCTACAAACTTGTTGATCACATCGACCGAATCCGCGGCGTCCATCGCAACGTTGGACAGACTGGCGACGAGGACGGTAGACTTGGTCCGGTGAAAGCCGCGCTGCAGTAGCCGGCGGTTCTCGATCGGGTTGGACAAGATGTGGCGCTGCTCGTGATCGGCGATGGGCGAGAAGAGCTCGGCGCCTCGCAGTTCGTGGTGGCGGTGGTAATGGTGCCGGTTTTCGCCGTCCAAGGCATCGCGGGAGTCGTTCGGGAAAGCGCTATTTTTCCGCGTCAGCGCAGCCCGGTCCGTCCCTTCTTCAGAAAAGTCGAAGTTCCCTTTGGCGAGCAGCGACTGCGGGAGGAAGGGGCGATACGCGTTGAGGTTCGCCAGGATGCGGCGGAACTCGTCGTTAATGGTCGCGGCCGATGTGATGGTGCGCGCGAGGTAGCCGGGGTTCTGCTGGTCGAGCACCTCGCGCATTTTATTGGTGTCGTACATGGCGGCGTGGGTGGCGAGCTGGGAGATGACCTGGACTACCTTCATCATCTGCGTCATGGACACGAGGGCGACGCCGCCCAGGATAAACATGCAGAGAAAAATAATAATCACACAGATGACGATCTGCAGAATGCCGTCCCGGCCGAGTGTGGAGTTAATCCGGGTCGCGTACGCCGCAAAGAAGACAATGTCGTTGGCGTCGTCAGTGCGGAAGCGCATGAAATCTTGGTAGGCGACGGAGTACTCGTCCATCTGCTTCGTCAGCGTAAACGTATTGTTCGCGGTATCCGATGAGAGCACCTCCGATGCGGGGAACGACGCCTCGAAGACGTCCACAATCTTGTCCAGCACACCGGCCTTGGAGTCACCACACTGCCTTGAAGCGTCGTCCTGCGTGTAGAACCGGCATGGCACCGGGTCCGAGGAGTCCATGAACGCCCCATCGCCGTACCCGTAGGCTAAGATGGTGCCGTTGTCGCGGAACAGAACCGAGTAGCTGTCCGACGACTTCTGCAGGCTCTTCTCGTAGCGGTAGAACCACTGCTCCAAAAAGCTGCCCGAGTCGCACATGACGATGCGGTTGGTGTCGTCACCAAACGAGAGATATTCTTGTCGCCGTAACATCAGCAGTGGGTGCTCCGAGCTGTCGACACCAGCAGCGTAGGACGGGTCGAGGTAGAAGCCACGATCGGAGTCCGTTTGGCTGGGGCGGTACCCAACGTTGATAGTGCCGTACCCTTTGAAGGACGAGATGACTGGTACGCCGTGGCGAAAGGTGATTTCGTACATGGACGTTTGCAGCCCATCATCGTTGGAGCTTTCAAAGGTACACAGCCGCGACATGTCATACGGGAGGCAAGCGATGCTGAGGGCCATGATGGGGCAGCTGCCCGAGTTGATCTCGCTCTCCTCGCAGAACGGCACAAATATAGAATGCGTGGTAGTGATGCTCGACGAGAGCAGCCACGTCCTCCACGCCGCAAGAAAAGGCTCCTTTAACGCGTCACGTAAGGCAGAAACGTTCTGGTAATGTCCAGACGCGGGTGAGGCGCGCATAAACTTCATCAAGTCCGCTGCACCGGCCTGCAGGTCGCGTTGATACATTTGCAGCATCAACACGGAGCTGTTCAGCACGACACGGTTTTGTGCCAGCATGTACTCACGGTGGCTTTGCGTGGTGTAATACTTGTTGACAAAGGCCACACTGACGCCGCCAGCCGCCGTCAGTACGAGTATAAGGACCACCAGGGATACGACAAAGATGGTGTTCTTGCGACTCACCAGCCTTAGCGTTCGCCGCACGGACGCAGCCACGGGGTCTTCCCGCTGCTCGCTGTGCAGGATACCGTTGTCGTCCATAAAGGTGCGCTGGTTGCTGTCCGGCGGATTCTGTTCCGCACTCATTGAATTGACTAAGGAATCGACGCCTGTGGTGGAGACCCGAGTGCAATGAATCGCGGGAGATGCAAGACCTTTGCCGAGCGGTGATAGGTCCGGCACGTTCGACGCGCTGGTGCACGCATTCCCCATCGCGCGGTGGCTTGTGCCGGACGAACTGAGTGGGCCGAGGCAACGACACCGGGTGGACGTGCTCAGGGGCCCACTCGTGCCGGAGTGCTCGTCTATTTTGACGAAGGATGCATTTTCATTTGGCTGCATGATCGCTCCGGTGGGGGAGCGGAAAGAGCAGTGCCGTTGTTGATCCTGCTGCGTGTGCGCGTGCTCTGCGTCGAGAAGGCGGGGTTGTCTGACAAGCGGGCACGAGAAATTGGTCGTATCTTCAACGCGGTCAGCGCTGCCGCTAACGTCGATGCAGGCGTCGCTCTGCCTGAGGGGCTCTCGTGGCTTGTTGCGGTGTGTGTCCTCCGTCTCCTTTGCGACTTCACCCCTGCTCCGCATGGGATGTCGTGTTAGCTATAAAAAGGTGGTTATCACAAGAAAGAAAACAATGAAAAGAAAAAATCGGTATTTCCACGTGTACTTGAATGAAAAAAAAAAAAGAAAGGGGGAAGATCAAAGGGAAAAGAAAAACAATCACCTGAGACGAACGAAAAAATGATTCCTGCAAAAATGATGAAAAAAAAAGAAGTGTAATCGACAGGCTCAGGAATCCCCAAGGGGAAACCCTCGTAGACTCAAAAACGCGGCAAACACACAACGCAAAAAAAAAAGAAACAGAAAAAGAGGATAGCACACAAAGAAAGACAACGAATTATAATACGAGGATCTTTCCTTTCGAGTGTTGCTGATGAAACAGATTTTTTTTCCCAGCTTAATCGTTTGCCCAATGGGTATTGGGAAGGGGGAAAAAGCCAAAATATTTATAGATAGATAGATAGATAGATAGATAGATATAAACAAACAAACAAGCGAAAAAAAAGGAGATAAGGAGAAGTGTGTGTGGTAACCAAATCCAGAAAAGAAAAATAACAATGTCGTGGACGTGGCTCTTCCCTCGTCACCTTTTCAGTTGTTGGCACGTTCTTTCCTTTTTCCTTTGTTAACGCCTTTCCAATGTGCACTCTCGACGCTGCGGCGCTTTGCCTTTTGACCCGACTATTCAGCTTCGTTCCTTTACGATTGTGTTTCGGACTGCAACCCCACGGACATCAAACGGGGTGTTGTGGAACGCTTTAGAAAAGTTATTTATTACTCTCCGCACCAGAGGCGGAAAGAAGGGGAAAAATGAAAAAAAAAAAAGAAACAATACGAAACAATACGAAACACAAACGAGGAAGCGAGAATGAAGCAGCGCAGGAAAGAATAATATCGAAAGGAGACGACGGCGGCGGCTGCGGGGAGGAAGGAATAGGAAGGAGCAAATAACTTCAAGGGAAGCGGCAGCCAACAACTGCAGGCGGAAAAAGAGAAGGAAAAAAATAAAGAAGAGAATGTTGCAAGAAGAAAGACACTTGTGCTTTGGGGAAAAAAAATAGGGAACAATTAAGAACACACTCTCTCTTTAATCAGCAAGGAAGAGTTATAATAATAGATGGGTCTTTTGCTGTTGGAGTATCCTTCTTCAGCTTAGAACACCAAAAATACTTCTTTCACTAAAAAGAAAAAGAAAAAGAGAAAGAAATGAAATGACTTCTCAACAACAACAACGAAACACACACAAAAAAACCAAAAGCAAACGGAGAGAAAAACCAAAAACTCGTCCTCAACGCGTGTTGAAGATTAACTACATAAAGAGAGAAGAGAACGTAATAAACAAGACGAAGCAGAAGCTACGTTGAGACGCTGCGTAATGCTCCTTCTTTCTTTCACGGGAGAACTATGCTACAAAAGAAGGAAAGATAGGCGTGAGTGTGTGCGTTTGTGTTTGTTTGTCTCTTTTAAAGGAAGTTTCGTCCTGCTCAGCACGCTGAAGACGCGCCACTGTTCAGAAACGTGAGTCGGTGTCGTACGTGTGAGGCGCAGCCTTTTATTTTTTGGTTTATTGCTGTTCCTGCAAACCTGAACAGTACCACTCGACTTCACCACGCTGCTGACGCTATTTCTTCCGTCGTCGCTATTGTTACTTTTCAAAAGCAAAAAGTTTTAGAATTCAATAAGTTATCCGAATAGAGAAGACCTTTAGAAAAGGACGCGAGGTATACAAATCCCGCGATTCTTTGAAGAGTTTCCTCGGGTGCAAATACTAGAAAATAAAAAGAAGGTGCTTTAGCGCGTTGAAGGAGGTATCTTTTCGAGCTTTGCGGGCAACGCTGCTGGGTCTCGCTTTGCTAGTGCGAAACGCCGTATGTGCGTAGATGCGCAATGGACGACACCTGTTCAAAAGCGTCTGAAGCGTACAGTTCACAGCAGCAAGGAGATAAACGAGGAGTTTTCTTTTCTCTTTCCTTTTTCCTACCGTAAAACAGAGGTGGAAGCACCAAGAGATACACAATGAAAGAACAGAAAGACAAGAAAAGAGAGAGAAAACGAGAGCAGGGCCGGTTATGGGTTAGATGAACGGAGAGTAACAGAAGGTGAAAAGAAAACAGCGACAACCAATGCTCCGTTAAATTGGGCTATACGTTAGAATCCGCAAGTTTAGGAGTTTTGATGAAAAACGGAAGAAAGGGGGAAAAAAAAAGAAGAGAGAGAAAGGGAGAGAAAGAGGTGTCGTTCGGATATACTCAGAAGTTGACACCCAGTAATACCAAATCCGAAAACAAGAAGAACTTAGTTCTGAATACAAATGAGTGTTTGGTGCGATTCGTGACTTCCGTAGAGCAACACAGGCGGGAAGAGAGAAAAGGGTAAGTAAGGCGGTGTTCCGTTCCGATCATTCATAGGTCGTAGCGGAGAAGAACAACAGCAACAGGAGGGGGTTTTTTTTAGGGAAAAGGGGGAAAAGAACGCGCAATGTGAGGACGCGCTGCTGAGGCGATGGCGCGTTCTGCCTGGAATGAGTGTACGCGTTTTTTTGCTGTACCCCGCATGCGAGCGTGAAGCACGAAAAAGAGCGAAAAGTATGATTGATGATGCTCTGAAGAACATCTTGAGTACGGTGGGCAGCAGCGAAGTGTGAGGGGCGAGCGAAGGACGCAGGCGCATGAAGCGTGTAAAGGCGAAGAATGAGGAGAGTGAAGGAGAATGTATCATGCAAAAATACTATCGTGTGAACAAAGCAACGGGACGCGCATGAGACACGCTGCGTGGTGTCGACAATAAAAAAAAAGTACGTCAATGTCAAGGCAGTTGCTTTCGACACCCAACTCCTGGAATTCTTTTTTCTCGAGTTAGTGAGGAGGCGGTCGCAACGTGATGAGACGTGCAATTACCGTCCTTCCGATAAGGAGGGAAAAACAAAAGCAAGAAGTGTTTTACGTGTGTGGGCCGAGGAACGAATGCAGTCAAAACGACGAGAAAGATCCAACTGTCCTTTTCCTCGCAAAGGAAAGTGCCACCCTTCACCGGCCAACTCCGTGCTGCTCTACACAGCCAACCAGTCGTGCACCTTGCGATGCAGCACGCACATGCCCCGGCTCGGTGCAAAATCGCAAGACGCATCATTGCGATAAAGGGCCGATGAGTGGACGGCCTCGACCGCACCTGCTTCCACGCACTCCTCGCAGACCTCCGAGAGCGAGGAGACGTGAAACGCAATGGAGCGGTGTCCGCAGCCAAAAACGCTGTAGTGCTCGCGGTCGGTCAGGAAAGCGTTGTACCAGTATAGGAGGTGCTGCAGCGTCCACGATCGGCCGTGCGCCACCGGGGCCTCCATCGCCGCCGGATCGCCGTTCTCGGCAAAGCCGTCATCGTTGTTGTTACTGCTGCTGTTCGCATCCTTGTCATCAGCCACGGGTGTGGTGGAGTTGCCTCTTCGACTGCTCTCTATCGGGGGCACACCAACTGGCTTCGGTGCGGGGCTGCCCCGTTGCGCCTCCGGCGACGCGGCCCCTTCCCGCGATGGTCGGCCGGCGCCGTCGGTCGGGTCCTTCCGCCAGCTGCGCGGCAGCTCCTCCGGTGCCAGATAGCCGCCCTTCTCCACCGCTTTCCGCGACAAGAAGCAGAAATGCAGCAGCGGGATGTCCGCCTCGACTTCACGTTCCGTGCTGGCATGCATCACCTCGACGGAGCTCGGGGACACGAGGAGACTGCCCATGTGGCTCTCTGTGTCGTGCGTCAGCGCCTGCGGCTGGAAGGCGCGCCGCGCAATGAAACTTTCCTTCAGCAGCACATCATCCTCATCCGCGGACGTGGCGGACGCGCTCCCCTCATTGCCCATGATCGTGTTGAAGCTGCCGTTGCGCGCCACTCCGTCCGCATGGGAGTCAATCTGACGGCGGCGCAGAAAGTGTCGCATGAGCTGGCGCTTGTTCATCGGCTCAAAGCCAATGCCCACGACAGTGTCCAAGATCAAGTTCCCGCTGCGCAGCTCGACTGTCTTCAGCAGGCTGTCGCGCAGATCCAGCGCCACGGCAAGTTGCAGGTGCCCGTCGAAGTAATGCTGACGATAGAAGAGAGGGACTAAACAGGGAGCAACGCGGAAGGTCTGCTGCACCAGCGGCACCGCCACAAAGGGGTAGGGCGAGGGCAAGTTGCCGATCGTCTCGTAGCAGTGACACAGTAGAAGCGGCAGCGGTGGGATGTTGGCGTGCAGGAAGGAGTACTGAATGCGGGAGATCTGCTCCGACGGGGAGTTGAAGATGGGCACTCCAACAGGCGTGGTGTAGATCATCTGCACTAGATAATTGCCCTGACGGTTCTCGAAGCAGAAGTTGGTAAGGGGGTGTATGAGGCGGAACTGGAGAATATCGCGGATGCTCTGCGGGTTGTACAGGAAGGCCAAGACGCGGCCCATGATCGCCGGCTGCGCAAACCACACCCAGCCTTCTTGCACGAGCTCGTGTTGGAAACTGATACTTTTCTTCTGCTCGTCTTGCGCACTCACCAGCGCCGTCCCAGTGACAGTGCCACCACTGCCGTCTGCGAACGGCGAAGATGACGTGGCGGTATTGGTTGTCGGTGCCTCCTCCCCCTCGAGTGTCGCGTTGGCGCTTCCTGCAGAAGCCACACCGACGGAGAGCGGGAGTGCCGCGCGCGACAGGCGGGTGTTTTGCTGCATCCTCTGCCAGGTATTCTGCAATTGCGCCGCCGGCTGCGACGCCAGCACGCTGTAGTTGCGCTCCACGGCCCGCACCGATCGCGTCGTCGGGTCCCAGACAGGGATGGACGGCCAACCCGCAAAAAACTTCCCCTTGTACTTGGCGAGGGGGGCGTAGCCGCAGCGCTTAATGTCGACGGACACCTCCAACACGAAGAGCTCGGGCAACACCAGCGTCCTCGTCTTGGCCGGTTCGTACTCGATGATAGCGTGGTAGCAACGCTGCTTGTGTCGGTTGAGCGAACTCGCGAGCCGCTCCTCCCACTCCGACTCCGCGAGCGCGGCCGGGTCATCGACAGCGGCGATCAAGTAGGCCTCCGTGTTCGCATTCGCCCACACGACGTCGGTGGGCGGAACGTCGCACACGCTCGTCTCCGCGAGTGCCGTCGCCTGCAGCATCGCACGCACCTCGTCCACCGGCAGGTCGAGCGGCACGATGCTCAGCCCCAGCGTAAACAGAAAGCGGATCGCGTAGTTGCTCTTCTGCTTCAGCGCATCGCGGGCCGGCCCGACTGGGTTGAGGAAGTCGAACAGAATGAGCACCCGCGAGGCGTATGCGAAGTCCTGCGGGAAGCGCACCGGCACCGCGTCCACCTGCACCGCACGTGGGGGAATAGGTGGGATGCAGCACAGAAGCTGCTCCGAGACGTCCACCTGCAGACACTCCAACTCCGGCCCCGAGACACGCGCGCCGACCACAAACTGGTCCACCAAGTCGTTGTGCAGCACAATCCTCGTCCCCTCCTCCTTGCGCTCGTCTGTGTTGGCAAGGGAGCTGCGCGGAATCTCGTGCACCCCCACTACCAGCTTGCCCTCCCCGTAGGCGTTTAAGAAGCCGCACATGAACTTGACGCATCGGTGGCTGATTTCCAGCGTGGTGTTGAAGAAGTAGCTCTTGTAATCGAGCGTGGTGCTCTCCGGCTTTTGAAGGTTAGACATCCACTGATAGCCCCTGGAGCGGGTGGTGTGCGAGTGACGCGCGCCGAGCGTCGTGGGCGACAGAAGAGAAGCGTGAGAGAAGACGGGGGTTGGGGAGCGGCACGCGCTGGCCGTGGCTGCGGCGATCGATGGTTGCGCAGGCGAGACGCGGTTCGATGAGGAGTCGCTCCCCTCATCCACTGGCACGCTGTGTACTTGCCACTGCGCGGCATCGGCCGTCGAACAGAGCCGCTGCAGCACCTGCGTTACCGCCACTCCTGTCGCGCCGGCTCCGGCACGTTTAGAATTCGCCTTCAAATTGGAGAAACTCGCGGGCGCGGCGGAGCTCGGTGGTAATTCGAGCGGCGTGACCGCCTCGGTGATGCTCTCAGTGCCTTCGTGGTTGTCGGTGGACTGCTGCGCGGGAAGCAGGTTGGACGGGAACGCCCACGAGGCTGGTGAGCAGTCTCGGTTCACGTGCGGCTTTGGTTTCGTCCACAGCACCACCTCCAGCATTGGCTGACGAGGTCGCTCGAGGAACAGCGCATTCTTCGCCGCCGTCGCACATGCCTCGCGGAAGTACTCGAGGTAGGACTCGTAGCTGTCGATGGCCTTCTGCGTTTCGAGGTTGTCCATCATGCGTGTAAAGAGCATGCGAAGGTCCCAGCGGTACTTCTCCTCCTTCGTGTCGCACACGTCGAAGTAAAGACGGTGCGCCGTGTTCTGCAGGACCACCTTCAGGTATTTTGACTTCCCATCCGTCGAGTTCTTCAGATAGAGCAGCACCTGCATTTGGTTCTCGATGGAGCGGCGAAACCACAGCCGCTCCTGCTCCATCTCCTTCTCATGCGCCGCTGCCTTGCCGGCGGGGGCAGACCCACCACCACCACTACCAGTAGCAGCACCGGTCAAGCCGCCTAAGCCACCCGTAGTCGCTGCAGCCACCCCGCCCTCCAATTGAATCGACCCGTCCAGCCCAAGCGACTCATCCGGTGCATCGGTGCGCAGCAGCGGCGGCCACATCTCCGCTGTCAAGTAGCGGACAAGTCGAATTTTCAAATCCTGTGCCCCGTCGCGGAGGCCCGACTTGAAGCCGTGGCGATTGACCCGCTTGCCGAAGTAGACCACGGCGACCTGGGTGGAGCCGAAGTAGAGGTAGTTCATGATGGCGGGCAGCACGACGCGCGCCTTGGCCAGCAGCTCCGTCATTTCAGTCGCCTCCGGCGAGGGCCGACGCACGTTCTGGTACACAATCAGGGCCCGGTCCGCCTGGGAGCGGGTGGTGTCGTCGGGGAACACCGTCACGGAGTGTCGAGGGCGAACGAAGGAGCCCCTCTTCCACGACCCGCGCTCCCCTTTCTGCGGAGAGGCGATGTCCTCAATCATCTACACGAAAAAAAAAGGAAAATAAGAGAAGACAGTAAGGTCAAGGCTCGAATGAATTGCTCGGTACAGTCGATGGAGTAGAAGGAAAAGAAAAACGGAAAACAACTAAGCCTAACGTAAGTGCATTAAGATCTTGAGCAGGGCGGAGAGTACAAACAATTATGAGGTTTAAAAAAAAAGGAGGGGTGAGTGACGTATATCAACAGAACCCCTGAGAAGAAGAAACAAGAATGATCAAAGTGGAAAGACCACTTAGAAGACGAGCGGCAAGGAGCCCAAATCCCGAGATGCTTGCACTTAGTTGAGAAGGAGAAGACTTGTGTATTGTTTCGAGAGCCTGCAAATCGCACGCTGTAAACAACAGAAGTGAAAAGATTACCAAACAAACTGCGATGTTACAAGAAAGCAAAGCCGGAAAGAAAGAGAAAAGGGGTGCAAAGGGGAGGATGTGGAGCACACACACGTCCACACACGCCTTGCGGCTGGGTGGGGGTAATTGACTGCGCGAGAAAATGGCGGCTATTGTAGCGTTCTCCAAGGCGGCACTGCGCGGTAACGAAGATAAATCTTTCTTTTTTGCTTTAACATTAGACACGCTTGTCTTTTGTTGAGAACAAGCAATAATTACGTACTTTCATCTTTTCAGTTGCATTTTGTCAAACACCACGACAAGGACACCTATTCAAAACTTCGCCGTTGTTGTTGCTCTCCGATATAATTACGTCGATTCTTTTCTTTTCTTTTTAACTATAGAGAATTAAAAAAAGGTGAAGAAACTGCGTCTTGCTCGCAGCAAATGCACCGTCGTGAAGAAAGCGACCCCAATGCAACACTAGATAATCGAAAGCCCGCGATGATGATAGCGTCAAAACGAACAAACAAAAAAACAAAAATTTCACCAACGCAGGTTTGGTAAAAGCTAGTGTTGCGGTGGGTGAGCGAACGAGAAAGAATGGAGTTGTGGTGAAGATGGAGAACTCGTACAACTCAACTATGCGTTCACTCTATTTCTTCTTTCTTTCTCGATCTTTCGCACGTGGGTTTATCAGAAACAGAGACAGAAATAATCGGAAACTAGCAACGAGAGGTCTTGTTTTCTTTTTAAAGTCCACTACATCCTCTGCGAAGGAGAAAGTATCAGATGCGTAGGGACAAATAGGCCCCCAAAGAACAGCAACTTCGTCATTTTTCTTCTTTACATGATGAGATCTCTGTTAATAGTCACATCTTCCTTCCACCAAGGGCGGAGAGAACGAAGTGCACACACGCACAGACAGACACAAAAAGCGGTCAATCTCGAAAGCACCTTCGTGTTTTTGTCAACGTGTTGAGTTCATTCGAGATGGAGACCGTCCTCTTCTTGTGTATCCATTGCAGCTGGAAAGTTTAACGACTAAATTAGAATGTCACAGCTTTTCGCACAGCAAGAATAGTAATAAAAGTAATTCGTCAAGAAAAGGAAGTAGAATACATATAGCTAGACGCCAGCGCGAAATATCACGCGAACGGGCGGCAAAAATAGGAAAGAAGAGAAAACAAACAGAAAAGAAACAAACGACGACGACGCGCTCCACACAGTTCATCTGTGTTACCATTATTATTATCACGTTTGCGTTCCTCTTCTCCTTTCACTTCAAGACAGCTATTTTGCCTGCTCGTTCTTTCGAACTGCGGGGTAACGGCGAAGTACTTCTACTTCTCAGATGGGCCAAGTAGCATCAACGACTCACATGGCACCCACTGCCGCTTCTTATGTTTGTTCCATCTTTTATGATACGTGCGCTATGGATTTCTTTTCTCTTCTCTTTATAGCCCCTTCACGACTACTTTCCTTTCGAAGAAGGTGAGCTCTGTGGCGCGGTGACAGACTTCAGCGCCTGGAGGAGACTGCTAGTCTTCTTGTGCACGTTGTGGTTGCGCATCACCACGGCGCGGGTGCGCAGTCGCTCCAGCAGCCCAATCGCTGCGTCGTACCCAGACGTGCCGCTCTGCGCGGACACCTTCACATCGACAATGTGCTCATCCGCCTTCACCTTGTACACCTTCACCTGTAGCTTAATGTTGGGGTAACGCACCGCGGAGAAGTAGTAGTCGTAGATCACCTTCCACAACAGGCCCTCTTCCCGCATTGCACTGTACACCACCTTCAACGTCTCGTGCGGGGTGCAACCAACAAAGGCGACACCGTTGCGGATGAAGTCGTTGCCGAAGCGGGTGACCACCTCGGTGAGGTAGAGCGTCTCCAGCGCCGTCTCATTCGCCGCCTGATTCGTGTTGTGGTGATGCACGTTGGAGCCTGCCGTGCTGGTCGGAGAAGCGGCGGTGGCGGCCGTCGGCGAACGCATTGGGCTTCCTTTCGACATCTCCCCACGCGAATGCGGGTGCAACAGCGTTGGTCCGCCAGACGCGCCCGACTTAGCGGAGAGCGACCACTGCGGTTGGAGGAGAGTGCCTTGCGGTGTTGGAACCGTCGTGGGGAACGGCGGCACCTCGCTGCTACGCTCGCAGTTCGAAGGTGACTGATTCGACACGGAAAGGGTGCTGTTCGCATCCTTAGCCACCGCTCTCACCGTGAGGCTGCGCGACATGAGCAGCTGCACCGGCAGCTCCCGCACGTTCAACAGGTGGCCCATCATTGTGTGTGTCGCACCTTTCACATGCAGCGGTAGGAAAGGGGCGGCGACTCGGTTGTAGCCCGCCTGCCATGGATCACCGGGGAAGGTCACGGGCAGGGTTGCGTCCAGCGTGCCTTGCTGCGGGATGTTCTGCGGCATCTTTTCCGTGTGTCCCTTCGACTTCTTGGAACTGGACGACCCACGCGGCCTTAACGCGACCTCCTTCAAGCTGTTGCCGGTGATGCTAGAGTTGCCGGAGAGCTGGTGCAGCGAGTTCGCGTTCAGTGACCCGTAACCTTGCTGGGCTTGCGACAGCAACAAGGAGCTCGCGCTGTCGCCAAAGGAGGTGTTGATCATGTACGCCTGCGGAGCCAGCTTATTCTGCTTCTTCTGGGTCAGAATACCATACGACACGTAGACGTCGTGCGCCTCATCACGCAGGGCGATCTCAGCCGGCAGGATCTCCACTGGCGTGGGCCACAGCTTCGAGTCTAACACGTTCGCGTACATTTCAAAGTAGGCCGCGGCGGGGTAGCGACGGGTCGTCATCTGGTGCGTATCATCCTCACTGATCACCGCCCGCATCGACGGCATCTTCTCCTCCTCCGCCATCACAATCGTGGCGACCTCCTGTGGGGAGATGTGGAAGCGCGATGCGATGACGTTCACCACCTCCTCATCCAGCATATCCTCGGTCAGGTAGTACGTCTTGGCAAACCGGGTGGTGTCCACCACGGCTTCGTAGTGGAGGGAAAGGAGGTAGCGGGGGTAGTGGGGGCGCAACCAGGGGTGCTGCATCACCTGCTCCATCGTCGCCCGCTCGAGCGGGTTGACGACCAGCACACGCCGCAGCAGGTCCTGCGCCTGGGGGGACACGTGCGACGGCATCGCGTAATCGGCGGTTTGAATTTTCTTGAAGAGGACACCGATGTTTTGATCGTCGAAGGGCAGCGTGCCGCACAGCATGGCGTAGAGCACCACGCCGCAGCTCCAAACATCCGCCTCCGGTCCGCCGTAGAGGCGCCCGCCGACCACCTCCGGTGAGGCGTAGTTCGGCGTACCGCAGCTCGTCTCAAAGAAGCGCCCGTCGTGAGTGATGGAGGACAGGCCGAAGTCGCTCAGCTTCACGCTGTGCGAGCCGTGCTCCATCATAATATTCTCCGGCTTAATATCGCGGTGGGTCACGTGGTAGCGGTGGCAGTAGGCCACTGCAGCGGTCAGCTGTTGAAAGAGAGCCTGAGAAGTGGGCTCGTCTAGCCGACCCTTGCGGCTGATGTAGTCGAACAGCTCACCGCCCGACACGTACTCCATCACGATCACAATATCGTGCTTTGTCTTGACGACGTCGTAGAGGCGTGTGATGTGCGGGTGGCGCAGCACACGCATAATTTTGATCTCCCGCTTGATCTTGAGGGCGGAGTGCGCATCGCTGTCCATGGCTTTGCGTGAGATAATCTTCAGCGCCACGCGCACCTTGGTCGACTCGTGATAGCCGATCTTCACCTTGGCAAACGTGCCGCGGCCAATTGTGTCACCGACTTGGTAGGGGCCGAATCGCTGCTGCGACTGAGCGAACGAGCCCCCACCGCCTCCTCCACCTCCGTGACGGCTCTCCGACATTACAATTGGTAGGTTAGGTTTACAATAATAATAATAGAAAAAAAAAGGTAAACGAGGGTGGTGTACACAACAGAAGCGCACACAGTTATTTCTTGCTTGCTTATTTCTTCGTTTGTAGGTGTTTACGCTAACGAGAAAGAAGAAGCAGATGAACGAAGCTAATGCAACAGAAGGGGTCCAACAGGATCTCAAAGGCTCAGCTACTACCGAGCGGAGACGAAATGGAAACAAAGAAAGCAGAGAAAGGACGCTTTCAGTCTAAATAGATAAAACCATTAAAAGAGACAAACAGAAAAAAGAAAGGAATGTTCTCGAATTTGGTAGACGAAAGCAGCGGCACGAAAAACAAATCTTAAAGTTTAGCTTTTACACGTTTAACACGCATAGCACCTTGTTACGCCTACCATACAACCGGAGGAGATAATAAACCCCTCAAAATGAAAAAAGAAGGTAGATAAGTACGTATTGATTGAAAAAAAAAAAAGGCTGCTGCTCAGCGTAGAAGTTTCCTCACTCAAACAATACAAGATTCGCGCTCTGCTTTGCTTTTTTTCTCTCTCTCTCCAAAAATGAAACCAGTTTTGCGACTAATCCGCGAAATTTACACAGACAGCGGCAAACGACTAGCTGACCAAATGAGGAACAAAGAAAGGTGGTGCCGTCGATTATGTTTTTTAAATTGGCAGGTGACCGCCTGTTTAACAAAGAGATATAAATAAATATATACACAATACAACAGGGGGAAATAAAAAGAAGAAACAGTGCCTTTCAAACCCCTTCACGTGATCCACTGAAAGCTGATATGAATCGTTCGGGAAGGCAGGAATTCGCTCAGAGTGACGGGTTTATATTTTCTAATATGCCACTGCAACGGCGATGTTGAATAGACACTGAGAGAAACGCAGTCAGCAATTTTTTTCCCCTTTTTGGAAAGACGATCACAATTGGAGAGAAGTACTTCAAATAAAAGTTTCTCTGACACGCTGCGATTTCGATACAAAAAAAATTGTTTGCAGGAATTCTGCCAATGTTGGTTGAGCTGGCACAGACGCGATGTTTACCGTTCGTTTGGAAACAAAACGACAAGGTACGAAATCGACCACCACTTGGGGCAAAGCTCAATAATTAAAGAAAAAAAAGACGCACAGGGTTTTTTTTTGCCCTTGAAAGAAGTGTCGAGAAGACACAGAGCTATATAATGAAAAGCTACTAGAAAGTAACAACGAAACGCAAAACGTAACCTTTTTTTTAAAAGGGAGTTTTGTGTTGCAAGCCAGAAGAAAGACAAAACCAAAAAAAAAAAGGGAGAGAGGCAAGGCGTTTTGAAGAATGTCGGAATATCAAAAAAAAAAGGGGGCAGCTGCTCAATAGGTTCGACTTTTCCTGTTGCTGTTACTGTGTTTTTGGAGGAGGTGAGGCTCTTGTTGAACTCGAACGCTCAGGAGTCAAAGTGGGGTGGTGGAGGTCGAGTCTTGAGTACTGCCGTAAAGAGAGTGTTTCTTTCTTTCTCTTTTTTAATCACAGGGCACACGAAAAATGCCGTGCCTGGGACGAGAAAACACGAAGAAGAAAAATAAGAAGATAAAGTGAAGTAAACGAAATAGGTGAAGACAGCGCGGTATCAGCAGAAATGAAAACACAAAAACCTTGAACTAATATATATATATATATATGCGTGAATGAATGAAATAGGAATGAAGTAGGTAAAATGAGAAGAGCCTGAGGTGACTCTAACGAACAGATTTGAGTGCTTCTCCTCTTTTCTCTTTCATCTACAAATAAAGGAGAAGAAAAGAAGAACGTTGGTCAAGGTGAATTCTACGTGTAGGCGTGCGGGTGTGGGTGTGCAGCGAGTAGCGGACGGTCAGCGAAGCACCGTCCAGCACACACACACCCAAAAAAAAGAAAACAAATAGAACCAGGCGAGAAGGGCAAGGGCAGAGGAGAGAAGGAAAAGAAACAGGTTTCATTACAAATCGGCATCTTTTCATTCACTAGAAGCGACCGTCTTCCAACGACGAGTCTCCCACCTGAAAGACTAAGGCCCAAGTTTCCACTATCAAAAGGAATGATTCCTTCTCACTCAAAACATCAAAAGAGAACAAACGCACTCCTCGCACGCGCTCTCCGGGATAGAAGAAACGAATAAACATGAAGAACCACGTTCTCAACCATGTGCTGTGCAACGACTTGCGTTCCTGCTTTCCCCCGCCGTTGCGTGCGAGCCGTAGTGACAAGAGGGTATTTCGTGGTGTATTTGTGTTTTTAGAAGTTTTTCTTTAGTTAACTTTACCTTTTCTGCGTTGTCATTCTTCCACCGAACGTGCCGTGCGCTTGATCCTCTCGGCCTCCTCGCCGCATACCTTTCAGCCGCATGTGTTTCTTTTTCTCTCCGTTGTTTTCAGCTCAGCTGCTCTACAGCTGCAACAGAGAGCAGCAAAGTGTGCTGACTTCCAAGCTCGTCGATTGAGGGGCGACGTCGGGAGAATTAAAACATTGGAGAGACTGCCCGATGAGGGGCATGGCCGTCACCTTCACACGCAGAACTTAAGAAACGACTTACACGTGGCACTTACCGTAATGACGGGCCGACCCAAACAGACAACGGAAACTATAAAATAAAATAAATAAGAGACTTTAAACAGAGACGTACCACCACCCACAGAAACAAGGAGGAAAAGAAAAGAGAGAAGTGCTGCTTCCCTATCCGTTACAAGCAAACCGCACCCAAAGCACGAAGCTGCTGTTCCTTTTCGTGAGGCGCAGTTAGCTGACGAGCACAACAAACAAAATACAAAAAAATAAATGAAGTACAATCGAAAGGTGACAGCCAAAGGAAAAAAAAAAGGCTGAGCCGCAGCACTATACGAGAACAAAACCAAGACCAACAAACAAGCAAGCACGAACCGCAAGCGCCAGCCACACAGAAAGGGACGGAAGGTGCTCCCAAAGCATCAGAAAGGGGGAGAGAGAGCAGCGCATTCTCCACCACCTCAGCAATATGTATAAATATAACGCATAGCAAACATTGGGAAAAAAGTTTTCGCAGTCGCGTTGTCGCGTCGCACCGATGGTGTATTTCTGTCTTTCCCCGCTCTTCTCATTCGCACAGACAACAGTAAGCCATCCGAGAGCGTTGATCTACGTAGCACAGGAAAACGGAAACCACAAAACAAGAGCTGTTCGTGTTGCTTGTAAACGCAATCCATTGCCTTTCTTTCCTTTTCTGTTTTCTAATAGTCGACGCTGCAACGTTTCGCTCCCTCAACAACAAAAACGAGTTTGGTCTGCTTGTTTGTTTGTTTTTTTACGTCGACAGCATTTGCTTTTCTTCCTTCAGTGGTGCTACGCCAGTTCATCCACCAAGGTTTCGCGCACGTTCTGGAGCAGGTTGCCTTCCTCGCCACCAGCGGCCTCGCGCCGCAGCTGGAAGATGCGCTCCACGACGGTAATCTCCGTCGCCGTCGTGTTCAACCCGCAGAAGGCCGCCCAGTCATTCACGACTAGGCCGGAGCCGATGGCGGCGTTACCGCGGTTGATCGTGCCGGCCACCACCGGCACCTGCAGCAGCGAGGAGATCTCGTCCATGTCCTGTGCCGGCGTCTTGGGGTGCACCATACAACCCTTATTCGTCGCTACCGCGTAACTACCGACGAGCGCGTTCTCGGCGATCGACGTGCGGAAGGTCTGCACCTGCAGCGTGTCACGTATCATCTCCTCCGTTTCTCGACTCAGGTCGGTGTGGATGAGAGCTACGTGGTCGTTGCACACAACACAGTTGCCTAAGGCGGACAGACGCTCCTCGACGCGCTGGACCTTGACCGAGTCGGGTAGGGAGTTGCGCAGATGCTGCAACTCCTGATCAGTCGTGATGGACGGCACGAGCAGGCCGTGGCGGTTGCCGATCACGAGACGGCCGATGACGCGGGAGTCGCCGATGGAGGTGTATACAACCGGGATGTGGTTCGCCAGCTCCTGCTCAAAGACGGAGTAGAAGTTCTGCGACGCGCCAGCGGCCACGAGGCAGTACGCGTTCGTCAGACGCGAGAACACGCCGATGTCGTCGGAGCTCTCAAATCGGGTGCGCAGCGTCATCGCGATGCAGGAGATTCTTCGTTTTCTTTTTTAAACGTAGAATACGGCTGGAAGAGAACAATGCGGGGAAAGACAGAAAAAGGAAAGATAGAGACACCAAACGAACTCCAAAAAAGACACGAGGTAGAAAAAAAGTTTTCGGTGAGGGGTGCGTTTGCTGAAGAGTTCAATAGATGCGAGAACAGAGAAGGAGAGAGAGGAGAGAGAGAAGAGAGTCCGGAAAAAGTGAAGTGGAAGCCGTTGACGAAGAAACGCGTATGTACGGAATACGTATGCACCCATAGTGTGCTCTGGCGTTGAAAGCAAAACAGAAAAGAAGGCGTTGCATGAAGCACCAAGTCAGCAGGACTCACCAGAAGAAGAAAAACCCCAGAGTCCAGAAGAGGAGAGAGGGTGCAGTGAGCAACGCCTAGTACTTTTCTTTAATTTTGGTTATTCCTCACTTCAGTGCGTCTCTCTTTCCTAAAGTACGTGTGTTGTGAAGAGATGAAACTCCACACGTGTTCGTGACAAAAAGTCCGGTGGAGAAACAAATGATAAACGTCAAGGAACGGCACTTCACTGAACCAGGGAAAGAGAAAAAATGTGAGGAACGTGGTTGATTTACCCGAGTGGTCGAAACCACTACCCTCAGCGGAAGACGATAACTACATCGAAGCAGATGAAGAAAAGAGATTCAAAAAAAAAAAACCGTGGAGATGCAGAGAGAGGCATAACGCGCGAGTCGGACAACGCTATACGAGTCAAATATCAACAACGATAACAACAGTAAGGGAACTACTTCAGTCTCCATCGGGTTCGTTGAGTGCACTGTATGATAGCACCGTTGGCGTGAGGTTGCGCTTTATGTTCGCTTGGCGCACACGATCTAAGCGCGCCGCCTCCTTGTACAGCGCCTTTTCGGAGTCAAACAGCAGTCCGTAGTCTTCGTAAAACTGGTGCCCCGTCGCCTCGACCACCTCCGTCACCTCCGGCAAGAAGTGCTTCATAACGCGCTCAATGCCGTTTTTCAACGTGTTCTGCGACGACGGACAGGTGCGGCACGCGCCGAGCATGGCCAGCGAGACAACGCCGGTCTTTTCGTTGAAGTTCAGCAGCTTCACATCCCCGCCGTCGCGCTGCACCATCGGCCGCACCTGTTCCCGCAGCAGCTCTTTAATACACTGCACCACCTCCGAGTCGTCCTCCTTCACCTCTAAGTCATCCTCAATGAGGGTGTACTCCTTCGCAGGGGCCACGCACGCGTTGTTCATCACGAGGTAGTGCCCCAGAAAGCTGCTGATGCTCCACTCGATGGCAGGAAAGTCCACCGTGGCGAAGACGGAAATAGAGACCTGCCGCGGGGCAATGAAGACGCTCATGATCTCCTGCGGGTACTGCTCAAAGAGCCCCTGGGAGAGGGGGTGCACCCAGGCCAATCCGCGATGGGCCACCTCGCACGTTTGTTTGTCTGGCACAAAGCTCGCAAAGTTGTCGGAGGGGATGGCGAAGGCATGGCACAGCGGGTTTGGCGTGGGCTGCACATGCAACTGCATCATGCAACGGTGCAGCGTCCGTCGCAACATCGACGCTCGCAGACACTTTTAGAAAGTATTGGGGCTGAGGGAACTAAGTTTTAAACGAGAAAAGGGAGGACAAAGAGGTCGTGGCTGCACTCGTTGACCACGCATATCACGAAGCAAACACCTACACGATATATGTGTGTCTACCTATCCAGATGGGTACATACAACGATACGCCGCCGAACACAACGACAGCCCATCAATACTGACAGGTGAAACGAGTGTACCGGCGTTCAATTCACACTCGTTCACACACACACACACACACACACGCCGGAGTAGTAGAGAAGAAGAGTAGTAAACGACGCAAAGACGCACGTGAAGTTAGGTCGCCGGAGAACGGAGCGCATATACGAACATGTCGCCTATCGCGAGCGGAGATGGAGAACTCTTCTTCTACCACAGATACGCAACCGCAACGCAAAGAGCTCGCAGTTTCCACTACTGTGATGAGGGGCACAATTGCATCGAAAGCAAAGGAATGTGTTGCCGGTGTTCTTTTTTCTTCTTTCGCGTGACTGGGGTTTATTCTCGTCCAGTGACCCCCCCCCCCTCCCGGGCACCTACAGCAGCTCCACATGCCTGTCTCCTCCACTCAAATCACGCCCTCTTCCGCTTTCGCAAGCCGGTCTCCAACTCCTCCGGCTGAAAGTAATTTACCGGGGCGCTCTGTAGCACCCACTCCGGCGAGGCTACCGCCGTGACGTGTGTCATAAAACGCTTCGTGGTGTGCCGCAGCTGCGTGAATACCACCAGTGCGGGACGCTCTCGCAGAGCAGGCGGGATGGCGGACTCCGCATCTGGGCCGCCCGCCGGACCTGCACGCACGCCCGGCGTCGTTGGCTTGCGGCCTGCGCCGAATAAGAAGCTGCTGGGGTGTATCTCCACCACCGAAGCGTCCGCCGCCTCGGGGCTCTCGAAGCGTCGTGCGCCGGCTGGTGCGCCGGTGTCCATCGGGCGAACGACCGTGTAGGAGTGCTTGTCCGCCCCGAGCTTCGCGACGTTGAAGAAGAAGCCGGAGAGGATGGCTTTCGTGACGGCCTCGACGTCAATCTGCGTTGCGGCGGCGGCGGAGAGCGCCTTCCGCCGTGCTTCCTCCTCCTGCTCCTCACCACCGTCTTCCCCACCTCCCAGTGTCGATTTGTCCTTCGCTGACTGTGCATCCACCTGGAGGCCGATGCGGTCGTAGATCCTGAGGATTTGGTCCAACACATCCCGTGCGCGCAGCATCGCACGGGGGTTGATGCAATTCGCCTTGCAGAACTCCCCCGCACGCGGCCCAGCGCGCAACCACTCCAACATCAGCCGCACGTAGCCGGTCACGTCGCCGTTGCCGAAGCCGAAAAGATGCTCCTTGGCGCTTTTCATATGCTGCCGCTCGGCGGGGTCACGGGTGTTGATAAAGATAGAGTCGAGTGTGAGCATGGCAGCAGCCATGGCGAGGTGCCTCCCACAGCCCAGCGCGCAGCCGCGGATGAGACACTTGCTGAGTGACGGATCCATCGGGAACTCAGCCATGCGCCGGCCCGTCACCGTCAGCCGTCCATCCGCCTTGATGGCACCGAGAAGGTACAGGTGGTCAATCGCGCGCTCCAGCGACGCGGTCGACGGCGCGTCTAAAAAGTCGAAGGCCAGCAAGTTGTGAATGCCGAGCGCCTTCAGCTGTAGCACCACCGCACTCATCGAGCACCGCAGAATCTCCGGCGTCGTCTCGGCCGGCAGCTCGTTGCGAAAGGTGTACTCCGTGAAGAGGCGGTAGCACTCGCCGGCCTGGGTGCGTCCGGCACGCCCGGCACGCTGCGTCGCGCTGGCCTGCGAGGTCGGCACCACGCGCAGCTCCTCGACCATCGCCTGGGGGTCGTAGAAGTCCTGCTTGCACAGCCCGCAGTCCACCACGTAGACGACGCCGTCGATCGTGATGGATGTTTCGGCGATGTTTGTGGCGATCACCACCTTGCGCGTGCCGGGCGGCGTGCGCTCGTAAATGCGCGCCTGCTCCTTCGCCGGCAGCGAGGCGTAAATCGGCAAGATGAGAAGCGGGCGAAGCTGATCCTTGGCCGTCTCCACACACTTCTGCAGCGTCTCCGCGCACGTTTCGATGTCGTCCTGACCCGGCAAAAACACGAGAACGTCGCCCGGCAGTGGCTTCGCCATGTGCAGGTTCAAGACCGTCTGCGCAGACTCGGCCACGTAGTCCGCCACCGGCTCCTCCGCGTAGAAGCTCTCCACGGGATAGGTGCGGCCCGTCACAGTGAAGACCGGCGCGTTGTCAAAAAAACTGCTGAATTTGGCCGCATTGATCGTCGCACTCGCCACAATCACCTTAAGCTGCGCGTTGCGGCGTACAACGTCGCGCAGCAGACCCAGAAGGATATCGGTGTTGAGTGAACGCTCGTGGGCCTCGTCGACCATAATCGCGCCGACGGTGGAAAGGTCCGGGTCGTTCATAAATTCCTTCAGCATCATACCGTCCGTCACGTAGAGGATGCGCGTCAGCGGGCCTGTCTTGTCGTCAAAGCGGACCTTGTAGCCGACCACGCTGCCGCACGGGCAGCCGACTTCCTGGGCAACGCGCTCCGCCACGCTGGTCGCGGCGATGAGACGGGGTTGCGTGCAGATGAGTCGCAGCTCGTCTTCCTCTCCTTCTTCCTCGACCTCACCGTTGATTCCCTCGTTGCTGAGCGGCTTGCTCTCTTCCTTTGAAGCGTCGACAAAGTCCTTCGTAGCAGCAGTAGCGCGTTTCTGCCTTTCCTTCGGGCTCAAGTGAAAGCCCTCCTCGTACAGGTACTGCAGCATCTGCGTCGTTTTGCCAGAGCCGGTCTCGCCCACCATGATGACGACGCGATGACTGTGGATAAGCTGCAGCAGTTCGTTGCGCATTTGGTAAATGGGCAGGCTTCGGCGTTGTTGCTGGAGGCGGTCCTTTTGCCCTTGCAGCGCCGCCGCCCGCTCCTGTTGCAACTCCGCAAATGTCTTCTCTTGTACGTAGTCGTGCGCGGCAACCCGCTTGGCGATCTCCGCCTCACTCATCGCCACAAACAAAGCATTGGAAGAGGACGTGATAGCAGTTTTTTCCATCGCAGTGGAGGCAACAGGCACATCCTTTTCCTCTCTCCCCTCTCTCGCATCACCTTGCAAAGACTGAAGCGCAGAGAAGGACGCGGGCAGAGCGTCGCCAGCTTGCCCCTCGGACGCCAGCTCGTCCCACCTGCCCGGTGCTTCGCCCTCATCGCCGAGGGCTTGCCGACGACGCGCCACGTCGAACAACTCACCCGCCGCCTGCACCTCGGCGGAGCGGTGGAGCAGAAACTCCGCCTCGGTGAGAGAGGTGGGCACGATGCCGTGCTCGACGTCCTTCAGTTTCTTCTCCACGACGGCATTCGCGGCTTTTTGCTGCTGTGCGGCCGCCTTGCGTAGGAACGCGGCCCGCGACGCCTGCTGCGCCTTTCGAAGTGCCTCCCGGTCCATCTACTGTACGATTGTTATCGGTTTCGATACCAAAGCCAGCGGTGGAAAGGTGCGTAAAAGCGGAATAGAAAGTGAGAGTTCGGCTCGCTGGAGTAACCGCCAATGCCAAACGCAGATGTGAGAAGGAAGAAAAGAGGGCAGAGAGTTCAAATATATATGTGAAGAGGAAAAAGAGGAATGCGCATGCAACGGCAGGCACCCTTGCACGTGAAAAGACCTTGAATACTTGAAAACAGCAGTCGCAGCTCTTCTCTGCGGAATTCTGACATGTACGTCAGCGAACACTGGGTCGGGCAATGACACCGACTGCCTGCTCGTTTCAACTCGCAAGAGAATCGGCCGTGCACGGAATGCAAAGGAAAAAGCGCCTTACCGTTTGACATCCACCACGTTCGTTTTTCTTCTCCGTAACGCCACACCTTCACTCTCGCCTTTCCTTTTGGGGGTTTGGTGTGGTTGCGCTGTTACTGTCGGTCAACGCCCACCTCGTGTATGGAAGGGAGGCGGAACCCCCCGCTGTCGCCATGTTGAAGAACTTGAAGGAGGGGGGACAGAAGAAAAGCGAAAAGAAATAATCTAATGCTGATGCTTCACATCACACGAGAAGCCACACAACTTCCGTCTTCGCAATACACTGTATCACCGTTACAATCAACAAAACAATTAGGACGGCGTGAAAGAAAAGGAAGAACCAGACGCGAAAATGCCAGCAAACACAAAAGCGCACCGCTTTACGCACGCGGCCCCGACACACATCTCACATCCGCACCCACACAAGCTACGGATTCAAAAGACCAAGATAGCAGAAGAAAGGAGCACACGTGAGCAGATACAGCACAAGAAGAACGTGTGCTCGTCGGACAAGTTAAGACGCCGCAACGAGGTTGCCCATCTTTGCTATCGAGTATTCATTTCCTGTTCTTTTGTTCACGTCATCCGTGGATAACAACGAAAATCTCGGAAGACCCGGAAAATAAAGATGAGAACACCCTCCCCCAAGGAAAAAGGGAGGCAAGAGGAAAACAGGAAAGAAGATTGCTGTTGTGGACACGCGTAACACCGAGTGAGTCGAACAAACGGACTGCGGGATCGCTGAGGGTAGAAGCGAGGCACCTCCATGCAACGACGTTGTGCGCTTCACGACAAATGGAGAAAGAAAAGAACGGAAACCAAAAAGCGAATTACTACAAAAGGAAACCTGAAAAAAAAAACCCTAAAGCAGCAGTTTGTTGAGCTCCTCATCCAGATTCACAGACGGCTCTCCGCCGGCACGCGACGACTCGAAGCTTTGCTGCTGCCCTGGTGTCCCGTCGTGAGGCAGCGCACAGGCGCTACCGCCGTCACTCGAGTAACGGTCGTGACTCTGCTCCCAACCCTCGTCACTATGAGAGCTGGCGTGCTCGCCGTCCGCAGCGGTGCTGACGGTGTTCGCTGCGCTGCCCCCTGCATTGTTCCCAGCGCTCGACCCGTTTGCGGGGCTGGCGTATGGCTTGTGGTGGTGGGCGTCGCTGCCGCGCGGCCGGTGCCGATGCCGAGTCGCGCGCTCTTCCATAGAGCGCAACCACTGTTGGATGACAAGGTGATCTGCAAAGTCCTCGTCCGCCTCGTCCTCGTGCCGCTCTTGCAGGGAAGAGATGGGCGGGGAGGAGGAGGCAGAGGTGGGGAGGAGCGCCGAGAAGGAGCCCGCACCGGAGCCCGGCCCGCCGCTGTCAGTCCCGGGGAAGCCTTCAAAGGCACGGGTGGGGGCGGGAAAACTAAGAACGGGCGAGCGCGCCTTGCCGCAGCCCGCGCCGGGGATGGCAATGGCAAGCGGGGGTGGTGTCAAGAAGCTGCCTCCTCTTGCGGCATTCACCGTTGCCGGCGGCGACGCAGGTGCAGCCTTGCTGGTGGCGTACTTCTTGATAAAGGGGTGTTGAAGAAGCTCGCTGCACGTCGCACGCTGCTCTGGTGACTTTACCACACAGGCGTTAATAAAGTCCGCTAAGGTACCGTCCATCTCTTCCGGCAGCTCCAGCGCCGGGCCGGCAGCGTTCAGATGTTGAATGAGAGCCCAGAAGCGGCCCTCGCTGCTCTCCCCGCGCAAACCCGCGAAAGGGCAAGCCCCAAGGGCTAGCTCCCCCACCACAAGTCCCAGGGACCAGATATCCGCACCGTACGAGTACGAGTCGCCGTGCAAGCGCTCCGGGCTCATGTAGGTCACCGTGCCGACAAAGCTGTGCGCGTCTGCCTTGGTGCACTCCAGGAACGAGCTAACGCCAAAGTCGGATATTTTGATGTCCCCCGTGCGGCTATTGTAGAGCACGTTGCTCGGCTTCAGGTCGCGGTGCATGAGGTGGCGGATGCGATGAAGGTAAAAGAGACCTTTTAGCATCTGGCGCGTGATGCAAGCGAGCACCGGCAGCGGGGTCGGCTTGGCGATCTCCTGCAGTGACCCGTCCATCGCCTCCATCGCGATAAAAACTGCGCCCTCGTGCGTGAAGGCGCCGTAGAAGTTTACCAAGTACGGCGTGGCGGAGTCGCCGGCGTGCAGGGTCTCCAACTCCCGCCGTATCTCACTCATGTGAGCTTTGCCCGACACCTTAATCTCCTTCAGCGCGACGGCGGTGCTGCTGCGGCGGTGGGTGGCACGACGAACAGAGCCACTGCTACCGCGGCCTAAAAAGCCGCCCTCCGCCTCTGGCACGACATCGAAGTCGTTTAACGACAGCTCGTAGTAGTGGCCTTCGCTGTCCCGCACCCCTTCGGAGGACACCAGCAGAGAGCCAACCCGCACGCGGCCATCAGCGGAGAAGCCCTCGGCGTTGGTGTTGCAATCTCGCTCTATAGCCTCCAAATTAATCTTCAAACGAGACATGGAAGGAATCTAAAAAAGGTGCGCCCACCCGAGAGAGGAAAGGGAAAATGGATAAAAACAACACCTAAAAAGTGCGCTGGGGTTACGTGAAAGTGTGAAGATTTAAGGCAGCCGGACCCCGCACACGCTCACAGAAGCGACGAGCTCACAAGCGAGGCTGCTCTCGGAAGAGTTCGGAGCACAATCCAAAAGGAAAAAAGGCGGGAAAAAAAAGCGACAACGGCAACGACAACGGAGAGAAAAGAAAGATAAAGGCGGAGATGCGTCGCAGACGACTCTTCCAACAAATAGGGGCACTACGGGATAGCCCGCCGACAGCACCTGTGGCTGAAGAGTTTAAAAGAGGGCAGAAAGAGCAAGAGAAAAAAAGATTTTTTGAGACGTTTGTTCCGGACGTAAAGTGCTTACGTTGTTTTCCGTTTTAACAGTAAAAAAAAAGGAGGAAGGAAAACAGGCACACACACACACACACAGAAGACTTCGCCACACAAACGCAAAACAGGCGGTTCACACGAATCCAAGGTGATAGATTGACGACTGCACTTCGACTTCACCCGTGCCTCATCTATGATGGTGTGTCGAAACTCGTAGCAAGGAAAAAGGAAAAGAAGAAGATGTTTAATTACTCGAACATCAACGGCAGAGAGAAGAAAGCGAAAGCGAGAGAGAGAACGCAACACCACAGCAGTACAGAGAAATCTGTGCGAACAGGGAGACCGGAATGGGAGAGGCGAGGCAGAACGGATTGTGCAGATGTGTTCCCCTTAGCGCACATCACAGTGAAGCACTGTCTTCTTCGTCTCTACACTACTACACTATACCTCTACAGTATTATTTTTCTTTTTTCAATTATTATTACTGTTCTTGTCAAAACTGCGAAGATACGTGCATAAGGGTCACATAACAGCTTCGCACCGACTTGCACCAAAACAGACCCGCTGCTCTGCACCGGAAGCGGAGCGAGAGAAAGACGTAATGACAACAAATGAAACAAAGGCGAGCCGCCTGTTGCGGTGTACGTGCTGACAAGAAGGAACCGTTTGGTGCGATAACGTCAAGAAAGCGGAGAAGAAAAAAGGGGCGCAAACAAGAGAGGTGCGAGGGGAGACGAGGAGGTGAAGGAAATTATCTGCATTTTTGATTTCAATTTTGCACCAGCAAGCCGATCAGTTCTACAGGAAGCGAAATATAACGAAGTCGTCGGCGTGGCGCACCACAACAGGCGCCCCTACAGGTGGATTTGCAGCTGCACAACTACAACAAACTATTAAGTGACAGTGAGACCTGTCAGTGTGCGGGTGTGCGAACATGGTGCAGGCACGTACGTTCTTTTGAAGGAGGTTCATTTTTCCTTCCTTTGGAAACTGGTCATGGCTTCCCCGCGCAGTTCGTGGAACACCGAAGAAAAAACTACTAGAAAGCAAGAATTGACTATAGAGGGGTGCTCTGCAATACAACAACAACAAAAAAAACGGCGTAACTGCTGACAACCGGCACACGCGACAGGAGTGCAGAACCTACCAGTTTGCTCAGCATTCTTTCTCGTCGAGTGAGGAGAAGCACACGGTAAGCGTTCCACACACGGCACTGTCCGTCACAGACATCACCGCCAGATCCCTCTCGCCCCAGTTTCCCAAGACATCAGAGACCCGCACGACGGCCTGAGCCAACGCATGTGCCGCCGCCGCCGTTGAGCCATCTCGAACTTCGAACCGTATGTCTTGCTCGACCGATACAGCAGTGCTGCAGGTCCCATCCTCCGCACCCCACACCGCATGCGACGGGTTGCGCCGTGGAGGTGCAGCAAGCACCTGTGTCGGCCCAAGGTAAACGCCCACCTGCACCGCGCAGTGCTCCAGCAAGTCCTCCACCTCCTCAGAGGTGCTGCTGTGGAAATCACGCAGTGACTTCACGTAGATGCGTATCTTCGCGGGCGGTGCAGACGGCACGGTGATGGCAGGCGGGGTGGGGACACGGACGAGCGGGGGAAGGGGAACTGTCGTTGCTGGTGGCGCGCGCAGAGGATGAGAAGGTTGAGCCTCCTCTCCTTTAAGGGGCTGCGCTGCTTCAGAAGAAGAATCGTCGTCAGGTGTTGACTTCGCATTGAGGGCGGCTCCTTTCAGTTGACTAAGTTTGCCGGCATCATTCGCCTTTACGCCCTCATCATTCTCTGCTTTCGTCGTCTCACCGTTCTTCACCTTCTCAAGAGCCGCAACGCTGCTGGGTACTGCGGGAGAAGAACTCCTTCGTGGTGTTCCCTCGGCCACCAACGGTAAGGCCTGGTGCGACGGTGGTGTCGTCCTCGTCGACGACATCGAAGAGGAGAGCGGCGTGAGGCGACGTCGTGTCGAGCCGGCCGCCCCATCCTCGCGAGAAGGCGACATGAGCGGCGCCCGCTGGTGCCTGTGCGTCGATCTCTCCGCTGCTGCTGCTGCCTCTGCCATCGCACCCGGCACCGTGGCTTGCACAGTGGATGAGGAGAGAGGGCCGCCGCGCACATTGTCGTCCGCGCGCTCCGTGTTCCATGCATTCTGGCGACTGTGGTACACACGGTCAGGGGTGGCGGTGCGCTGTACGGCTGTTACACATGCAACAAGCGTTGCCGCCCCACACGACGCGGAATACCCGTCCGTGTGTAAGTGGATGGTGTGGACCGTGGACACGCCGCTATTGCCTCGGCCCACACCCTGCTCGGAGCAAGAAGTTGTAGTGGCGGCGGCAATGAGGCTGCGCACGGGAACGGTGGCGGTGGCGGTCGGAGTCGCTGCGTCACCCGCAGCACCCGAAGCAGGCGATTTCGTTTCGTCCTCTGCCGTTTCAAAGAAGCCGAAGGTAAGCACTCCCTGCGTGTCTGGCAGGGCGTAGAAGCAGCAGCGGGTAGACAGCGGCTCCTGCGACCGAGGACGTCGATGTACTGGAGGCACCGACAGCACATGTGGGTTGGCAAGATGTACGCTAAGTAAGAGGTGGCTCCTGTCGTACGGTCCGCACACCGATAGCACGCCGTGGTTGTCGTGTGAAGAAGATGTCGCATTTCTATTGTGGCCGAGTTGCCGACCCACAGAAGAGGTCGCAGTGAAGGACAGATCGCTCAGCGTCACCTCCATCACGAGATCGACGTCGCACGAGAACAAAGATGACAGAAAGGGTGGAGAGGCGGAACGCGTGTAGCTCCGCGGCGCCGCGCCGCTCAACACGCGGCCAAACGTCTGCACCAGTCGTTCGAGTTCTTCCGCTGCGAAGGGGAACCAGCTGGTGTGCGCCTCGTGCGAAGTGCCGCGCCTCTCTTCATCTTCGGCTGCAAGTTCATCTTCATCGCGTTCAATGGCCTCGATAGCAGCAGCGCTGGTGTCACGAGGGCCACCTTTGCTCTTCCGCTTCTGTTCTTGCTGTTGCTGCTGTGTTAACAAGTGGAGTTGTTCTTCGACTACGTCCTTTTCTCTCCGGAGCTGCGCCACCTCCGCAGCAAGTGCCTCTGTCCGTTGCGACCCTTTCACCCCGGCCGCACTTTGCTCACCGGTTGACGAGGGCGGCAGCGTGTCCGCGCTACTCGCACGCCGTTCCTTGATGAGGTGGTACGCGTCGTGCCTCTCCATTTCTGAAGTCAGTGATCGCATCGTGGCGGTCTGCCGCAGCACCGTCTGACTCGATGCAGCCAACTCTAGGGAAAGCCGCTCCAGCTGCTGACGCAGGTCGTCCGCCTCCTGTCGGTGTGTGAGGACGAGCCGTTTCAGGCTGTCGTTGTCGGCCTGCTGGTGACGCAGGGCCCGCTCTGCGGCAGCGGTGCGCAGAATGTAGCGGGTGGCGGAGTCCTCGATGGGGAGACGATCCAGCGGCAGTCCATACGACGTCGGAGCCGGGAGCGATGTCGGGCGTAGATGGATGAGCGGGGGGGAGGTTGACATCGCGGAAGGCGCAGACAAAAGTTGCTCGCTGTTGTGGCCGCCGCTGTCGAGCATGAAAGGACGCCCGCACATCTCGCGGCGCAGGGCACGCAGTTGATAAAAGCGGTGCCGCGCATCCGCCGCAGAGGGGTCGACGTTGCTCGACAGCACTTGGTTTTCGTGTACTGAGGAAGTCCCCGCTGCTGCCGCTGTTGTTGCCGCCGTTGCTGAGCTTGATGAGCCAGTCGTGTGCGCATCTGTCACCGCGCGGTAGACGCCGGGAGGTCGTCGCTCCTGCGAGCGTTGGTCCGCCGCACCGTGTGCCACCTCTGCGTGTGACATATGTGGGCGCGAGAAAGCGGTTAGGCAGCAACAACAACAAAAAAGAGCGAGCTCGGGAAGTTTAGAAAACAGAAAAAAAATGGGTATTGCTACGAAGTCTATGTAGATAATTCTCTTGATCTATTGTGTACTCTCTCTTTGAATGGACACGCGGGGGTGCTGCGAGGTATTACGTGCACGCAGCATGCATTCCAGGGCGGAGTGGGAGGCAGCAGAGCAACACGTCACCTTGAACAGAAAAGACCATGTAAAACATATATATTTCTATTGCGTGTGCGGTAGGCCGAACGATGTGGCTGATGTATAAAAAGAAGAGATCGCAACCGTCTACAAAACAAGAGTGATTCACAGCGCTCCTTTTGCCTTTCGTGTGTGTGTGTGTCGCGCAGCAAACGCTTGCTTGCCTGTCCAAGCAGCTAGTAAAGGTTCAGGAAGTACAGGAGATGCATAGAGCAGGGACGTTGAAAGAAGGATAAGAAGGAAAAGGGATGTCTGAAGGGTGCGACCGCAGCTTTGATGAGTGCTTTTTTGAGGGTTTGTAGTAGGCCCTCAACCAAATGCGCAGAAGACAACTGATGAGCGGGCGTTGCTCGTCAAGCGAACTAGCACAAAAGCAGATGTGCACCTACGCCTTAATCAGGATGATTCTGTCGTTAGAGGCTTTGACGGATTCATTACGTTTATGCCCCACCAAAGCAAATAACATGTCGAAGGAAAACAAATCCCTGCTACAAGGTCCTTCAGCAATGGAGCGTAAAACGATTGTAAATCGCCTTCAGGTAGATTTGGTCACAGATAATTCATTTTTTGTCCTTTAGACACTTTCGGGAGGAATGTTTCTCTGCACACGTACGCCACTATCGATGTCCCAAACAATCCATTCACCCCTCGCTGTCCATCACTGGAGAGTTTAAAACACAAAACACGGGCAATTTGAACAACATATCAAAAAGAAACAAAGAGAGAAGAAAAAATGGAAGTCACAAAACAATAATAGAAATCGATGAGTACCACTATAAAATAGTTCGCCTTCTCGAATCAAGACAGCGACAAGAGCCGAAATAATAATAATAATAGTAATGAGAGTACATCAATCACAAAGGTCAGCAGCACACATCTGGGAATGCAGAAACAAAACAAAAAGGAGAAACAGAAGAAAGACATCAGACAATGTTGAGCAGAGAAACAACAGAAGAAAACAGAAAAAAAAAAGAAATGATTCATCGCACAGCCAGCAGAGAGAAACAGAGGTAGTGATATTGGGGGAGGAAGGAACGAAAAGGAGAGAGCGGCGTCCTTCCGGCGTTGGTGACGAGAGATTTAAAAAAAAAAGGGTTAAAGGGGGTTGAAATAATCAGTCGAGATCATGTGGAGGGCGCCACCGCAGTGAGAATGAGATGAAGACGCTGGCGTGCATACAAAAACATCAGCAACAACACAAAAAAAAAAAAGACGCGAACATTCAGTACACAAAAACAAACCGTATTAAATGCCGCTTGAATCACTCTTATTATGTCCTAAGATTCGAACTGAAATAATATACTAATAATAAACGTAAAGAAAACGCACACATGGGCAGAGACAGTATCAAAGCCGAAATGAGGTTAAACGCACGACTACATAAGAAGAGGGGGGAAAAAAAGAAGAAGACACACACACAAGATTCATCGCGCTCAAGCGTGCTCGTCCCTTCGCTTCTCTCAACGATGTTGCTTGTTTTTGCCTTCTCTCTTTGATCACAAACATGACAATTCCCACCGATAAGGTCACATCAAGCCGGTCTATGAAAAGAGAAACCTGTTACTTCACATCCTCAATAAATACTACAACACACATTCTTGTCTGTTGAAACAGTATTCTTTTTCCCTCTTTGGGAGGGTTGTTGTTGCTGATGAGAAACCATTTCGTTTTCAAGCAGCAGCCTCAGCAGCGTAGGAGGCACCTGAACCGACCTGTGTGATGCGCCAACTCAAATCTGGGTCCGCGAAGACACTCTGAAGGAGGGCAATTAATCCGTAGAGATTTCAACACCAGTTTTATGTCCGTTCGTTCTACGCACACACACACTTGTTGGAAGTCAGACCGATTTTTTTTTTTTGGCCATCCTCTTTCCTTTATCGAGACTGAGAACGAGGAATAAGCCACGTCTTCGAGCACTGGCTACCGTAGTCAACATGGAGGGAAGAAAAAAGATTTTCCGAGAAAAAAAACCCTCAGTGCTGAGAAACCTCAAGTAAAAGTTGAGAAGAAAAAAACACGCTGTTCCACACATCAACACGCAAAACGGCATCACACAGGTAAATAACGAAGATAATAATGCTAATCAGAGCAATAACAATGCGATTTTGAAAAATCAGCCATAAAGTAAAAAAAAGAAGTGGGGAGGCTAGCTCCTCTGACATCCAAAAAAAAAGGAAAGGAAATCAAGAAGAGAGCAAGAGGCGCACCCAAAGGCTCTGTCTAAGCAACGGCACAACAAGACACAACAGGCGACGGCACTCTTGAATAAAAAGCATGCATTGTTTTGATCTCTCTTTTCATTTTTTTTCCCGCTACCGTGCAGGGAGATAGGTGAATGTGAACTAACGAGACGAAAAGAAAATGAGAGGGAAAATAAAATGAAAACGTGGGAAGCAGAGGGGAAGAGGAAAACATGAGAAACGACAACACATTATTTGCTTTCATACATTTGTGGTTGCAGTTGGTGATGCTCTGGTGGTACGTGCTTCCACGCACCCTCGTGAAGTGGCGCTTGCAGAAGAAAAAAGAGGAAGAATACCTGGCGACAGAGCTGAGTTCGACAGGTACAAAAAAAAAAGCCTGTCCGTTAAAATCTGCACCTGTCTCCTGAGCTAGTTGTCTTGCAGCTTGGACTGTCTCTCCGCATCGATCGCAGAGCACCCCACTCACGATGGGAACGCGGAGAACCCACTCACACCCGCACACATGCTTTCAGCACATTTAAAGAAAAACGGACTTAAGGAGGAATACGAATTGCCCCAACGGGGTCTGATGTATTTCGGCGGCTCTGAAGAAAAAAAGAACAAGAGAAAAACTGGGAGCAAGCCGAATCAGGAAAACAAAAGAGGAATGTATCGAACATATATGGTAAAAAATAGAATGTGCCATGTGGCATTGCTTGTCATCTCTGGGTATGTAGCAAACAATGCCATCGATGCGACGCTTCGCTCAACCGTATATACAATCACAATTCTTTTAATCACTATTATGGCCGCAACATAACTCTCTTACTTCTTTTTCTTCTTTTTCAGAGAATTGCAACTCGAAGGAAATTTTCTCTTGCATTTTCCTCCTCTGCCTCTACTCGTGTGTGTGGTGCAGGTGTGAGAATAACGCGTGCACGTTGTCATGCCACGTGAAGCGCCGGTGTAAACGACGCACGTGAGGCGGGGAAAGAGTAAGAGAAGCACACACACACACACATATATATATATATATAAGAACACTTGCAAAGCAAAACAAAAAACAGATTTATCGAGTTAATGGTAAGCTATTTTCCACATACCGAAGAATATGTGGAGAACCGAAGAAAGGAGGGGGAAAGGAAATAGACGAAAACGTAGTAATAACAGTAACAATAGTAATAATAATAGAGACGTACGGCAGAAAGAAAAAATAATAATAATGAAAATACGGAAGCGTGTCACAAGTTTAGTCGAAGAATACAAAAATAGATATGCCCGCTGCATTTACCAACTTTTATCGGGAAATACGCCGTCTACACGTTGCTTCTTTTCTTTTCCCCAACGTGTACGTGTGGCCACCTTTAGCGCGGGTTGTCGTCCTCACTCACCACCGCGTGCTGCGCAGATGGGTTGGAATGCGACGACCCGCTAAGGTTCAGATTGCTGTTTGACTGCGCGGAAAACTCGGCGAGCGAGGAGGTCGAAGGCCGCTGCGCGCGCGGACGAGCTACGGCGGGGCTGGAGCTGAAGCGGTTCTTAGATGCGGTGAACGGCGTCGACTGCTGCGCAGAGGAAGCCATGTACAGATGCGAACTCAACGAGTTGCCCGGGTAGCCAGCATCGCCATTCGGAATGGCAAGCCGCATATTCGTGTTGTTCACGGCCTCCTCGTCGCGGGTCGAGCCGTTGCGGTATAGGCTCGTGCTGGACGCGTCGAAGTTCAGCAGCGGCGATGGCGAAAAGTGCAGGCTGGCGTCGAAGTCCATCGGGTGTAGAGTGCCGCCCTGCGCATGCGCCGCCGGGTTGTCGAAGGAGGGCTCGCCGACGTTGCGGTGGTGCACGGCGGGACGGTAGGCACCACCGTTGTTGCCGTTGCCACCGCCCGCCCGCAGCACGTTCGGTGTGTACATGTGGCGGTTCACGAGGTTGGTGGACATGCAGCCGTCTACAGTGCTACTCGTCCCCATCTCATCGATCCGGTGAATCTCGTCGATGCTGCCGCTCGCATCCGGGGAAATGACGGCGACGAGCCGGCGGCAACCCTTCGTCCCTGTCGCGTGCAGTTGCACGTTGCCGGGTGTGTACTGCATGGCGCCGCTGTTGTCCAAGTTGAGCCCGTTGAGGCCGCGGGCCGCCGGTGCACGCCCGTACGACGCCGACGCCTCGGGGAGAGACGTGACGCTGCCGTAGGGGTTGAAGCTATAGCTACCGTCGCTGTTCATGTGGCGTCCACCCGGCCGACTGATGTCCTGCGCGCTCATGTTGAGGCGACGCGTTAGGGAGGTGTTGGCGCTGGCGGGGTGGCTGACGGGCTCGGCGTCCTCGTCGACCTGGACGTGCTCGATGAGTGCCGCGCTCACACCGAGATCGTCCTCGGCGTTGCCGCTGCTCGAGTGCATGTGCCCGGAGTTGTTCTCCGCTAGCGGGTCGGAGGCGATCTGCTTTGCCGCCGCTGCCTCGGCCGCCGCTTCCTCTGCCTCCTGCTGCTCTCGTTGCTGCCGCTCCACGCAGGGGCCGCGCAGCGCCTCCATCTCGTGCGTCACGCGCTGCTTCTCCTCGGCCGACGCGTTAGGCGACTGCTTCAGCGTGGCGTACTCCCGTGCGAGGCTGAGGTACAGCGGCACGACGTGGATTTGGTTGCAGCACGAGCCCGCCGTGCACTTTCCGCGCTGGTACAGCAGACACACACTCGCCAGCTTCTTCATGGAGCCCTGAAAAAGGCCACGCGAGAAGTCGGCAATGCTAAACTTGGGCAAGCTAATACTCATCTTGAGCTTCGGATCGTGCACGGTGAAGTTGTCATCCGGGGCGAGGGAGAAGTAGCGTGCCTGGAGCTCGTTGAACCAGTGATCGAACTCCTCCTTCTTCGACTGCATCCACCCATGGTCGATGTGGACCTGGTTGCACCAACGTCCCCACTTACACAGCGCCGGATCGGTCGAGTAGAGGCCGCAGTTCGTGGGCACCTGCATGACGGCGTGGGAGTGAGCGTGGTTGCCGGCTCCCCGCGCGCGCTTCGCACGGGTAGTGGGGTCCACGTAAAGACCTTTCGTGAAGACCACCGACCCCACAGGCACCTCGACCACCTCTTTTAGGTCAGCGACGAAAATGCGGAACGTCTTGTTGGGGTCTGTCTCGAGCGTTTGCCGGAACTCGTTCTCGCGGTTCATCAGCCACGCGCTCATCTGCTTGCGCGTCTCCGCCAGGAACTCCGGTTTCACGTGGATGTCGTGGCACTTATCCCCCGCCAGGCATCGGCCCTCCTGGAAGGCGTCGCAGATGCGCACCACGCTTCGCGAGCCGTACACGATCGGTTTTGGTGGACGACTGAAGAGGCGGCTGCTGCCAATCGTCGGCACCACGGTCTCCACGGTCACCGCCACCGGTGCCTTGAGCTGATTATCGTGAACTTCGTAGTCGGGGAGCATCTGCTGCTCGTAGCTGCCGCCACCGACACCACCACCACCGCGGTGCGCGCTCCCGCCGCGAAGGTTCGTATTGTTGGTGCTGTGATGGCCGCCACCACCGCGTCCACTGTAGCCGCGGTTGCCGCCCAAGGTATTACTGACGCCGTTATACTCGTAGGGGGTAGCCATGTTGGGGTCCATGCGCTTGCCGTAGGCGCCACCGCCACCGGCGTTGCCGAAGACGCACATCATCGTGTTCGCCTGAACGCTGGGCACATTGTTGTGCACACTGTTGTTGTAGACGGGGTATTGGGCGTTGCCGGCGTTCGGGCCCGCATTGTGCTGGGCGGGGTAGACGTTGTACATCATGTCGTGTCTTGAATACATTCGCAGATATCGTCTTCTTGTTTGATGTTGATGCTGTAAGGATATATGTGTATTAACGAAGGAAGCGTTTCAAAAACAATAAAGGAGGAACTTTTTGCTGTTGCGATTATAGAAAGAAGTTTTTTGATCGCCGTCGCTACACAAAAAAAGGAAAAAGAAAGTGTTGGTACGGACTTTAAGAAAAGAAAACTCACTTCGTTTGCCAGACCGCTCCGAAGGAAAAAACAGGGCTGAAACCAAATATTCTTGGAAAGGTTAAAAGAAAAACGGAAAAGTAGAAGAGGGGAAAAACACGGTACAGAGTTCGTTCTCAAGTCAACGTTTTATGGAAAGGATTCTTAAAGCAATTCACAGTTAGACATAAAATAAAAATAAACAGCAAAAAAAAAAACAATAAAAGAAAACGCAAATCTTTGTTTGTTCGTTCGGTAACTTTTGATGTCGTCGTCGGTGCGGTCGGGAAATAAACGGAAGCCAACAAATTCCTTCCCGAGTGACTCCTCGTAACGTGAAAACGGAAGATGAACGACGGCTCTCTTCACTAAGGAGGAAGAACCTGGTCAATCCTTTCAACCTTACAAATAAAAAAAAGAGGCAGAGAACGTCAGGTAACAAGGGGGCTACGACGAAACAAGAAGAAAAAAAGTAACTGAAGACAACTCAAGTCAAGAGTAAGTGTTTGAGTGAAAAACGATGTTTCTGGGGAAAGGTAACCCCGTGGCTGAAAGAAGAGAAGCAAAAAGAAAGAAATGTGCGCTTGCCGATTTCTAATTTGATCTAACGCGTTAAGAAGAAACAAAAAAAAAAAACACAAGAAGATGAGAAACAAGTGGGGGTGTGAAGAAGAAATCACGAACGCAATGACAATCTCCCACTCTTAGAGAAGAAACGCCGTTTCAAACTCAGGAAGAGGGGGAAAGGTCTCCCACTTCCGTAGCGTCGCTGCAGAGAGAAGATTTGGATTCGCACACGCGGCACAGCTCCGATTGTTTTCTTTTTTGGTTGTTGTTGGCGGTTCCTTTCACACGCAGCAACTGCGGAGATCTGAAAAGGTGACGAAGAAAACAAAGGGAGGTTGATAAGAACACGCGAGAGGAGAGACACTATGAACGATTCATCGCACCTTCAAGATGAGGAAAAGAAGATGGCAGCTTTATTAAACTTATCTGTGTAGTAAGCTGGGGGAGAGAGAGAGGGGCGGATACGTTCGCAAAGAGGAGAAATAATTTTAATAAAATCGAAGGAAAGTGTAAAAGAGGAGAAGCACTTACAGGCAATCCGTCAAGTTTTTAATCATCGGCACGTAACGAGCAGAAGATGGGAAATGATGCGACGCAGAAACCAAGCACGTGGGGCACGGTCCCGAATTGCACATTGGAAAAGAGAGGTGGGAGGGGAGGAGTGCGTGTGTGACGAAGCAACGAGGAGGGGGGTAAAGAGAGCTTCTAGCATTCGTGTGCCTCGCGTACTGCGTGTGATGGCCACAAGGAGGGAAATAGGGATTTGTTCCGTCGAAAATCGCAGGTAAAGCAGACACTGAAATATCTTCCTATTTCGACGAGCGTATTACAGGTGAGCCCTTTATCAAGGGAGAGGGGGGGGTCATAAATAGAAGAGGGACTATCTTCCGTTTACTAAAAGGCATTCAAGTTGTTGCACCTCCCCTACTGAGCAATCATTGATGAGTGGAAATCCATTGGCTTTCCTTTTTTAAAAGGGAAGGGCTTGTCTTTGTAATGATACGAGTCTAAAACAAAAAGAAAAAATGAGATGTGCAATTCAAAAGGATACGTCACATCTTCACGTTGTGCTTTCTTTTTTTTTTTCGTTTGTCCGGGGCGCATTGGAGATTCCAAGCGCAAAAGGGAAGAAGTCCAAAAAAGCCAAACAAACAGCAAAAAAGAAAACGAGCAGAAATGCCGGAGATTGAAAGCTCCTGCAAATGCCGCCGCCGAGCAAGCAAACGCTCGTCAAAGCCAGCCAACGAATGCTGCACTGGCACCTTAAGAACGATTGCCAATGATGCAGAAAGAGACGGTCGTCTTTCCCTCCGCCGACGTGCTCGGGATGGCGCTTGATGGCGGCTGGCTCGATGGTGCGCCTTCTAGCTGCAGCGTTATCACGTCCACCTCGCCCAAACCTACTGAGATGATCTTCGCGGTAGGCAGTTCAGCTTTACCAATCAGAATGCGTTCCGCAGGGATGCACGTCTGCTGCCGCTTCTCTTGTGTGACGTTGGTAGCCGGATGCGCGACCGCGGCAGTCGACTTCTCCAGCTCTGCTTGTTCTCCGCTGCCCTCCACAACGTCCATCGCGCTCAGTTCCACGGAGAGCATGGTGTCTTCTGCCAGGGCAGCTCGGGACAGCGCGGCGGACGACTCCGCCGAGCTCCACTCCGCGTGACTCGAGGTGCCCATCGCACACTCCACCGAGAGCACCGGAGTCGGGCCTTGACGGACTACCAGATGGATGTACTTTGCAGAGGCGTTGGGCAGCACGTGGCATACGTTGCTGACGCCGAGCAGCACCGTTCCCGCAAGCGTCGCCTGAGAAGTAGCGGAGCCGTTGGAGGGAAGCAACGAGGATGCTGCGTCGGGGTTATAGTAGGGGACCGACAGGGAGGGCGTAAAGCTTGCTGAGAGGTCTTGCGCGTCTGCGCGCAACTCCGTTTCCTCCGCACCAGCCGGTTCCACCTGCTGGCCCAGGCGACCAAACAAGGTGAAGAGGTGCACTTTGCCCACAGTCCTTTCGCAGGCTCGCCCGCGAGGGGCGTCAGCGGCGGTGTGCAGCGGTAGCGAGGGTGGGCCAAACTCTCCGTCTTTCCGGTCGTGTTTTCCCTTCGCTTTCGGAAAAAGAGGATACGTGTGAGAGGCGCTGCCGAGCAGCTGCTTCAGCGGCACCGCCACCTGACCAATCTGATTCACCTCGTCCACCACGCCATCGTAGACCGCGAAGCGGCACGCGTGACGGCCGCCCTGCAGCGACTTGAGGTCGAGCGACGGGACGTGCAGCATGACACTCGCCTTCGAGAAGGGCCACCGCGGCTGCGTCGTGCCCTCACGGATCGGCGTACGAAGAAAGCGCCTGCCATCAATCGCCAGGGTGCCAATCGCGTCGGTTTGGAACTGCTCCATCGCCCCATCTGGCAGATCGTCGCAGCCGCTCACGTGCACGAGTAGCACCGCGGCGTCGGGCGGCAACGCACGCGGCGACGCCGCGGGATGGCCAACGTCATCCGCACCACCACCGAGAGAGGCGCGCTGCTTCTTTTCCGGTAGCTCCAGCACGGGCAGGCACAGGCTACACACCCGCACCGAGCCGATGCCCGGAGGTACCAACGCTATCTCGCGCTGCGCCCCGCCAGCGAGTCCGCGCTCCGTCACAGTGATTGTGGCGCGCCCCACCACCGCCTGGGCGTCGCTGTCGCACACCTCCAGATGGTACGTTGCGGTGCTTCCACTGAGGCGGGGGCAATGCAGGAGGCAACTAGCCTCCGTCGCGGACCACGCGGCATCGAAGACGCCACATGCCAGCGGGGTCCGCAGCCGTTCCGCCCCGGCACCGTCGCGCAACACAACAAACGGGTCTGGCGTGATGGCGAAGTTCTCCTGCGACAGGTGCAGCGCCTCTACAGCGACGTGCGCCACCCAGTCCCGGCTGTGGCTCTCCCTGCCGTCCGCAGTGTTCGCACCCAACACGCCGACCACAAGCTGGCCCATCACGGCGTTGCCCGTCTGCGCCTGCAGCAGTGGCAGCCGTCGCAGCCCCACCCCGCCAAACGCGAGCTCATCCACCGTTGTCTCGGCGGTACTGATCACAGTGCCCCTGTGCAACAGGTCGAAGACCAGCACCCCGCCCTCGCCGCACACCTTCGCAAACGCTTTATCTGCTGGCCACGCCGGGCTGCGGGTCTTGGGTTGCACCTGATTCGTCTCGAGAAGTCGCCGCAAGGTGCCGCCGTTGTACGACGACACCGTGACGGAGGCCTCGATGCGGTGCTTCAGGTATTCCACAGACATCACCTGCAAAAAAAGCGTTGTGGTGGTGGACGGCGCCGTCGCGTCGGTCGTGGTGGACGCGTTGGCAGCGCCGTGCTGCGGCTTGTCATCATGGGGCTTCAGCGCCTGCTGCAGCGCCTTGTACTTGGACGCGGTGACGGCGAGCATCGTGGTGGCCAGCCGCGGCATTTTTCGTGACTCCCTCTGCACCGAGGAGGAGGTGTCGCTGCCCTCCACCTCCGCGTCCTCGCCCGTGAAGGTCACCTCCGTGAGCGTCATGACCTGCTGCCCCACCCCGCCGTCGCCGTGAATCTTCGCCGTCTGCAGCGCACAGCGGTAGACCACGTTGGCCTCATCGTCTGCGTCGCACACGGTGAAGACGATGTCGGCGCCGCGCCGCACAAAGGTGATGAACGACGACTTCTCAATCGGCCAGTGCGGGGACACCATGTTGTCCATGACGGAGGTGCGGACTAGCACTCGTTGCCCGAGCGTCACCTTCACCATCGGCCGCAGGCACCGCTGCATTACCTCCGGCGCCAGGTAGTCACAGCAGCGCACGTGCAGCAGCAGCAGCACCAAGGACCCCGTGCTCATCTCCTCGTCGTCGACCACGACTTCGTCGGACACCCATATCTCGTCCTGCGGGAGTGGCAGGACCTTGACATAGCTGTCGAAGTAACCTTGGTCCTCGATCTTCACGTAGCGGTCCAGCACAGAGGTAGAGTGGTCCACGCCGACCTTGTTCAGCTGGTTGTAATCCACACTTGTCGGGCGGGTCCGCGTGAGGAGTGGAAGGCGCGGCTCACTGGAACTGCCTGGCCGCAGCGCACTCATGCCGCGGGGAGAGATGAGCTCACCGCGGACGTTGCTGCGTGGCGATATCGGCAGCCCCGACGGCGGACGCACGAAGAGGCTGCGGCTGATCGAGCTGCGAGACGCGGGAAAAGAGGTCATAAAGCCAGTGCTGCTGTCTTCCAGTGCGGCCACGCTCGTCGAGCGACGGGAGCGGCCGATCACGGGCACCTGGGAGACCTGCCCGCCGAACTCCATGTTCTCCACCAATGACCGTGCGACAGGGCCGGAGTCCGTTGCGTCCCCGGCACCTTGAAAGGCGTAGGAGGCCAGCGTGTGCATCTGCTGGCTTTCTTCCGCGGCTGCGTTGACATCCTCCAGCCGCATCACCCCGCCCACCGAGATGGGCGACTCGCCGGACTGCCACGGATCGCGGAGTTCGTCGTCTTCCAACGGCAAGTCCGCCGGCACCAGCATCGACGGCTCGTCGTTCTCCGTCACGAGGCGCACGTTGCTGTCGTTGACTTGGCGAATGAACCGCGGCTGCTGCTCCGTCGGAGTCAAAAAAAGCTGCTCGACGATGATCGCCTGCAACTCATCGCCGTCGCCGCTGATGTCGCAGTCGGCCGAGTTGGGCAGCGTCTCCGGCTGGACCGCAATCAGCCGCAGCACTTTTTCCTTCATGGCCTTCTCCACTTCCTTGTCGACGGTGCGCAGCTCTCGATACGGGGCAGGCGGAACAGCGGGGGCAGCCACACTCCCACCACTGATGGTTTCCTGCGCCAGCCCCTCCTGCAGACGCGTCAGCGCGTACTCGGTCCACTGCGCAGGCGACCACGGGGCAAGTGTGGTGGAGCTGCGAAGACAGCGGCCCTTCCCACTTGCCTCCGTCAACGCCGCTGGGGGTAGCACACCGGAGTCGTCGAGCTTGGCGAGCTGCGAGACGGAGTTGGACAGCCGTGGTGCCGGCGGTGCCACCGGGCTGTTCGAGTGCCGACGTGAAGCCGCCTGCGAGGACGGTGCGCGGCTGCCACGCCGACCCGCCGAGGAGGACCGCTGCCCGTTCGCGTTCGGGGGTGACGACGGGGGCTCGAAACCCTCGATGAGACTCGCCTCCCCCCGCTGTCCTCGGTAGAGACTGATGCCCTGCCGGCACACCTCAATCGCCTGCGCATCGGCGTTGTTTTGCTCGAGAACGCCTAAAATAGCCTCCCGGTCGAGCTGCCAGACGTCTACGGTTGAGTCGCAGACGACATCAAACGGCCAGAGGTGGGGCTTCAAGCACAACTCACCGAGGAAGTCGCCAGCGCTGCGCACCTCTCGACGCATCTCCGGCGGAGCCAAAAGATCTTGCAGGTTCAGCGCCAACGCACCGGCAGCAGCCGCACGCGGGTTGTTGTTTTTCGCGGACGAGGGCGGTCGTCCTTTCGGCGGTAACGAACTATTGAGCCCTGCAGAGCTGCCCGGCCTGGCGCCGTCGGTTGCCGTCGATGCGGCCGGGGTGACCGGCTTGACGACGCTAGACAGCACCAAGCTGCCACGCCCAATAACAAAAAGGGAGGTGCACGGCGTATTGGCGGTGGCCAGGACGTGTCCTTGCGGGACGGTCACCACCGTTGCACATCGGGCGATCTCCCCACGCATGGCGTCCGTTGAGTGTCCGAGGCAGGGGACACCGCTCAGGATGGAAATCAAGCCAAAGACGTCGCGCGTCTTGCCCTCCTCCATCCACTGCTTCTGCCGCTCAACGGCAGCGGCAATGACACGCTGGCCGACCTCGGGGTACTTCGTCAAGCGGTGCTCGAGGTGGCGTACGTGCAGCGCATACAGCTCGCACACGGTGGAGCCGATCACGCTGCTGTTGCGCTTCTCGTGGAACAGGACGCTTTCCTCGCCGAGGCACGCGCCGGCCTCCAGCACTGCCAGTGCCTCCCCTTTCACCACCACGGTGAGCGCGCCGCGACGTACAATGTAAATGTAAGGACAGTAGTCGCCTTCATCGAAGAGCACCTCGCCCACGCCCAAAACACGCACCTCCATCGCGCGACACAGCTTGACCCGGTCGCTCGCCGTCAGCAACGGCCACATCCACGACCGCAGAAGCACCACCGAGGTGGGAAAGTAGTCCGCCAAAACGATGTCCCGCCGCCGCGGCGCCACGACGTCGTTCATGTACCGAGTCAGCACATCAGAAGAGGGCAGCGACGACTGGAGAACGCCGTAGTACACTTCCCAGAACCAGCGAGAGGAGATCACCGCCACATCCGCTTCCTCCCGTTCTCGAGTGGCGAAGGAGGAGGTGGCGCGATCCTCGCACAACACTGGCATCACGCACAGCACATCCGTCGCCTTGTGCATACGGTGCGTCTGCGTGCGGATCGATCGGGAGCTGGTGCTGCTGGGGACACTACCCGCGGTGCCTTTCTGCTTCGCCGAGGTCTCGGGTCTGCGCTCCTCTAAATGCCCGTAAAGCAACACTACCACCCCACACGAGACGTGCGACTCGTGTGCGTACACAATAAATTCCTTGGGTCCTAAGCAGTGAAAGGTGGCCGCGTCGGCCAGCTGCTCCAGCACACGCAGGGGCCACTCCGCCAGCATCGTCTTGGAGCTGGCGATGGCAGACACGACGGAGCTCGACGTGTAATGCCGCGGCGGTTCGCCATGCTTCCAGTGGACCCGGCGGCGACGCCGCAAGACAACGCGCAGTACCACCGGCGTGAATAGCAGCTGCAGCGTTTGCAGGGCCACTTTGCTCTCGGGGGAGAGAAAGTTGGTGTTCGGGTGGGGGGATGAGGAGCTGCGGTGCGCCGCGGCCTCCTCAATCACGCTGCCGCGCCGCAGTCTCGGGTTCGTGCTGGTGGCCCCGATAGAGGAGTCCCGGCGGACCGGCAGCAGTAGCTCTGTGGGGGAGACCCCTCGGGCACCGCCTCTGTTCTGCGCTGGTGACGGCCGTGTCGGACCGGGGCGCCGAGTGGAGGGCAGGAGAGGGGCGGCGTTGGATCGGGCGGTGGGCCTGCCGTTGCCGGACCCCTTGCGAGACGAGGCAGCGGCTCCTAGCGATGCAGTGGGCATGTCCGGCTTCTCCTTTCTATGTTCGTTAATGAGGGCGAACTCCTCACCACAGCAAACGAAGCGAAGAACACAGCCTCCGTAAATGCGCACACCCGCGGGCTAACGCAATTATATATAGCTCTCAGAAACGAAAAAAAAAATGAATAAATATGTCTCCTCTCACCTATACGAGCTACTTGCTCCACGAGATGGCGCCGCGCGGTATCTAATGCGGGGCACCGACCAGAGACACAGAAAAAACCCACACGTAGATGTGATGGAAGTGGGAGTCGTCGCACAGAACAAACAAGCAAAGCAGAAAAAAAAATGGGAACAAAAGAGGAGCTTCGGCTAAACGTTTCTGCGGACCGTACACCACGTATAAATACCAGCAAGAAGGAAGAAAAAGGGCTCACGACGTATGTGTGTGACGAGCTGGTGGAGCAACAACGAAAACCCGAAAGAAAAGGAAAATGTAATAGTAAGTGATGATGGAAAAGCAGGTCTATCAGTACATCAATGATTCTTCCTTCGTGCACACAGATATATATATATATATATATATATATATATAT